TTTGGGGTCTCCACCGAAGTGGAGGCCGTAGGTTGGGGACCCCCGCCCCCGCCCACCAGGGCTGCTCTGCACCTTCTCCAGCAGTCTCGAGCTGCTACTCGGAGCCAGCTCCTTGGGGAGCGGGAGGGACTGGGGGAGGCCAGAGGGGGGCCTCGTCCCCCTTTTCACTGCTGTGTCTGGGGCCAGGCTGGGTTCCTGGGTGTCCCTCGCCTGCCAGTGTCTCCTGGGCCTGGGCCCTGTGGTGTCAGGTTGGCCAGGGCTTAGGGCGCCTCTGTCCAGGGCAGCTTAGGGTGGGCAGGTAGATGGTCAGTGAGGCCATTCTAGCAAATTCTCTGATAGCCATAACCAAGGACTCCGAAATTGGTATCAGGATCTGCCCTGTGTGAACCCTCGAGTCACTGGGTGCGCGTGGCCAGGGCCGGCCTGCCCCCACGACGAGGCCTGAGGGCAGAATGCAATCTCGGTGCGTGCGTGAGCTGCGTGTGTGCATGACCTGACTGGCCACTGCCGTCCCCACCTCTGCTCCGGGGCTGGCGTCTCCCCAGGGTGCTGCTGTGGCTGGGTGGCCTCAGCACCTGCATGCCTTGAGCTTGGCCGTGGTGGTCGGTGCCTGTGCCCTGCCAGCCCCACACCACCATGGCCTGTCCCCCCAGCAGAATCCAGACGTCCCTCACCAGTGCCAGCCTGGGGTCGGCCGACGAGAACTCCATGGCCCAGGCCGATGACAACCTGAAAACTCTGCACCTGGAGCTCACGGAGACGTGCCTGGACATGATGGCCAGATATGTGTTCTCCAACTTCACGGCAGTGCCCAAGAGGTGGGCGCAGGGTCTGCCGTGCGGGCGGTTCCTGCCGGGCGGGACTGACGTGCCGCCCTCGCAGGTCCCCCGTGGGCGAGTTCCTCCTGGCCGGTGGCAGGACCAAGACCTGGCTGGTGGGGAACAAGCTGGTCACAGTGACCACCAGCGTGGGTGCCGGGACTCGCTCTCTGCTGGGCCTGGACGCGGGAGAGCTTCAGGGCAGCCCTGAGCTGAGGTGAGGCGCCCCTGCCCCGCCCCCACCAGCGCCCGGCACTGCAGCCTCTCAGGGTCTCTCGGCCCGCAGCCCCTCACAGTCTCTTGGCCCGCAGCCCTGGACCCAGCATGCAAGTGCGGCAGACGAAGGAGGCACCTGCCAAGTTGGAGTCCCAGGCTGGGCAGCAGGTGTGCCGAGGGGCCCGCGACCGCGTCCGCTCCATGTCTGGTGAGCCGGGTTGGGGTGGGGGGTGGGGGGGCCGGACTGGGGTCGGGCAGCTTGGTGGGGACAGTGGCCAGTGTGGGTGGTGTGCCTGGACAGGCCAGCTCACCCGCTCTCCCGCTGCCTCCTCAGGGGGCCACGGCCTTCGCGTAGGGGCCCTGGAGGCCCCAGCCCCCCACTTCCCAGGCAGTCCTGCTCCCGCGGGACCGCAGAGCGCCCCTGCCGCTGCCCGCCAGCCCGCGCAGAAGGAGAGGACGAGCTTGGCTGCCTACGTGCCGCTGCTGACCCAAGGCTGGGCGGAGATCCTGGTGCGCAGGCCCACGGGTACGTGGGGGCGCGTCTCCCCAGCCCTCGGCCAGCCCGTCCTCCAGAGGGTGCACTGGAGTCGGTGGGGCGCCCCAAGACCTGGCTGCGACTCCACGCGGAGCAGGGCGGAAGCCTGAGGGGTCTGTGCCCGCAGGGAACACCAGCTGGCTCATGAGCCTGGAGAACCCGCTGAGCCCCTTCTCATCCGACATCACCAGCATGCCCCTGCAGGAGCTCTCCAACGCCCTCATGGCCGCCGAGCGCTTCAAGGAGCGGCGCGACACAGCGCTCTACAAGTCACTGTCGGTGCCGGCAGCCGGCTCGGCCAAGCCCCCACCTCCACCGCGGTCCAACACGGGTGAGCCTCTCACAGGCCCGGGAGCTGCCGGGCAGGGCTCCACCCGAGGGTTGTGATGGCGGCACGGTGCCCTGGCCAACACCGCTCTCCAGCACCCGTACTGCCAGCCTCGGCCTGTGGCCTGGACAAGCCTTTGGCCAGTGCACTGTACCCTTGGGCACAAACACGGAGCTGCGGCCTCTCCTGGCCCCTGGGCGGGTGTCTGTTGCCAACCAGCAGCTCCTCTGCTTTCTCTGGGGCAGGCCACCATGTGCCCGTGTCCCCAGCTGCCTCTGTTTCCCCAGACTCGGCTGTGGTCCTGGAGGAGGGTGGGCCAGACGAGAGCATGCTGGCCGTAGAGCCCCCTGGGCTGGAGGACCTGGGAATGGCACTGGGCACGGACGGGCATGGGCGCCATTCCACACCATTTAGCCGGGTGAGTGCTGGCCAGGTGATTGCTGGGGGTATCCCGGGGTCAGTGCACCTTGGCTCGCCCCAGGGCTGACCCGAGTTGTTGGGAGCGGCCAGGAGCCCAACGAAGCTTGTGTCCCCCTTTGTAGTCGTCCTCCACGTCCAGCCAGGAGGAGAAGTCGCTGCGCGGGGAGGAGCAGAGCGCCAGCGGGATCCCCATGGCACGGGCTGTGTCCTCCGAGGGCGCCCGGCCCTCTGCTGACCTCTCCTTCGAGCCGGCCCAGCCTCTCAGCAAGTCCAGCTCCTCACCCGAGCTCCAGCTGCTGCAGGACGTGCTTGGGGGTCCTGGGGACAAGGCTGGCGGGGGCCGCCTGAGCCCGGAGGCCAAGGCGCGCTCCCAGTCAGGGACCCTGGACGGGCCCAGCGCCCCCTGGCTGGCTTCAGGCAGAGAGAGCCACGGCCCTGGACCTGCCGAGGGGCCCTCACCTGCCAGCTGCCCCCGCTCCCCCAGTGGCCTGCGACCCCGTGGCTACACCATCTCCGACTCAGCCCCGTCCCGCAGGGGCAGACGGGCCGACAGAGACTCCTTCAAGGGCAGGGCCGGGGCTGGCAACACCGAGAAGGTGCCAGGCATCAACCCCAGGTGAGCCCGGGCTCAGAGTCCAACCTTGGGAGGGGGCATTGGGCAGGGTTTGCAGTCTATCCTGGGGGACAGCGGGCATGTTGGGTCCATTGTAGGAGGGGACAGTGATGGGATCTGAATATCCCACGGGACGGTGATAGGGTCTGAGTGTCCCGGGGGACAGTGCCAGGCTCTGAGTGACCTGGGAACGGCGACAGGGTCTGAGTGTCCCGGCCTTGCAGCTTTGTGTTCCTGCAGCTCTACCACTCTCCTTTCTTTGGGGACGAGTCCAACAAGCCCATCCTTCTGCCAAATGAGGTACACCTGCCTTCTTGCCCGGGGTCCCCAAGCCCAGGAGGTGTGGTGGCCCCGCGGAGGTCTCCTGCCGGGGGTGGGCGCCTGGGACCCGTCTCAGGCCGATGCTCTGCCACAGTCATTCGAGCGCTCTGTGCAACTCCTGGACCAGATACCCTCCTATGACACGCACAAGATCGCTGTCCTGTATGTGGGCGAAGGCCAGGTGAGCAGAGCGGTCACACGGGCGGGGGTGCTGGACGAGGCGCCCATGCCTACTGTCACCCCACAGGCATAGCCTTGCCGCTCTGCTTGGGGTGGGGAGCTCAGAGTTGCAGGCGGCAGAGGGCACAGGACCACCTTGCCTTTGTGTACCCTGCAGAGCACCAACGAGCTGGCCATCCTGTCCAATGAACACGGCTCCTACCGGTACACCGAGTTCCTCATGGGCTTGGGCAAGCTCATTGAGCTCAAGGACTGCCAGCCGGACAAGGTCTACTTGGGGGGCCTGGATGTGGGTGGCGAGGATGGCCAGTTCACCTACTGCTGGCATGACGACATCATGCAGGGTATGTGCAGAGGCCCCTCTGGGGGAAGGGCCTGGGGCTGCTGGGGGTCTGCTCAGCGCCCTGCTCTGCCCACAGCCGTCTTCCACATCGCCACCCTGATGCCCACCAAGGACGGGGACAGGCACCGTTGTGACAAGAAGCGTCACCTGGGCAACGACTTTGTGTCCATTGTGTACAACGACTCTGGCGAGGACTTTAAGCTGGGCACCATCCGGGTGAGGGGTGGCCCCTGCAGCCCAGGCCCAGGTGGGGGTCGTGCCCACTTCTCTGAGTAGCAGGGTGGGCCCTGGGCCGCATGTCACAGCATCTCCCTTTTGCTCGGGCAGGGCCAGTTCAACTTCGTGCATGTGATCATCACCCCCCTGGACTATGAGTGTAACCTGGTGACCCTGCAGTGCAGAAAAGGTGATGCTGTGGGCGGGGGGGCGGGGTGAGCAGCCTGAGCTTTGGGTCACACCTGCCTCTCTGCAGACATGGAGGGCCTCGTGGACACGAGCATGGCCAAGATCGTGTCTGACCGGAACCTGTCCTTCGTGGCACGCCAGATGGCACTGCATGCCAACGTGAGTGGGGGAGTCTGGGGCAGGAGGGCCTATGGGGCCTGGGCGAGGGGGGAGGCTGGAGCAGGAGGGCCGACGGGGGCTGGGCAAGGGGGAAGGTGGGGACAGGAAGGCCAACTGGCCTGAGCGAGGGGGCAGGCTGGCTCACCCTGCCTCCCCCCCCCCCCCCCGTCCCTCCAGATGGCTTCGCAGGTGCACCACAGCCGCTCGGACCCCACGGACATCTACCCCTCCAAGTGGATCACCAGACTTCGCCACATCAAGCGGCTCCGCCACCGGGTAGGCAGGGGGCCGCTGCAGGCAGGGGCAGGGGGGCAGCTTGGGCACCAGCTCAGGCAGGCACATCATGTCACCCCCAGCTCCGCGAGGAAGCACACTCGGCCACCCCCGGCCTCCCACTGCTGCAGCCCCCGGGCCACGCCAAGGCCCCGACCCCCAGCCCGGAGCCCCCCTACGAGACAGGCCAGCGGAAGCGCCTCATCTCTTCCGTGGACGATTTCACGGAGTTCGTGTAAGACCACATGGTCCCAGGGGGACATCTCCCACCGTGTCCTGGGCAGTGTGAGTCCAGGTGGAATAAAGCCCTGAGACCAACTCAGGGTGTCCAGACCAGCGGAGCCTCAGCCAAGTCCTTTATTGACTGCGTCGGAGGGGGGGGGCAGGGCATTGTGGGCTCCCGGGAGCCAGCCCCGAGGGCTCTGCCCCGTCCTGGTGCGGCCTGACACCAGCAGGCCTCTGGGGTGACTGCTCCGACTCCCCACTGGCCCTCAGCACCTGCCCGAGGTGATGCCCAGGGGTCCCCTGGCAGCAGCCACCGATGAGAAACACACACCTTTCCCCTACAGATCAGAGACACACAGACAGCTGGAGGTGCGGGCACTCAGCAGGGGCACAGGAGGTAATAATTTAGGGGGGAGGGGTGCAGGGTCCCTCCCTGGGGCTTGGATCCTTAGCGAGGAGGGGTCTGCCCAGGAGGAGGAGTGGGCACAGCCCACTGGACCTGAGGACTCAGGAAATAAATTAGCGTCTCAGAGGCTGGGCCCTGAGTGCAATACTGCTGGGTGGGGCCCTGGCCTTGCTGGCCGCGTGGCCCCTAAAGTGCTGAGGCCCACAGGCGCGCTCAGGCTGTGTGCAGCGGCTCTGCGGGCGGCAGAAGCTAATACTGAGTGGTGGGCCCGGGGCCTAGGTGCTGCTGGGGTGGACCTTGTTCTTGGCCCAGAAGGAGGCCTTGCTGAGGCCCGAGGGCAGCCGGCTGGGGAGAGCCGGCCGCAGGCCCGGAGGGGAGGCCGCAGCCCTGCGCCCCTGCAGGCCCTGCAGCTGCTGTTCCAGCCGGTACACGTCCTCTGTGGCCTGGTTGAGGCGGTCAAACTGAGCCAGCAGGGCCTCGAACACAGCCTGGACGCAGGAGGGCTCAGGCTCCCCACGGGCTCCCAGCCGACCCAGGCCTGCGCTCAGTCCGTCCAGCTGGCTGGAGGCCGTGGAGGGGCATGAGGCGTCCGAGCCCCCGCTGGCCAGAGGCTCGTCCTGGGACAGCTTGGAGCCCCTGGAAGAGCGCGAGGGCAGCGGCTCCACCCCCTCGAAGCGGACCCTGTGGCGGAACTGGGGGCGGCACAGGGGCTCGGTCAGTCCAGCTGCTCCCTGGGGCGCGGCGCCCAGGGCCCGTCCCTCACCCCCCCACTGGGCCGTACCCACCTCCTTGACCTTGCTGAAGCCCATCCAGAGGCGCAGCCGCCGCAGGAAGAGCTCCACCATCTCGTAGTCCTGCGGCTCCCACGCCGGGCGGTAGAGGTCCCCGCGGAGCGCGCGGTAGCGCCAGCGCAGGAGCACGGCGCCCAGCCGCAGGCCGCCCCACGCACGCAGCGCCCAGAGCCCGGCGCACAGCAGCGGGCAGAGGCGCCAGGGCTCAGAGGGGCACAGCGCGGGGGCGCCGGCGCCGGGGCACAGCACCAGCAGGGCGCGCGCCGCGCTCCGCAGCGAGTCCACGCAGGACGACACCAGCTGTGGGGGGCACGGGTCAGGAGCCGGGAGGGCGCCGCCCGCCCCGCCCGCCCCGGCCAGCCACGTACCAGGACGGACAGCTGCGTGTAGGCCGCGGCCAGCACCACCAGGCCCAGGGCCGCCCCTGCCAGCTCGGGCAGCGCCCGGCACAGCGTCTTGCCAAACACCGACCACTGGCGCACGAAGCGTAGCTGCTGGGCCGCCTGCGGGCGAGGGGCGTCAGGCGGCTGCCCCGCGCGCCCGCCGCCCCCGCCGCCCCCGCCGCCCCGCGCGCTCACCTTGACCAAGATGAGGAAGAGCAGCGAGGCGGCCAGGCCGCGGGCCGAGGCGCTCAGCTGCGCCACCTGGTCGAAGCTGGTGAAGCGGCGCGGCCGCAGGCGCAGGAAGCGGGTCCACTGGCGGTCAGCGGCGCCCAGTTGGGCCAGGCGCACCAGCGCCGTAGTGGCCGTGAGCGCCACCAGCAGCCACCGCGCCCAGGCCACCGGCCTCGCCCAGCGCGTGCGGCCCTCCCTGCGCCAGGCGCGCGCCTCGGCCACGGAGAAGTAGAGCGCGAACAGCAGCAAGACCACCTGGGGACCGGGCGGTCAGCGCAGGCCAGGGGCGAGGGGCCGGGCGGGGGCCATGGTCGGGGGCGGGCCGAGGGGCTGCCAGGGGCGGGGCCACGGCGGTCCAGGGTAGGGACAGGCCATGGCGGGGGCACAGCCAGGGAGAGGGGCGTGGCCAATGGAAAGGGGCAGGGCCAGATCAGGGAGGGACGAGGGGCTGCCAAGGGCGGGGCCACGGCCGTCCAGGGTAGGGACAGGCCATGGCTGGGGCACAGCCAGGGAGAGGGGCGTGGCCAATGGAAAGGGCAGGGCCAGATCAGGGAGGGACGAGGGGCTCCAGGGTAGGGACAGGCCATGGCGGGGGCACAGCCAGGGAGAGGGGCGTGGCCAATGGAAAGGGGCAGGGCCAGGTCGGGGGCGGGCCGAGGGGCTGCCAGGGGCGGGGCCACGGCGGTCCAGGGTAGGGACAGGCCATGGCGGGGGCACAGCCAGGGAGAGGGGCGTGGCCAATGGAAAGGGGCAGGGCCAGGTCGGGGGCGGGCCGAGGGGCTGCCAGGGGCGGGGCCACGGCCGTCCAGGGTAGGGACAGGCCATGGCGGGGGCACAGCCAGGGAGAGGGGCGTGGCCAATGGAAAGGGGCAGGGCCAGGTCGGGAGCGGGACGAGGGGCTGCCGGGGGCGGGGCCAGGTCTGAGGGCGAAGGGGCGGGGCCAGAGGCGGGATGGGGTCGGACGTGGGCCGGTGGGGTGGGGCTTACCGAGGTGAGCAGAGGCAGGGACAGGCCCGAGCTCAGACGCCGCAGTGCAAAAGGGCGGATGCTGAGGGCAGTCAAGGCTCGCCCAGCCGCCGGGAACTCGAGGCGCAGCGTGACAGCAGCGTGCAGCCCCACGGCCGGGCTGTAGCGCGTGAGCTCCACAAACACCGCTTGGCTCCTGGTGGATGGGGGACAGGGACAGAGGGAAGGGCTGGCGGCTTGGACCCAGAAGGGCACCTGGGGTGCCCCGAGGGACTGGGCACCGCGGGAATCACCCACCTGTTGTCGATCCAGTTGTGGAGCTGCAGGAAGCGCAGGCGTGCGAGGCTCTCCTGCAGGCCGGGGCCCAGCTCCTGGACGTAACCCCCACTGTCGTACACTGCACAGTGGCCCCAGTACCACACACTGTGGGCAGGAGGGCAGCACTGTCAGAGCTGTCCCTGCAGGCACAGGCACCTTGGGGCTGGCCGCTCCCCCTGTGCTCACCCCAGCAGATCGGGTGGGGAATAGCCCCAGGTCTCAGAGCTGTTGGGGGCAGCGTCCCTCCAGCCAAGGCCATAGTCCCCGGTGCTGAAGCCCCCGCTAGGCGCTGAGCAGGAGCCTGTCCCTAGGCCCAGGGGGTGTGGACAGAGGGCTGGAAGGCAAGGCCAGACACTCAGTGTGTACCCAGTGCCAGGACCAGCTCTGAAGCCCTTTCCAGCCACTCTGGGTGAGAAAACCGAAGCTGAGTCTGGAGACTGGCCGGGAACATAGCCAGGGCAGACCCCAGCTCACCTTCCTGCAGCCGCACCTGTCGGAGACGCAGGGGTCCCAGCTCCGGGCTGCTCTGGTTCCCATGGACGAAGGGAAGCAGCACCTGGGACATCCACGGCCAGAAGTCCTGGGACCTGCCAAAACACGGGTCACAGAGGCACCCAGCTGGTGTCAGAGGACCCTCAGGGCTCGTGCTGTGCCCTACCTGGTGATGGCCAGGAAGGCACGGCTATCCAGCTCCTGCTTGATGGCGCTCTGCAGGCGGAAGGCATGGCTGTGGCTGGCAGCATCTCCATAGTTGGCAAGCAGAGCCACCAGCAGGAAGAGCATGTACACCAGGAGGCTCTGCAGGATAAGCCTGGGGTCAGCAAGGCTGCGGGGAGGGCTGGGGATGGGGGTGCCAGGCCACCCTCCTCACCCTCAGCATCCGGTGCAGCCTCTTGACCTTCCGGGCCTCCTCCTTTGCCAGGAAGAGCGCAAAGCCATGTGGGGGCCGCACGCGGGGCACCCGCTCATTCACGGGGGTTACCGCCGGGCTCTCCACCAGCGTGTCGTCCTCGTCAGGGTGCAGCCGCTTGGCGATCAGGGAGAAGTACAGAGCCTCCAGCAGGACCTGGGGGTGAGGGGTGTCAGCTGGCTGCCGGGCCATCCCCGCGGAAGGGCCCGGGCAGCCACTCACCTTAAGGGGCTCCCAGCCCAGAAACGAGGCCAGGAAGCTGCAGCTGCTCGACAACAGCCACATGAGGCTCACGTGGGCTGGGAAGCCGGCGCCCAGCCACCCCGACACGGCCACAGCCACGGCCACCAGGACCAGGCTGAGCCCGTGGGCCAGGGGCGCACACCAGGCGGGCAGCAGGCGCTTCCGCAGACCCTCAGCTGGCCCTGAGGGCAGAGAGATGATGAGGCGGTGACCAGGGCCTGGGGAAGGAGGGGCAGCGGGGGGCACCTACCTGTCTGAGGAGGCAGGGACTGTACCAGGGTCGGGCCGGGCTGCGGCAGGTCCTCGGGCTCCGCTGGGGCCCCAGGCGCACAGCACCTGCAGCCAGTGACAGCAGCATGAGCCTGTCCTCGAGAGCTCGAGGCTTGCCCCCAACCCAGGGACACCATGGCCCTCGGCTCTGTCCCATCACCACATGGCAACTGTGCCCAGGGAGACCCCAGCAGAGGCACGCCCCACCCCCACCCGCCTCCCCAGGTGCAGGTGGCCAGGCCAGGTTCTCACAGGCCAGGGAGCAGGTTTGAGTCTCCATGGGCATCCCGAGGCTCTGTCAGGCTCTGCCAGCTTGAGTCTTCATCTAGAGAAAGCAGGTTATCAGGGAGGCCACCTTCTGGGCTGCACTGGGGACCCCCCAACCCCGCTCACCTGAGGCTGAGAAGTACTTTGCAGGGAAGGGGGGGCCTGTCAGGGCCAGGCCTTCGGAGGCGGGGCCCCGGGCTGGCTGTGGCAGGCTGCTACCCACAGTGGACGGGCTTCTGAGCAGGTCTGGCCAGCATACCACGCTGTAGGGAAAGGGCCAGGGCTCAGGGAATGCGCAAGTAAAGACTCCCCCTGGGAATGACCCCCAGCGGCCAGCATGGCACAGCGCATCTGTGAGGCTCTGCCCTCTCCAAGGCTGCCCACCTCTTAGAGTCATCCAGGAAGAAGCTGCCTCTTGTCTGTGTAGCAAAGGCCTGGTGAGAAGCACAGTCAATCTTGGCCTTGGTGCCCAGTGGCGGGACCCCCAGCCCGGCAGGAGCCTGCCAGTCCCTGGGCACCTCACCTCTGCCCGGAGCCCCGGGAGCGCAAGGAAGGAGGTGTCCACCACTGGCGAGTCCAGGTAGCTGTCCACATCCAGGACTTGCTGACCCGCAGGGAGGGGACGCGGGCCCCCTGCCACCTGTAGCCAGAGGTGGGGGCCACTCAGTGCTCGGGAGACTAGCCCATGGCTAGTCTCACACCTCCCGCAGGGGCTACAGGGAAGAGGGGACGACCACGGCTGCACCCCCTGCGGCAGCCTCAGGGGCTGGGGCCGGGAGGAACCGTGTCCTCTATGCCTCTGGGCATCTCACCAATGCTCTCAAGGTCTGTGCCCAAGGACCATGGCCACCCCACACACATCCCAATCGTCTCGTTTGGCAGGGGGCTTGAGGGCACACCCGGTGGTGCTCCTGGAGCCTGTGGTGCCAGGGATGGCATGAGGGGGCAGGGGGCAGCCCACCTTGCTGCGGGACATCCGGAAGAGGAAGAGAATGAGCAGGTAGGCTGGGTAGACGACCACACTGGACAGCAGGCCCACGGCCACAGTCTCCGCGCCGAGTGGGGTCAGGCTGGACACAGGCCGGGCACTGGGAAGGGGGAGAGGGGTGGCGCCTGGGTAAGGGGGTAGCAGGGCAGGGGCCCCCGGCCCCCTGGGCACTTACCTGTACGCAGTGTCACCTATGGCACCATACCACACGGCGTTGGCGCCCAGGAAGAGGCAGAGCAGCAGGACACAGCAGGTGGCCCGCTGCACGCGTGTGAACCGGCTCCGTGCTGGCCGGTCCCACAGGGAGAGCCAGATGTGCCTGTCACAAAGGCCACGCTGCAGCTCGGCCACCAGCAGACGACGAAAGCGGCGCAGGGCGGCGTCACCTGGGGAAGGGGCAGAGCTGCAGGGCCATGCTGGCCAGGACCCTCCCGCACCCCCACCAGGCTGGGCCTTACTTGCTGCCAGCACCTCCTTCTCCACCAGACCCCCGTTGGCCTCGGCGTCCACCGAGAGCCAATCATTGACTAGGAAGAAGGTGCTGCGGGCGCTCTGCAGGTCCCGGACAATGACGTGCTGCAGGAACCAGGAGGGGCTGAGCCCTGCAGGGAGGCAGGGGCACAGGTGGGCGGGGCCTCAGCGGGAGGTGGGCGGGGCTGCAGCGAGAGGGGCGGGACCGAAGCGGGAAGGAGCTGGGGCGGGCCCCAGGCGGGCCCCACACACGTGTCCGACCTTTGTTGTCATGCCACACGCGGATCTTCCACAGGCTGCCCAGGCTGTGTGGGGTGGCGATCTGGAAGATATCCAGACTGTTGCGGTGAAAGGCCCTGTCCCCGTCCAGGTGCCGGTGCCCACTGCGGCTGTCGGCGCCGTACAGCATGATGCCCACGTGCGCGGTGGTCCCTGCAGGGGGAGGAGGCTGCTGGGCACGGAGGCTGCCCCAGCTACACAGCCCCGCCTGGCACCTTCCCTCACGTGGCCCACAGCTGAGGCATGAGAGCTTTGGCCACCGTCAGGAGTCCAGGCCACTGCCCGGCGCTCCTGCACGTGGAGCTCAGCAGTGCCCCCTGCCAAGCCCCTTACCTGAGCCACGACCCCAGCCGGTCTTCACCAGGATCTCGTACTTAAAGCGCCCCCCCTGCCCGCAGAATGGGGTGACGCGGACCCGGCGGACGTCCAGCTGGTCCAGCCGGCGTAGGATGGCCGCCATGACAGCATAGGTGGCCAGGCACACGGCACATGTCAGCAGGACCACGTAGCTGGTGGCTGAGGGCGGCTCCTGGCAGACACAGCCATCAGGGCCAGGTGGGCGGTAGTGGTGGTGGAACCCCGGCTGCCTGGCCGCCCCGGGCCCAGTCACTCACCGGGAAGGAGAAGTGCACACGGCTCGGGGGCACGAGGAGGCTGGCGCCGAAGGCCGTGAGGTGCCGGGTGAGGCAGACGGCCTGGCTGGGCGACGTCTCCTCCAGAGGCACGAGGCCCTCCGTCCTCCACATCATCATCTCCTCACTGAAGTACTGGCACAATGACGCGTACAGGCTCAGTGACACCCGCAGTGCCGAGTGGCGGAAATGGCTGGTTAGGTTCAGGTAGTAGCTCTCGCCGGGAACCCGGGTCCTGGAGGTGTGAGGGTTACACCAGCCACTGCTTCCAAGTCGAAGGGCACCACTGCCCCCTGCTCCATGGCGCTGCCTGCATGTGTCCACTCACCCGGGTGCCATGAAGAAGGTGTAAGGCCGGTGGTCCTCACCCCGCAGCGCCTCCAGACTGATCCGCCTGTGGGCCGAGCAGTTGTGCTCATTGGGGCCCGGTGCCGAGTGCAGGTATGCGGCTAGGTAGGGTTCCGGCTCCTCGGGCAGGTAGAGCTCTGGGGACACAGCAGAGTCTGGCTCACTCACCAGCAGGGAGACCCCTCTGGGCTGCTGGAGTCCCCCGGGGACCCCCCTACCGTTCAGCAGCTCGTAGGTGAGGCGCAGATGCAGCCCAGCCTCTGGGCTGCTGTTCTCGGGGGTGACCATGGCACCGACCGAGGCCCCAGGTGGCACAATAGCGGACACAGCGGAGTTGTGCTGGCTGCGGGCAGCCTGGTCTGAGGTACTGGGCACCTTCACCACGATGGCACGCTCCGAGGCCAGCTGCCCGATGGGGATGCGGGCCCCGGCCCGTGTCTGGAAGGCCATTGACGCCACCTTGGTGGAGACCGTGTAGTTGCTGATGAAGCCGAAAGGGAAGGGATTGGAGTCCACAAGCAGGATGAGCTGCACCACATCGCTGAGGTTGGCCAGGGCACCGCTGAAGGCCGCGGGGATAGAGAAGTGGCAGCCGGGGCCTGGGGCAGCGCCACAGCACAGCAGGCTCCGCGGGTCCGAGAGCTTGCCCTGGGCCACAATCTCAGTGCCCGCCAGGGTCAACGGCTCCTCATTGAGCACGCGGGAGCGCATGAGAATGCGCATGAGCGCTGAGGACAGGCGGTAGGCGTGGGATGCCAGCATCAGCGATGGCGAGGGTGGCGTGGGGCCCGGCTCCGGGGACTGGGGGGCCTGTGCCTCCAGGCTGGCCAGGTGGATGAGGTCGCCTGTGGGCGGGGGGGGCAGGAGGGCGTCAGCCTGCGCAGCAGGGGGCCCGCGGCCCCATCCCCTTCCTCACCTGTGATGTTGAGGATGCTGTCAGCGATGGCCGTAGGCGTGCCCGTGCCTGCGTCTGTCTCGGCCTGCAGCACGCTCATCATGGCCTCCAGCTTCTGCAGTGTCTTCCTCAGGCACGAGCGGCACACGAGGCCCAGACCGGACACCTGAGGGGCCGGGCAGCACTGAGCGGGGTGCTGGCCCCGGGGGCTCGGTCACGAGCATGGTCAGAAGCTGGGGACAGCAGGGCGATGCCAGCAGGCCGGAACCTCACTCCTGCTCTCTGGACCCCCCAGACCCGGCCGGGCACCCCATGAGGAGCCCACTGCAGGCCTCTCCCTGCTGGCCATCCACCCACGGCTACCCGCAGTGCCACCCAACAGAGGACAGACCCCCACCGTGCACTGGGCCAAGGCGGCCGCGATCTGCTGGGTGTCGTCCACAGTGTCCACCCGCAGGGACACCAGCATCTCGGTGACATTCCCACGGATCTGGGCCCGGAGCTGCTGCTCATGCTCTGGTTCCATCGCTGCCACCGGGCTCCGCTCGTGCTGTGGGCGGCAGCCGGAGCCGTCAGGGGCCACCCCAACCACACTGTCAGCACCTCAGCCCACGGAGCCATTTCAGCAAAGGCCCCGTGGGAAGTGCGGTCGGGTAGGGGCTGCAGGCAGGGTGGGGTCACACCCACCTCGTTGAGCACGGTGACAAGGGCCAGCGAAAATTCGATGACGTGCTGGGGATCTGCCTGCCTCAGCAGCCCAGGCAGCATGTCCTTGGCCAAGCTGTGCAGCCAGGGGGTCAGGCCCAGGGGCACGCCGAGCCCGGTGTTGGGGGGCTCTGGCAGGGTGATGACCAGAGACCTGCGGGAGGCTGGGTGAGCCGGCGCCTCCTTCTGGGGAACCAGCCCCTCCTCTGCCCAGCTTACCTGTTGAGAGCGACCACAGCGGCGCCAAGCTGGTCCTGCACCACCACGGCCAGGCCCACCAGGAAGCGCGGCGCAAAGCCAGGAGGCAGCACAGCCCCGTAAGTGGCCAGGCTGCCCTTGTAGATGCAGAACTCCTCGCAGTGGCCCTCACGGCAGCGCCGCTGCAGCAGAGCGTACACCAGGGGGGCGCTGGCGTCTTCGGCATCCTGCCAGCCTGAGGGCCCCACAAACAGAGTGGGTCAGCAGCCCCGCCCCTCCAGCGTGGCCACCATGCTGTCCCTTCCACAGTACCCTCCCAGGTCCCGCCCTCCCTGCTCTGGCCCCGCCCCTCTTCGGCCCCTCCATCCCCTGCTCTGACCCGCCCCTCCCATGGCTTGGCCCCCACCACTCCACAGCTCCTTCCACAAACCGTGCCCCTGCTCCTCCCATACCATGCCCTTGCACCAGCCCGCCAGACAACGCCCCTTCCTGGGCCCCGCCCCCAGGCCGCTGGTTCTGATCTGCACATACCTGTGCATTCGAAGTGCACCTCGGTGGTGAGGGCGCGCACAGCCTCCAGCGGGAAGAGGCGGCAGGAACCCCCTTGTGGAGGGCGGTTGGCTGCCAGGCGGATGGAGGCGCAGCCCTCGGCCTCCCCCGTCTGGTCCAGCACCGTGAGCGTGAAGACATAGCCCTCACCGTCCCGCAGTGCTCCCCGGCGCACCACCAGCCGCAGCTCTGAGCTGCCCGTGGATGTGCTGCTCTCATCCAGGACCAATGTCTTGTTACTGAAGGTGCGGGCAGCCCAGCGCTGCAAGGACGGGGATAGTTCAGGTGAGGGCCCCGTACTGCCTTGAAGCAGCCTTGCAGCCCCCAGCGGGTCCCCCACTCACCCCTCGCTTAGGGCCCCCACTGCAGCTGTCACAACGGCCCTCCAGGTACACGTAGGAGCTACGACTGACGGCGTACACGGCCTGCGCCTTGCAGGACACACACTCCAGGGACACGATGGGCACCTGGCCGCTTTGGATCAGCACCTGCCGGGCAGCAGGCTCAGAGGGGCGGTGCCCAGTGCCAGAGGACCCCCCTGCCAGAAAGTGCTGTGAGGGGGCCTGCAAGCAGAGCCTGTGGCCAGGGGTCATTTTCTCCGCTCCTGAGTGATGGACCTCCAGGGTCTTGCTCACCACTCATTGTGCCTAGGAGGCACTGAGAGGCCGTTGCCAGGATTCCCCGCCCCTGCCCAGCACCAGCTTAGGGCCCACCACTGAGGGGAGGGAGGGGCTGAGAGCACCAGGCAGCACACGCAGTTCTAGGAGTCGGGGGACTGCTACACTTCAAGAGGGCGCTGGACACCACCCCTTGGGCCTCACCGTCTGTGTGGTGGCCTCCTCCTTGCGGCCCGCTTTCCACACCGTCAGGTTGAAGGTGTACTCCACCCCAGGCCGCAGCCGCTCCCGTGGCACCCGCACCACACTGCTCCCACGGGGCCCGAAGCTCAGGGCACACCCGCCAGCGCTGCTCTGCAGACAGGAGGGCAGGGCCAGGGCCCGGGAGGGGTCAGGAGGGAGGCAGAGGTCCCTACAAGGACCAGAGCCCTACAGTACTGGAGATATAGCAGGTCTCCGAGCAAGTGGCCAGTCCCTGGACCCACAACTCACCTGAGTCGAGGCCACACAGGCCCAGTGGAAGCTTAGGGGCGTCTGGTCCCCGTCCTCCAGGTTGGGGTCGTAGGATTTGCTCCCATCCAGCAGAAGGTCGTGGGTGTCGGACCAGATGCGGTAGGAGCCACCCTCAATGATGGGCACCAGGCGCTCAGCCACAACCGTCACGTTGGCCTGGATGCTCCGTGCCAGGGGTGTGTCCCCGAATGACACCATGAACACAAAGCAGTAGTGGCCTACGGGCAAGGCTAGCCGTGGCACCACCAGCTGGGGCCGGTTGGTGTCCACACCAGGCAGGGCCATCTGGGCGGTACCCCGGGGCCGCTGGCAGTGGGCAGCACGGAAGACCTGCCAGTGGTACTCAGTCTGGTAGGTGACACAGCCCCGCAGGTCGACGTGGGCCTCCAGGTAGTTGCGCTGGGAACGCCGCATGAGCACCTGCGGTGGCAAGGCCACATCCACCTCGGGCTCTCGGCAGGCCAGCACATACACCGTGACTGCCGCCTGCGCCACAAAGAAGCTCACCAGGTTGGAGGCGTTCACCTGCACGCGGTAGTCCCCGGGCCGGAGGTAGGTGTGCTCGGCCCAGGGCACCTCCGTGTCCTGCACCGGCGCCCCATCCCCGAAGTCCCAGTGGTAGGCCACGTGCCAGGGCCCAGGGCTGGTGCTGGCCTCGAAGCGGGCAGAGCGGTTGGTGAAGCAGCGGCCATTATGCAGGGCCACCTGCTGGATGACGTCCTGCACCTCCACGTGCAGTGTGCAGTTCACGCCGCCCAGCTCGTTGAAGGCCCGCACCTGGATCTCCAGCAGCCCCGCGGCCACCGGCGTGTAGGTGACCTCCCGGCCCGACAGGATCACCAGCGAGTCCCCCTGGACCTTCTGCAGCGAGAAGTACCAGGCGTAAGCCACCCGCGAGCCCTGCTGCACCCGGGCTGTGAAGTTCCGCTCCGTGCCCGTGGCTATGCCGGCCTCGCAGCAGTCGGGCACCTGCAGGCCAGTCACGGCCTCCAGCACGGAGACGCGGACCTGCGCCTGCACCCGGCTCACATGGTTCTCCGCCTGCACGCTCACCACGTAGTCCCCAGCATGGCGGAAGCTGCGTGAGAAGTGGGGCCCGGGTAGCAACTCAGGGCTGGCCCCGCCAACCTGCAGGCGGTAGCTGACAGCAGAGCCGGCCGCCAGCAGGGCCTGGAAGTGGACAAGCTGCCCGGGCTCGGCCACCTTGCGACTCGCCCACAGCACAAGACCCACCACAGGCTCCTCCACTGTGAGGCTGTGCTCGGCCAAGGCCCAGCTGACGGCATTCGAGGCATTGAGCCGGACAGAGACCATCCCAGCATTAGGGAAGAGCATGGTAACACGCTGGCCGTACTGGCTGCCCCCTGGCATGGCCCAGCACCAGGTCACATTGGTGCCCGAGGCCAGCTGGCCCCAAAAGGACACGCTGGAGCCGGCAGCCACGAAGCCACCATCTGGCTCACTGGCCCCGAGACGGAGACCACCCACAGGGACCTGCACCGCCACCAGCATGGTGGCATTGGCAGAGCCCAGCCGGTTCTGAGCCGTGACTGTGACCTGGTGTAGGCCTGGGGAAGTGAAGGCACAGGTGGTGGACGGGCCTGCGGTCCCCCAGCTCGGCCCGTCCTCCAGGTCCCAGGTGTAGAGGACACTGCTGCCCCTGGCCAGTGTGGCAGACAGGGCCACAGTCTGGTTGAGCGCTGCTGGGTTGGGGGAGGCGGACACAGCCAGCCGCCCCACGGGCTCCATGAAGTCCACGGTGCAGTTGGTGGAGGTGCTGCCCAGCAGGTTGGTGGCACACAGCTGCACGTGGTAGGTGCCCGGCTCCAACACTGTCAGCGAGAAGATCCTGCCGCTGCCGGCCAGGGTGGGGGCCCCAGGGCGCTGGGCCGTCCAGCTGTAGGAGATGTTGGTGCCCTCGGCCACCACCGCGTGCAGCTGTAGCGTGTGGTTCGTAGGCACGCAGCCTCCACCGCCTGCCACCTGCAGGCCCTCGATGGGCTGCAGCACCGAGACAAAGATGCTGTCCTGGGCGCTGCCTACCTCATTCTCGGCGGTGACAATGACATTGAAGGTGCCCACAGAGCGGAAGGTGTAGGAGATGGTGGGGCCCCCGGGGATGGGTGTGCAGCGGTCGCACAGCACCCACGAGTAGCGCACGTCGCTGCCCGCCTCCAGGGTGGTGCTGAAGCTGACGCTGCCGTTCAGGGGCGCGACCGTGCGGCTGGCGTTCACGCGGAGGCCCCGCACAGGCGCCTGCACCGTGACGTTGAGGCTGGCCTCGGCCCGGCTCACCGCGTTCCAGCCAGCCACGTGGACGGTGAAGCGACCAGTGCTGTGGTAGGAATGGACGACGGAGGGGCCCTCGAGCTGCGCGCCATCCCCCAGCTGCCACAGGTAGGTGGCGGGGCGCCCCCGGCCCACGGCCGACAGCAGGTAGGGGCACTGCAGCTGCAGCACGTGGGAGCCGTTGACCTGGATCCCAGTGAGCTGCACAGGTTCCTGCACCTCCACGAGCACCGAGTCGTTGGCCACTGACACATTGTTGGACACAGTGACCGTCACCAGGTAGGAGCCAGGGGCTGGGTAGGTGAACGTGGCCTCAGGGCCCCCCACACGGCTGGGGGTGTTGGCGGCGCCGAAGTCCCAGGTGAAGCGGTAAGGGAAGGGCGGCCAGGCCTGGGCCTCCAGCTGGGCCTCATCCCCAAGCCGCACGAACTGCCTCTTCAGCCGCAGGGTGACATTGGCCAGCTCAGGCTCCACGCACACGCGCGTGAAGTAGTGTGCCTTGTTCACGCGGCTGGACAGCACCAGCGTCAGCGGGAAGATGCCACTGCGGGTGAAGTTGTGGGTCACCGAAGGGCTCCCCCTCACCGTGCTATTGGATGAGCCGTCCCCGAAGGTCCAGTCGAAGACGTAGTGGGCAGGGTCCCCCGTGACGTGGGCCGTGAGCTGGGCGCAGGGCTGCGTGGGGATGCAGGCCGTGGGCTCGATGCGCAGCACCTCCAGCACGAACACATGCAGGGGCAGGCTGTGGGTGAGGCGGCCGGCGGGGCTGGACGCGGCCACGGTCACCGTGCAGTTCTGTGCCCGCAGGTACACGTGCTCCACGGTGGCCTGGGGGCCCGACAGCACCGTGCCATCCCCCATGTCGAAGGTCCATGTGACGGCGTCGCCCGACTGCAGGCTGGCGCTGACCAGGGCAGGCGCACCCTGCTCCACCACTGGGCTCGCGTGCACACGCAGGCCGCGCAGCGCTTCATACACGCGGAGCTCAGCCCAAGCCACCTCGTGGCTGATCCCGTTGCTGACCTCCAGACGAACGTGGTACACACCGCGTGACAGGAACGTGTGGTTGGCCTCCGGCTGCAGCTGTGTCAGAGGTGGGGAGCCGTCCCCAAAGTCCCACGTGTAGTGGACGCCCCCGGGCAAGGGCAGGGGATGTGGTGAGAAGGTGGCAGGCCGGCCCGCCACCAGGACCGTGCTGCTCACGGCCACGGCCACGGCACTCAGGGCAGCACGCACACTCACAGGCAGCTGCTGTGTCAGGTTCTCGAAGGAGTTGGTCACCAGAAGCGTCAGGTTGTACTCACCTGGGGACAGGCCAGTGTGGGTGGGCAGGGCCACCCCTCTCTGCCTGGGGGCCCCCCAGGGCAAGCAGGACACCAGACCCTGGGGCTGTCCTGAGCATGGGTGCCACAGCATGTGTGAGACCCTATCAAGTTAGGGTAGGGAAGGCTACCGTGGGGGTGGGGGGTTGTAATAGGGGGCGAGGCTAACAGTCACCCCCTTCCCCACAAATCGGGCTCAAGTGACGGAGAAAGGGTCTAATTCCAGGACAGCAGACTGCGGTCACGGGGTGCAGGGCTGGGAGGGGCGAGGGTGGCCAGCAGGCCATGCTTACCTGGGGTTGCATAAGAGTGTGAGATGTTGTGTTCCAGCAGCACCTGGGCCACCGCGGGGTCCGGGACATGGCACGACTCATTGTACGGAGGTTTAAACTGGCCGATCACCTGCTCCCCGTCCCCAAAGGTCCACCTACACAGCAGAGGGTGGGGCGTGAGTGGGGCAGCTGTGGTGGGCGTGGGGGAGGCAGGGAGCTCAGCGCTGGCACTCACACAAAGGCCACCTCCACGGCCGAGTCCACCAGCACACGCGCTCCCAGGGCCAGAGAGGCGTTGGGGGGCAGCACGGCCGGCTCGGCCCACACCCACAGGTCCTGCATCCTGTGCATGCGCTCCACAGTGACGTTGTAGTGCACAGTGACGTTGCTCACATGGTTGGAGGCCGTCAGCTGCAGAGACAGTGGCAGTGAGTGTGAGCAGGGCCTGTGGGGAGGGGGAGGGGGGCGCAGACGCAGCCCTGCACTCACCCGTGACCAGAGCAGTCCTTGAGAGCATAGTTGGGGGAAAAGCACAGGTAAGGCCCAGCACCCCACAGGGCTTCCACCACCCCTGCCCACAGGCCAACACGCACACCCAGCAGCCACAGGGAACCCAGCATCAGCACAGCCCCACCCACCACATCCCCACTCACAGCCCCGCCCCCTCCGGCCCCATCAGCCATAGTCCCGCCCTTATCACAGTCCCGCCCATAGCCCCACCCCCACCGGTCCATCAGCCACAACCCCACCCACACCAGCCACTCCCACCACAGCCCCGCCTCCACCTGCCCCGCCCCGCCCACCACAGCTCCACCCCCTCTGGCCCCAGCCACGCCCCCTCAGCCACAGCCCTACCCACAGACCTGCCCACACCGGCCCCACCAGCCACAGCCTTGCCCACCGAGAGCTTGAAGACCGCAGCACTCTGGTAGATGACATTGAAGACCACATTGTGGAACGTCAAGGATTGTTTGTCGTCAATGGTCCAGCGGAAGATCACATCGGAGCCGGCCTCCACCGTGGGGCTGTACCTCTGCAGACAGACACGGTGATCAGCGCTGGCTGGGTCCCCTCACCAGACTCAGGGGAGTGCTGGGGAATCACCTGGTCACACTCTGCTCTCTCGCCTGTGTCCTCAGAGAGCTGCTACCAGTAGCAAAGGGCTAACCCACTCCAGTCCCCCTGCAGCCCTCCCCAAAGCCTCTACCAAGGTCACTGCCTGAGCAGGGGTGAACGTGTGTAGACTGAGGCAGGGGAAAGGCGTCTACCAGGACGAAGGCCACAGAGCAGTGTGGACGCTGGGGGGCTTTCCAAGGTGGCTGCGGGCCCCCTCACAGGACGCACCTGGAGCCAGCATGTCTCAGGGGCCGGGAGCGGTCCCCGCTCCAGGGTGGCTTCCCCACTTGGAACCTTGGGCACCAGCACTCACCACCAGTACGCCCTGTAGCACGCGGGCCTCAGGGCTGGGTGTGGCACGGAGGCCCAACACGGGCTCCTCGGCCCACAAGCGCAGGCTCAGGGCCTTGCTGCCCATGCCGCTCTCCACCAGCACCTCCAGGGCATGCTCGCCCACGCTGAGTCCAGGCAGCCGCAGCACCGAGTACAGGGTCGAGTTGGTCTCAAGGGCACAGCTGGGCACCAGAGCGGCAGCAGTGGCTGGGCATGGGGCCTCGAAGGGTGCAGTCACGTTGCCCCCAGGCCAGTGCGCTGTGGCCGTGGCATTGATGCCTGCGTCTATCTGCAGCACCAAAGCTGAGCCATTGGTGGGGACATAGAGGCGGCCGTCCTGGGGGGTGGGATGGACCAGCCGCAGCCCGGCCACTGGGGACAGCACGTCAAAGCCGCAGGTCAGGTTGTGCCGAGACACGCCATTGCTTACAGTGGCCTGGACCTCATAGCGCCCAGGACGCAGGAGCCCGGGGTTGGGGCTAGCACCCAGCAGTGGGGTCAGCCGTTCTGTGGCCGCAAGCAGCCGCAGGGCGCAGACAGAGCCAGCTGGGGCCGCCTCCAGCTGGTTGGGCAGGTGGGCAAGCCAGTCCGAGGCATTGGCAGAGAAGTAAGGGACCTGGGTGCCCGGCGGGCCAGATTCCAGGGGACAGTGCAGGAAGGTTCCTAGACCGGCATCATGCTGAAGGACCAGGAGGTCACCAGGGAGCAGGGGGCCAACCTGGTTCCGAAAGGTCACCTGCAGGCAGAGGAGATGCTGTGCCGGGTGGCCACTCCCCACAGGGGCCAGCACATGACAAATAGGGTCCCAGGAGGAGGCAGAGGCTCAGAGGCCAGAGACACCTGCTGGGCAGTGTCTGGGGTAAGGAGGGACAAGGTGGGAGCTCACCGAGTACTGAGCGGGGGGCCCGGCTGGCACAGAGAGAAATAGCTCTGTCCACAGTGCGCAGGAGGCCCCCGGGAATCCCGGTCCTGGCTGGGACCCATTGGCACAGGTCCTGGTGTGGCAGGCACCGGGGCACTGGCCTCCCTCAGGCGCACATGTAGGGCCCAGCTCTGCCCCGCTGCCGGGCTCACTGCTGTTTCCTGGGGCACCAAGGGAAAGAAGGGGTGTCAGGGGCCATCCTGGGCAGGGACCTCCCTGCCCCTGGAGCCCAGGCTGCATGCAGGGACACCGCGCCCACCTGCAGCCCCCATGGGCCGGAACACCTGCAGCCGCAGTTGGACAGGCCGGCCGAGCTCCTGGGTACCCAGCTGAGCTGCGGTGAGGAAGGCACCACGGCGCAGGCCCAGGTCCAGGTGAGGAAAGAGCATTACCTGCAGGGAAGGAGGGTTAGCACAGACCTGCCTCCGCACCCCACCGCCCTCCTGGGGAGGCTCAGTACTGACCCCTGACAGCCCCCACCCACACAGGCTTGGAGACGCTCCTCCCCGTCCATCCCGCCGAGCACGGGGAGACCACCCACCTCAACAAGATCCTGGGGGGCTGTGAGGGTCTCCTGTGGGGTCAGCGGATTCAGGGGTCCCTGTAGCTGCCCACTAGGGGCTCCCAGGAGGAGGGTCTCTGCGTCTTGCACGAGGCCTAGGGCAGACGGCAGTGAACTGCTGGCCCGCTGGTTGTCCCCGTGGTTGCCCGTGTTGGGGGCGCGGCTGGTCCCCACCAGGGCTGTACCTGTGGGCTGCAGCTCACACACATAGCTGTGTGGCGCTGAGCACAGGTCCGTGTTGCACTGGCCAGCGGGCCCGAGGCGCACGCAGTGCTGGGCGGAGGCGGGGTGCGGCTCCCCGGGCAGCCAGTTCTGACAGCTCTCCAGGCTGAAGGGCTGCTCTTCGGACCCCCGCCCCACCCCGCCCACTGCAGAGAGGCTGATCCAAACATCCAGGCTCCTGGGAAACACGGGGCAGGTGCTGAGCAGGCCCACCCCACGCTGCAGGGCGCTGAGCTGCAGCTGGGCACAGCCAGGCCCCACGGGCTGAGGCGCCACCCGAAGACTAGGCACCCACGGCTACCCAGCACAGGGAGGGACCGCCAGGCCCAGCCCTTCTCTGTGTGCAAGGGTGCGGCCACCCCCGAGCCCCATGAGCCAGATGTGCCCTGCCAATATAGGAGTGGGCCCGCACCTCGTGACCTGGGAGACCAGGAAGTCCTGGACGGCACTGCTGTCCACAGTGGCCAAAGCAGCACCAGCCCAGGTGTGACAGAGCTCCTGTGCCTGCTGCCACGGGGCCTTGGTGGCGACCAGGCGGTAGCAGTGCCCGTTGTCGGGGAAGATGACGGTGTCAGGGGGGCAGAATGGATGCACCACTGTGGACAGACACGGGCATCAGGGCCGCCCACCGCACCACCCCCCCACCCGCGGCCCTGAGAGTGGAGGAGTCCCACCTCGGGCCGGCTGCTCGCTCATGGACAAGATGCTGTAGGTGACCTCCAGCCCGGTGCCACCGCGGTTCCGGACACGCAGCTCGAGGGACTCCCCACTGCGCACGGTGGGCACACACTCCAGTTCCAGAGCGCTGGGCACTGCATCCACCTGCACCTCGGTGGCCAGCCGCACCACCCCTACCCCCAGGGCCAGCTGCACTGACACCTGGTAGCGCCCTGGTAGCATGTAGCAGTGGGTGGCATTGGGCCCGGCCATGCCCACCTCAGGGCTGCCGTCCCCAAAGACCCAATGTGCGGCCGAGATGGGCAGCGGGGCCGTGACGTGGAAGTCGGCAGGCTGGCCCGAGGCCAGGGCTCCGGGGGGCCCCAATAGGGCGGCCCCAGGGGAGGCGGGGAAGGGCTGCTGCACAAGGGTGGGGCCCCCACAGGTCGGCCCCGGGCTTGGGGGCCCAGAGCACACGGCCAGGCAGGCCGCAGAGGCGTTGAGGCGCCGAGTGGACCCACACAGGCATTGGCCCTGCTTGGAGAAGGCAGCCAGGTCCTGGCCTGCGGCAAAGCATATGGCCCCACAGGCCTCAGGGGCCAGCGGGCCGCCACCCTCAGCAGAGAAGGCCGCCATGGCCATGGTGTCCGAGCCGTTGTCCGGGAGGCAGGCGACATACTCCTCACCTGGGGGTAGGGGCAGTGGGGTCGGTGAGGGCTGCAGGGGCCACACTCGTCTCCCAGCCAGCGGGCAATCCACTTACCACACACGCTGTCCAGCCACGGGAGGTCCAGGAATGGTTGTCCGGCCAGGGGGCCGGGGCCAGCACAGGTGGCCGCTTCGGGCTGCAGCACGCGCACGCCCCGCTCCGCCAGCCAGCGCGGCAGCCAGGCCAGTGCACAGTCGCACTCCAGTGGGTTCCCGCCCAGGCGTCTGTGGATGGCAGGAGGGCGCCAGCCTCACATAGGGACGGGGGGACCGGGGCCCACCAGCACACCGACTGGCCAGCCAGGGTACCCCCGCCCCGGAGCGACATCACTTACATTTCACTTAAGTTAAATAAATTAGCAAATATCCCTTCCGGTAGCGTCGCGATCCTGTTGTGGCTGATGTCCCTGGAAAGAGAGTGGCTCAGCGCCAGCCAAAGGCCGGGCCCCTCCCGTGCATCCCCGGCTGCGACTCACAGCTCTGTCAGTGCCGAGAGGTTGGCCAGCAGCCCCGCGTCCAGTGCCCGGAGCAGGTTGTGGGAGACGTCCCTGCAGGCAGAAGCCAAGGTCAGAACATGCACCGGGTACCTCACGCCGAGCCCCGGCTCTGGGGAAACTGAGGCAGGAGAGCTGGCCCCCTCTGCCCCGACTTCCCCTGCCACCCAGCAGCCCATCCAGTGTGCCAGCCAGCCAGGCTACTGCCAGCTGAGGCGCCACAGCAGAGACCCACCAAGAGAGACAGGCAGGCACAGTGACGGCACCCCCACCACACGGCACACAGGCAGACATAAAGACGCACGGGCATGGCGGCCAGAAAGGAGCACAGCCTCAGCTACCAGCAGCACCCAGGAAGCAGGAGGGCCCGGGGGCAGCGAGGGGCTTTGGAAACCTGGGCCTGGAGAAACGCTGGTGGACAGAAGGCCTGGGAGCCACTGCCAGAGCCTGGGTGGCCATGGGGGCACTAGGGGGGCCCACAAGCCTCGCCCTGCCTGCCTGAGCCATGTCCAGGAGGCACACATGAAATGCCTTTGTGTGCGTGGGTGTCGTGGGCTCACATGCCTGCTTCAAGGGCACTCATGTATGCACGCGGATGATTATGTACATGCATGACTGCTGGGGGGGGGGTGGATACTGTGAGCATGTATTGTACGGATAACATGTGTGAGTGAGGACACTATGTGTGTGAGGACACCGTGCGTGAGGATACTGTATGTATGTGTAAGGACCCATTTGTGTTAGGACAATGTGTTGGGGGGAGGATGCTATGTGGACACCGTGTGTGTGGACACCATCTGTGTGTGAGGACACTGTGTGTGTGTGATAACACCGTGTGTGAGGACACCGTGTATGTCTGAGAACATTGTGTGTGAGGACACCATGTGTATGTGAGGACACTGTGTGTGAGGACACTGTGTGTATGAAGACACTGTGTGAGGACATTTTGTGTGTGAGGATACCGTGTTTGTGAGGATACCATGTATGTGAGGACACCATGTATGTGTGAGAGCACACCGTGTGTAAGGACACCATGTGTGTGAGGACACCATGTGTGCAGACACCGTGTGTGTGAGGACACTGTATGTGGGAGGACACCACACCATGTATGTGTAAGGACACCGTGTGTGTGAGGACATTGTGTGTGTGGGCACCATGTGGTTGTGTGGGTGCCGTATATATCTATGCACATGTACCGTGTGTATGGACACTGCATGGGTACATGCCAGCCCTTTCCTCCTGTGAACGGGGCACCTCTGTGTGGAACATGGCTTCCAGGAGCTGCAGTGGAGAAGCATTGGGGGCTGGGGCAACACCTGTCCTGGCTGCCCTAGCCTCCCCTGCCCTATGTGCAGGAAAAAGGGGGCCAGGCAGCATCCCCACATGACCTGGGGTGGGGGGACATCATGCTTAGGGGTGTGCCTCATTCCAGGCCCGGCAGATAGCAGGTGTAGGTACACAGATGCAGGTATGTTAGGTGCAGGTGCAGAGGTACAGGTGTGCAGGTGCACGGTACAGGTGCACGGATGCGCAGAGACAGGTGCACAGGTGCAGGTGCAGAGGGACCGGTGTGCAGGTGCATGAATACAGATGTGTAGGTGTGGGTGCTTGGTACAGGTGTGCTGCTGCAGATGCATGAGTATAGATGCATTTGTACTTGTATGGTGTGGGTGTGCAGGTACAAGTGTGCACATGCCCAGGTGTGGGCGTGGAGTATGGGTGCACAGGTGCAGGTGATGGGTGCAGGTGCGCAGATGGATGGGTGCAGAGGTACAAATGCACAGGTGCAGATGCACAGATACAGGTGTGCAGGTGCAGTTATAGGTGTATGGGTACAGGTGTGCAGGTATGGGTACATGGGTACAAGTGTGCAAGTATGGGTGTGTACATGGGTACAGGTGTGGGTGCGGGTGAAGTGTGTGGGTACAGGTGGGTAGGTGTGGGTGCATGGGTAAAGGTGTGCAGATGCGGGTGCATAGGCACAGGTGTGTAGGTGCTGATGGGGTTCATGAGTACAAGTGTGCAGGTGCGGTTGCATGGGTAGGAGTAGGTGCGGGTGCGTCAAGACAGGTATGCAGGTGCAAAGTACAGGTGTGCAGGTGTAGGTGTGTGTGGTGGATATGCAGATATACAGGTGTGCAGGTGCCCAAGTGCAGGTACAAATGCTTGTGTGGTGGATGTGCACAGACAGATGTGCAGGTGTAGGTACAGGTGCGTGTGTGGTGGATGCATAGGTACAGGTGTACAGGTGGGGGTATGCGAGTACAGGTGTGCAGGTGCTCAGGTACAGGGTACAGGTGTGTGGGTATAGGTACAGGTGTGCGGGTGCATGAGTATAGGTGCAGGTGTGCAGGTGTTCAAGTGCGCGAGTACAGGTGTAGGTGTGCGGGTGCTCGGGTACAAGTGCAGATGTGTGCGTGCACAGGTACAGGTACAGGTGTGCAGTTGCACGAATATAGGTGCATGTGTGCGGGTGCATGGATAGAGATGCAGGTGTGCGGGTACAGGTACAGGTGTGCAGGTGTGAGGGTACAGGTTCAGGCTGTGTGTGTGTGTGTACAGGTATAGATGTGTGGGTGCATGGTTACAGGTGCAGGTGTGCGGGTGCATGGACAGAGGTGCAGGTGTGCAGGTGTGCGGGTACAGGTTCAGGTTGTGTGTGTGTGTGTACAGGTATAGATGTGTGGGTGCATGGTTACAGGTGCAGGTGTGCTGGTACAGGTGCAGGTGTGCAGGTGCACGGGTACAGTTGCAGGTGCGCGCATGTGCAGGTACAGGTGTATATGTCGGGTACAGGTGCAGGTGTGCGGGTGCGTGAGTATACAGGTACAGGTGTGTAGGTGCATGGGTACAGGTATGCAAGTGTGTGGGTACAGGTGCAAGTGTGCACATGCACTGTTACAGGTGCAGGTGTGCACATGTATCATGTATGGGTATAGGTGCCGGTGTGCGGGTACAGGTGTGCAGGAATGGGCGTGCACAGGGCAGTATCCTTCTGCAGTGCCCCACCCAAGGAGACCACGACCACCCAGCCAGCAGTGGAGTGAGGCGCCTGCAGGAAGGGGCAGACTGGAGCCAACCCTGCACACAGAATGGCCAGGCTGTGCTGGACAGCAGGGCCAGCAGAAGCAACAAGGTGCCAGGGAGCCAGGCCAGTCTGAGTGAGGAAGGAAAATTGGTAACACAAATCCCACATCCTGTTTTCTGGAAAAATCAGAGTACCGGCGTCCAGGAGTGCCTGTGGTGCCCGCGGCAGGGTGAGTGGGGGCACCGAGGCTCAGCTCCACCAGCCCCCCATGGCGGGCTTGGGCCAAGCAGCAGGAGCCTGCAGGGGCTGGCTCTGGGACTCTGCCCTGGAACGGGCAGGGGAGGGGGTTCCTGAGAGCGTCGCCCCCCATACTGCACGTCACCACCTGCATCTGCCATCACTGTCCTGGGAGACCACAGTGGCCACCCCTGCCCCGAGAACACCTCCCTCATGCAGCCTGACACCCCAGACCGGCGAGACCCCACAGGGCACTCCTGCCAGGTCACGGAGGATGGCCCTGTCGCCCGGCCCCCAGCCCCAGGCAGGGATACCACAAGAGCAGGGTCCATGATGGACACTGGCTGTTCCCCCCAGGTTGAGCCTGTCTGGGACCCAGTGGGGGTGGGGTGAGCAGGGCCAAGAGTGTGGGTGGTGGGAACAGGAGGGGTGACGAGCAGCGGCTGCAGGGGCGGGAGTGCCTCAGTTTCCTTCTCTGCCCAGGAGGGGTGTGGCAGGGTGCCCGCACACAGGACCAGATGCCGGGCAGGGTCTGGGGGCCCCCGAGGAGGCGTCTGCACATTCCAGACGCATGCGGTCAGCGGCGGGGGCCGAGGCCAGCACCCCCACCCTGGCGCTGGAGCAGGGACGGGCGGTGTGGGGGGCCCTGCAGCTGTTACATAACCCGTGCGCAAGCCAACGGCTCCTCCCTCTGGCAGGGCCGCACCAAGCCGAGGGCCCCTGTGCCTCCACAGGCTCCAGAGAAGGGGGTTCCCCTGGGCCCCCCAGGGCAGGGACCCCTGCAGGTCCCCCCGCCTGGGCAGAGGGGCCAGGGCCAGACTGGCCTCACAGCCTCCCTCCGCTCATTCCTTTCTATTTACGGCGGCGGCAGCCGCGGGAGTGGGCAGGCTGGCTTCCAGTGGCGGAAACGGTGAGGCTGAGGGCCGGAATCCAGGCTGACGGCAGGCGAGCTGGCCAGGCCCTCTCTGTGGGGCCCCAGGCCGGGGGTCCTGGCAGGAAGACGCGCCCCTGAGGAGCCTGGGGTGTCCACCAGGAGCCCCGTCGGCCCAGGTCTCTGGCGGGGAGCTGGTTCTTGCTGCGTCTGGAGCCTCTCCAGGAGCCCCTGGCGCCCACATACCCTGGGACTCTTGCCCACCCCACAGAGCTTCTGTCCAGCGTCACAGGACACAGCCATGAGCCCCCTCCACGGACACGTCATGCTCCTGGAAAGGGGGGCCCCCCAAGGCACCCAGACCTGAGCCCCAGAACCTGCCCACGAATGTTTTCCTTTCTGAGCCGGCGAGTGTGCAAGCAGGCGGCGGCTGGGCCCGTCTGGGTTCCCAGGGCTGGCACCAGCCGTGGCAGAGAGTTCCAGAAGGCAAACTGCACTCCTGTCCACAAGCTCCTCAGGGGAGCTGCCCACTGTGCGGGTGGGCAAAGCCATCGTGGAGGGGACAGCTGGCCTCAAGTCTCACGCCTGCGGCACCCAAGGGGTCAGGCCATTGCTCAGGTGACAGGATGAGCTGAGTTGTCCAGCCCTCTGCTGGGGCCCTACAAACACAGCAGCCGCGCCAGCCCACACAGCCCCACTCCCCAGCTCCAGGGCCTCACCGGAGGGGCCTGGGTCCCCTGACCACATGCCGGCAGGGGGCCCAAGACGGACTCCATGCGGAGCCAGCCGTGGGCAGGGCAGGGTCAGGCCCCTGCTGGGGGCAGCGTGTGGTGTGAGAATGGGACGCCCCGGGACAACCCTGTCAGGGCCATGCAGGGCACCCACGGGGAATAGACAGCGGGGGTCTCGGAGCTGGGCCCCGCAAGGCTCCGTAGAGCCCGGGGTTATGCAACCATGGCGGCCTCATTCCAGACCGGCCTCGTCAGCCACCGCCCATCCCCACCCTGCTCCCAGCGCTGACTCACTGGGGGCTGCAGGGGGCAGAAGCTGCGTTCCTAGCCCTCTCCTGCCCCCATGCCAGCATGGGGTTGCTCTGGACAGGAGGGAGCCCCTGGGTGGGCGCGCCAACCAGCACCGAGGCCTGGATCCCACCACCAGGCACTGTGACGGCCTCCTTGCCCGCGGTCCCCCAGTAAGTGGGTGCAGCAGCCCCTCCAAAGTGACCCCGCCCCTTTCTGTGTGGCTTCTCCCCATGGAGAGAGCCGGGATGGGCGCAGCAGAGCACCCGCCAGGCAGAGACACCCCAGGAGCACCAGCCAGATGTGGCCCCAAAGCAAACAGGCCAGAGCCAGCCATGTGAGGGGACCCTGGAGGGCGCCCGAGCTGTACCCCAAACAGTAACTAAAGCACAGGGCCTCTGCTGTGCCCCACCCCTGAAGCCTCCAAACACACGTGATGAGCAGGGCCTGGGTGGGATGGGTCCGGGGCGCTGGACTCCTGGGCCGGGACGCAGGGACACCAGGGGCTAAGCTGGGAGTGAGGCCCCCAATAAATGATCAATGAGTTCCCGGTGGGAGAGCCAGAGCAGAGCCCCCGCCAGCCCCCCTCATTCTGCCCAGCTCCACTGGGTCATGGCCGTCACCTGGGACTTGTGACAGGAGTTCCAAGTCTCGGACACCCCGGAAGGCAGCCCGCACTGGGCCTAGAGCCCACTCGGAACCAGGACCAGCTGCTACGCCCACAGGCGATGGGCAGCCCACTCAGGCCCACCCAGCCACTCTCATCGCCACACTAACAAGTGTGGGACAGCAAGGCAGGCAGGCACTGGCCCTGCACACGGCCCACCTGGTTTTGGTCCCCATCACCCCATATGGTCCTCTGGGCACTGCTAGGGGTGATCCCTGAGCGTGAGCCAGGAGTCAGCCCTGAGCACCACCAGTGTGGACTCCCCGCACTGAAAGGAAGTTTCAGGACCCCGGCAGGGTGCTAACCAGGTTGCATCCCTGGCACCACACAGGTCCCCAGGCCCCCTGCCAGGCATGATCCCTGAGAGGGGTGGCAGTGGCTGGCGACATCGCCTGCTCAGACTGGGGGGCCCGAGGAGTCTCAGCCAGAGGCCCTGGCTGTACTGGGGTCACTCGCTGGAGGTTCTGGGGGCCAGGTGATGCTGGGGAGGGACTGGCAGGGGCCAGCACTCGGGCCCTATTTCTTAAGGGTCCTCGCCCCCAGTCCTGCCTTCAAAGATCCCCTCTGGGGTGGAGAGCGAAGACCGAAAAGCTGGCAGGGCGCCTGTCTCACACGTGGCCAAGCCTGGTTCGGTCCCAGGCACTCTCCCTGGTTCCTGAGCATGCCAAGAGTAAGGGGGGTGGCTAAGCGTTGCCCCTCCCGCACAGAATGCCGGTCGCACCCCAGGGGCTGCCGAGGGCCAGCAGCTCCCCAAACCCCAGAGCAAGGTGGACAGGAGGGACGCCCAGGCGCCATGCCTGCTTTCCCACAGGGCACGAACCGCCCGGACGCTAAGCAGAAATGCAGTCCCCAGCCCCCACGCTCACTCCATCCTCAAGCCCCGGAACACGCAGCCAGACCCAGGGCCCCATCAGGGGCAGCTGTCCTCCTAGCAGTTCCCATCCCCCAGAGGTGAGGGTGGTCTCAGGAAAAAGAGGACACTGCAGGCAGGGGGCTTCTCTACACAGCAGCCGCCCACCTGCACCCTGACAGCCAGACTCCTCTGCAGGCTGACCCTAGGACCGGGCCAAAGGAAGCCCCAGGTGTGACAGGCCCTGAGCGCTGGACTCTCAGGGGCGGGGGACACGGGAACGCCCAGGTGCCGAGCTGCGAGAGAGGTCCCCAATAAATAATCAGCCCCAGGAGGGAGAGCCCAATCAGAGCCTCCGGCTTCGGACCCCTCATCCCGCCCAGCTCCACCTGTGACCGTCCTGTCACCGGTTAGGAGGGGGCCTTCCCTGGACACTCAGCCAGGCCCTCCGCAGCCAGCACGCCCAGGACAGCGGGGCCCCGCCCGCGGCAGCCCGCGCCCACGGGTGCTCCCTACACGCGCGCACGGCCCGGACCCGGCGCCACTCGCCTTCCCGCCCGCCCTGGCCCGGGCCCCCGACACTCCTGCCAGACACCCCGGCCAGGTCGGCCTCCGCTCCCATCCCCGCCGCCCAGCGGGCTCTCGCTGCCCGGGGCTGCCCGGCCCGGGGCCAGGCCGCGGCCTAGCCGGTACTCACAGCGCGGCGGCGGCGGCGGGGATGCGCAGCGCGGGCCCGAGCGAGCCCAGCCCGCGGCCCGAGCAGTTGGCGAGGCAGCCGGCGCCAGGCGCTGGGCCGCACAGGCAGGGGGGCGCGCACGGGCCGCAGCCGCGCCCGGGGCCCCCCGCCAGCGACCCGAGCCACAGGCCCAGGCCCAGGGCGAGCGCCAGGCGGGCGGGCGCGGCGGGCGGCATCGTCAGGGCAGCGCGCGCATGGCTCGGGCCCCGGGGCGCCGGGCGCCAGCGGCCGACGCTCAGGCGGGGCCCGCGGGCGACATGGCGGGGCGCGGGGCGGGATCCGGCGGCGGCCGCGGCCTGTCTCCTGCACGACGCCCGCTCGGCGCTCGGCCCGGCCGCGCTCGGGGTGCTGGGCCGCCAGCTCGGGCGCTCGCGCTGCAGTGCGGCGGCCGCCGGCTCCGCCCCCTGCTGCCGCGGGGCGGGGCCGCGGGCGGGGCGGGTCCAGCGCGGGGCGGGGCGGGGCGGGGCAGGCGGAGGCGGGGCCCGGCCGCGGCTCCGCCCCGCGCGCCCAGCCGCGCTGTCGTCCTGGACGGTCCGGCGCTCGCGGGCCGCGCGCTCCTGCGCCCCCCGGCCGAACCCGCGCCTCTCGCTGCCCGGCGCTGTGAGACGCCGCCAGCGCTGCGACCCCCGCGCCTCGCGCCCCGTGCCCCCGCGACTCTCGGTCGAGCACGCCCGGCGGAGGCGGGATCACGTCGCGGATCGGGTCCAGCCCGGGACTGGGCAGCGGGGGAGCCCGCTGGCGGCTTCCAGCACCCAGCACCTCCCCGCCGTCTGGTCCAGGTCCGCCAGGAGTGCTCCCGCGTCCCGCGGACTGCGCCTCCAGGAAGGCCGCCGGCTCCCTCGCGCGCGCACCGGCGTCCCGGCAGGGAACAGCGTCCACGCCCCGACCCTCAGCAGCGTTGGCCCTGGACGGCGGGTCCTGTGGCCCGCGGGAAGACATCACACCAAATACGCCAGTGCTACCCAACAGAGAGAAAAGTCTGATTTCAGTGAATTCTGGAAGCAAAGGTTTGATTGTCAGCTAACGGTAACTTTAGGAACCGGCCTAAAACGAATGGGGAAATCCGAGGGAAGAGAGAGGAGGGGCTGGTTGGGCGGGGAAGAGTCCATCGTGTTCACCAGGGCCTCGGACAAGCCGGCGGCCCAGACCCAGGCGATGCTCAGAACCCTCGCCAGAGTGAGGACACAGCTTACAACAAAACCCAGAAGGGCTGATTTTTTTTTTTTGTCTTGGGCTGGAGCCATAGCACAGCGCATAGGGCGTTTGCCTTGCACGTGGCTGACCCGGATTCGATTTCTCCGCCCCTCTCGGAGAGCCCAGCAGCTACCTAGAGTATCCCGCCGGAGGCAGAGCCTGGCAAGCTACCCGTGAGTATTTCATATGCCAAAAACAGTAACAAGTCTCACAATGGAGACGGTGCTGGTGCCCGCTCGATCAAATCCATGAACAAAAGGAGGACAGTGCGACAGTGCTATTTTTTTTTTTGTCTTGGGGCCAGGAATTATTCCTAGCAGTGCAAAGTTCATGTCTTGCATGTGTGAATCTTGAGTGTTCCATCTCCCCAGGCTAAATAAACAGCCCTGTTACCTAAACTAGAGTTAAAAATTAGTTCTAAAGTACAAACGAGGGGGTGGTGGGAGGGATACTGGGATTGGTGGGGATGTAGAATGGGCACTGGTGGTGGGATGGGTGCTTGATCATTGTATAACTGAAACCCAAGCACAAAAACTTGTAAGTCTACAACTGTACCTCATGGTGTTTCACTAATTTAAATTAAAAAACAAAAGAGTACAAACCAGTCCTGTATGCGGGACTTGTGGGGCACCACCTGGGAAAGGGTTGGCAAGGAGGTGCTCTTGGGCAACAGCGCCCCCTGGAGGCGATCGCGGTCCTCGCTCGGCGGCCGCCCTGCTTCCAGGGCCCAGCCTGGGGCCAAGGGTGGGAGATGGCTGAGAGCCCCCCACCCATGGCAACGGGAGCATGAGGGGAAGCTCGGGCACCTTGATGGCGGTGTCACCGCTGCGAGCCCCTGTCAGTCAGCACTCCGTGCCCTTTCCACCTGACCTGGCGGGGGCAGTGGGGCTGCCTGAGAGGGAGCACGAGCACCCTGGGGTGCGGCTGCAGAATTAACAAGGCTGGGACCTGGTTTGACTCTGACACCATACTGGCCTGTCCTCCACGTATTGCCGGACACAAGCCCAAGCACCGAGTTGAGAGTAGCGCCTGAGCACTGTCATGTGTCAACCAAAATCAGGAGTATACAGATTTTAGGGGGGGCTTTGGGTTTCTGGGGGGCCCACACCCTGCGATGCTTTGGGGTTACTCCTGGCTCTGCATTCAAGAATTACTCTTAGTGGTGCTAGGGGACCATATAGGACGCCGGGGTTTGAACCTAGATCAGCTCCATACAAGGCAAACACCCTCCCCCACTATACTATCTGTCTGACCCCAACAAATGTCTGCTTTTGGTTTTGTTGGCTTTGTATCAATGGAAGTAGCTCAAATAATTTTTTTTTTATTTTTTGCTTTTTGGATCACACCCGGCGATGCACAGGAATTACTCCTGGCTCTGCACTCAGAAACTACTCCTGGCGGTGCTCAGGGGAACATATGGGATGCTGGGAATTGAACCCGGGTCGGCCACGTGCAAGGCAAATGCCCTACCCGCTGTCCCTGTGCTATCACTCCAGCCCCTGCTTTTTAATTTTTTTGAGCCACATCCAGGTGTTACTCTTGGCTCTGAACTCAGGGATCACTTTTGGTGGTGCTCAGGGGACCATAGACGTTGCCAGGAATTGAACCTGGGTCAGCCAGCCGCATACAAGGCAAGCACCTTATCTGTTGTACTATCTTTCTGGCCCCCTCAAGGGATTTTATTACTTGATCACTTGACATCCCATTACTCATCGATTTGCTCGAGCGGGCGCCAGTAATGTCTCCATTCATCCCTGTCACATGCTAGTATAGCCCAATGGTATCTGCTCGCTCCAGGAACACAAAGCGCCTCAAACCAATTGTTCAGGGTCTTGACAAAGAAGTATGACCATCTTGTAGGTGGGCGGCTATGCAATCTTTTGACGTCCCGTGGAATCCAGTCGGTAACGGCTCTAGTCCAGCGGTCGTCTCCAAATCGCATTACGCAGGGCTGGAACAATAGCACAGCGGGTAGGGCGTTTGCCTTGCACGCATCCGACCTGGGTTCGATTCCCAGCATCCCATATGGTCCCCCAAGCACCGCCAGGAGTCATTCCTGAGTACAGAGCCAGGAGTAACCCCTGAGAGTTGCTGGGTGTGACCCAAAAAGCAAAAAAAAAAAAATCGCATTATGTGTCCAGCCCATCTGATTTTTGACACCTTGGCAAATGAAACAGCATCCCTGATTCTTGATCGTTGACGGAGATCAGAACTCCGGATTCTTTCTCTCACTTGAGTGAAGTGTGATACTCCAAGCATAGCTCTTTCGATTCCTCTTTGGGAGACCCAAATAACATTCTCATCCTGTTTTCGTGGGGCCCAGGTCTCTGAGACATATATTAAAAATGCAGGAAAAACAGTGGAATAGAAGAGATGTGCCCGAAGCCAGAGGTCCTCTTAGCTATTTCTTCGACGCTCTTGAAGGCGTTCCAAGCTGCTCTCTTCCTCCTGCACGACTCAGGTGCCAGATCATTTGTCATGTTGACTTCTCGACCTAGGTACACATAACTGTTGCATTAGGAGATGTTAGTTCCGTTGAGAGCAAATGGAATGTCAGGAACGAGACCGATTCTCATAAACATTGTCTTCGTGAGATTCAACTATAGTCCGACCTTTCCACACTCATGGCTGAAGTCAGCCAGCATTTGTGCCACTTGGCTAATGTTTGGTGTTATTAGAACGATGTCATCAGCGAAGCAGAGGTGGTGTAGTTGCCGACCGTCTTTCTCATTTCTTCCCATTCTAGTCGTTGCATGACGTTCTTGAGGGTGGTGCTGAAGAGTTTCGGCGAAATGGTATCACCCTGCCGAAACCCTATCTTGACATGGATGATCACTTCCTTGTAGAATGGTGAAATCCTGGTAGTGAATCCATAATGCAGCTCATGGAGGATCCTGATGTATTGATTTTGAATGCCCCATTTGGCTAGGGCCTCGACGACTGCTTCAGTCTCAACAGAATCAAAAGCCTTCTTTAAATCAGTGAACGTTAGACAGAGCAGCATCCTGAACTCCTGAGAAACCTCAATGAGCTTGGTTATAGTGTGGATATGGTGGATCGTGCTGAATCCTTTTTGCAACCTGGCTTGCTCGCATGGTTGTCCTTCATCTAGTGTTTTACCAATCCTATTCAGGATGACTTGAGTGAACAGCTGGTAGACGACAGACAACAGGCAGATCGGGCGATAGTTGCCAATGTCGTGGATGTCTCCCTTCTTGTACAGTAGAACAGTCTTGCTGGTTTTCCACTGGGACGGAACCTTACTTTCAGACAGGTAGCATGTGAAAAGCCAAGCCAGTGTATTGATGAGTACTGGCGGCATGTTCTTCAGGTGTCCAGGTCTGACCTTGTCTGGCTGGGTGCTGTTCTCTTCTTTACTGACGAAATGGCATGTCGAATTTCAGAAGGGAGAATATTGGGAACGACATATCCATCCTGCGGAATTTGGTATGTGGGCAGGTGGACGTGGCTATCAAAGAGATCCGAGTAGAAGACATGGATAATCTTCTTCATTGCCCTTCTGGAAGATGTGATAGATCTATCAGGACGTCGGAGGGCAGTCATCTTGGTCCTGTAGTTGGCGAAGGACAGGCGGGTGTTACGAATGCTTTTCCCAGCTTCTGCCGCATCTGCCAGCACTGCTGCTCTTCTCTCTGTGAGGTCTTCCTTTATCACTACTCTGCACTGCTTTGTGAGCTCAGATGTTCAATTGCGGCTGCCTGAGGCTCGCACGAAGCCACTGAATCTATTTTGCTGGCTTTCTAGTAACAGAAGTGCTTTTTTGACCCAATGTTAACAAGCAGGAAACAGGCTAGTTATACTAAGAAACGGGGGATAATCCCAATTGGCCGACAGGGAATTTTTACCCTGGAGACTGCCTTTCCTTTCTCAGTCCATCAGTTTTTTGATCGATCAAGTATATATGTGTACACATGTATATGTGATGTTTTCTTTCTACATATGATGTTTGTTGTTCTTCTTCTGTCTGTTGAGTACTCAAATGTTAGAGTTAGGTTAAAATCAAAAGGGATTTTATTTAAAAAAAATACAAAACCCTGGTGGGTCCAGAGCAATAGTACAGCAGGTAATGCTCTTGCTTTGCACACAGCCAGCCCAGGTTCAATCCCTGCCACCCCATATGGTCCCCCAAGCCCTGCCAAAAACAATTCCAGAGCCAGAGTAATCCCAGAGCACCACTGGGTTTGGCCCAAAAACAAAACAAAATAAAATAAAATAAAATGAAATAAAAAAACTTCCTGGTGGTCTGTGCCACCCCAACCCCCAATATGTAATAATAATAATTAAAAAAATATTCAAGGGATCAAAAACCCAAAAAGACTGAGAAATATCCAGGACATGGAGGAGAGGCAGGTGGCAGAAGCAAGACCACAGAGATGAGAGATAGTGAGTGGGGAAGGAGCCCCTCACCCACTCATACCACATGCCCAATCCAGGGTTAGGAGCAAGGAGAGGACAGCAGGGAGGGCACTTGCCTTGCATGGAACCAACCAGGGTTCAATCTTCATCCCACCAGGAGTGATCCTGAGCTTAGAAGCAGGAGTAAGTCCCCTGCTCACCCCAAAATAAAAGCAAAACCTGAGTTAAACTTTTTGGTTAGTTTGGTTTTGGGTCACACCCGGTGGTCAGGGCTTATTCCTGGCTCTGCACTCAGGAATTATTCCTGGTGGTTCTTGGAGGAACATATGGGATGCCAGGGGTCAGACCCACATATGGTGCATGCCAGGCAAGTGCCTTGCTGTAGGTACTATTCAGCCCCAACAAAACTTGAATTTAACTTGAAAAAATGGGGGCGTACACCTGGCAATACTCAGAATTTATTTCTGGCTCTGCACTCAGGAATCACTTGTGGGATTGTGTGGGGACCATATGGAACCTGAGTTGGCTATGTACAAGGCAAGCACCTTGCCGGCTCTTGGCCCCTGAATTAAACTCTTAAGAAGAACAAAGATTTGTTTACAGAAAGGGAGAAAAATCACAAGAATTATGTTCAACTTATGTCTAAGCTTTTGAAATCTAGAGAAGATCATTACACATTAGAGCATGAAACCAGGGGTGGAGAGCTAGCACTCAGGAAAAGCATTTGCCATACGCAGCTGACCAGGCTGCGCCACTGGACTCCACATGCGTCCCGGCACTGCTAGGAAAAATTCCCAAGAGAAGAGAGCTCAAACAAACAAAAATACAAAACTAAAAAACTGACTCAAGGAATGAAGCAGCCAATGACCCTGCACCACCTCCCTCTGCCTGCGCCTGTGGATAGATGGGACCCGCACTGCCGGCTTCTCCCTGTAGATCTGTGTACCCGAAGATGAGCCGGTGCGATGCCAGCGTTGTCCCCGCGCTCGTGAAGGCTCACAGCCAGTGCTGGACAGGAACAGAAGGAGGGGCGCAGCCCGTGACATCAGGCTCTGCCGGCCACGGCACCGCCAGACAGAAGCCCCAGCCAGGACCTCCCGCATGTCCCCTGAGCCCCGAGGTGTGGCCCACCCCTAACAGAAAACTCAAGCGGAGTGGAGATACCAGGATGGGGCCATCTGTGTGGCCGGGGGCCTCTTTGGGTGTGATGCAGGTGGGTGACAGCTGTGGGTTACCCCGGGGGAGCGGAGGGAGAGTGACGGTGGTAGAGAAGGCTCCGGCAACCGGAGGGCTGTGGCTGCCAGCCACGGAGAACCGGGGAGCACCCAGTCGACCGCGGGGGACCGGTTTTCCCAGAGTCTCCCGCTGTGCCGACCTGAGCCTGGAGCGCCCCGGAGCTTTAGGCTCCCGAGCGCGGCTTGAGTCTGGCCTGAGGAGATGGGACGGAGCCCAGCAGGTTCTCTGGTACCCGGAAGGACAGCGCTGGGAGGCCGGGCTCCTCATTCTTGCCTTTACCCTCTGCACCGTAGCGGGCAGGGGCAGGCAGATACTCTCGCGGGCATGTCAGCAAGCACTGCCATGCTTCCCGGTTGCCATGGCTATGTGGCTCCTTTCATGACTTTGCACTGGGCCTGTTCCTGCCACAGGAAGTCTCCCTGTGCGGGTGTGTGTGCACGTGTGTGTGTGTGTGTGTGTGTGTGTGTGTGTGTGACCCCGGGGTGCTCAGGGCCACCGCTGGCAGTGCTATGGGACTGTGTAGGACTGAGACAGGCAGAGCACACATGTGCCAGCCCTCTGAGCTGTCCCTGGCCCCAGAGCAGCCTCTGAATACCACACTGGTGGCTCTGTCCAGCCTCCCCCTACGCCCTCCTGCCCCCGCTGGCTGTCTGGGTCCCAGGGAGCAGGGCTGCAGAGACTGAGTCTGTCACGAGGCATCGCTCCTTTCCTGGGAAGGGTACCTGAATGGCTGCGGGGCCTTGGCAGGGAAAGGCTCCGGCTGCAGGTGGGGGGCGTGTCAGTGGCATTCTGCACCTGGCAAGGGGCACCTCTGGCACCAGCCACTTTCTGGGCCTTTCTGGTTCTCTACTTGGGGTGGGAGGCACATGAGTGAGGCTGCGGTTCCCGGCTGCTGTCTCCATGGCAACTTCCACAACCAGGTTTCATAGAACATCAGCAGGAAGGGACCTCCATGGAGCGCTGTTCCTCGCACCCCCTCAGTTCACAGAGAGGGCAGGCCACTTGCCCAGAGTCACACAGCAAGCCAGGACCCAGCAAGACCTCTACCACCCCTCTCCGTGCGCAGCCTGTCCTGTGATGGTAATATGGGATGCACTGCCCTGTGGGGTCCCGGGGAAAACGCTCTGGGGCATTGCCACCACCTCCCGCCCAGAGGCGCCCCAAGTCCTGTGGTTTGGTTCTGCCCAACAGTGCTCTGCCAGTGTTGGCACTTTCTCCCCTGGCCCGTGGGGAGAAATTCTCTGTTTCTCTGCAGAGGGTCTCATGCTCGCCAGTCCCAACCCAGACCCCAGGCCCTGCCCCCTGCGCCCCTGTAGGCACTGCCCACCGGCCTGGTCCCAGGCCCTGCCCCACGCACCCCTGTAGGCCTGTCTGCTGGCCTGTCCGGTGAGCAGTGACGTGTCGCCCAGAGTGACGTGTGTGTTCTTGGAGTCTCTCTCGCATTAGGAGCTGTTTACTGAGGCTAGGAGCCAGCTGCCAGGGATATGGCAGCAACCGAGACAAGCTGTTTCCTGTGCCCAGGGAGCCTCTGCCCGGGGGGACACAGATGGCAGAGAGGCACCCAGGGGCTCTGTGCGCAGCCCAGGAACAGGCTGGGGCAGGCGCAGCGCAGGCCTGAGAGGGGCAGGGCCCACACCTGGGTGTGCGTCTCGCACTCCTGAGGCCAAGGCTGGGGGCCTCAGCACCCTCCCCTCAGCCTTCCTGTGGACTCAGAGGTGCCCCTGCTTTCTCTGGTCACCCCAACACCGGCCTCTCCCCCGTGTTGCTTGAAGCCTAAGCTCAAGTACTCCCTAAATGTCACTGGCTCTCATGCCCTGGCTGTGCTCAGAGGTTGGCCTCCTGGGTGGGAATCCTGGAGCCTCAAGGCCCTGGGAAGGGGGTGGGTAATGCCACACTCCAGACCCCGATGACACTTGCCTCTGGTGGCCTGGAAGTTGTGGGATCTGAGAGCAAGAAGGAAGGGGGTGAGATGGGGTGTGGAGGAGGCCTTCCTGGGCTCTCCTGGGTGGGATGGGGTTTCACCTGAGCTGCACCGGCCGCCGGTCTGCCCTCTGGGCTTCGACTTCCCTCTGGACACTGGGCCCAGAGTCCCATCCATGGGGCTCCTGCGTCAGGGAACAGCCAAACCCCAACACTGGGTGGAGGTGCAGGTCGGAGCCGAGACCCCGGGGGAGAGCACAGAGAGCACAGGCGGCCATCCGAATCTAGCTTCTTTCTCCACTCCTTGAGACAGACTCCCACCGAGGTGCACGGAGTCCCGCCAGCCACGGCCAGAAAGAAGACCCCCAAGACAGGCTGGGACGCCCCCCTGCCCCCGCGCCACCCAGGACCCTCAGGTTTCAGCTCCGGGGTCCCGCGGCCCTGGCAACCCGAGCTGCGTGCGCTGACCCCGTTAGGGTCCGCCTGCTGAACTCAACTGGAGCGGGCAGGGGCGGACCAGGGGTTCGGGGGCACCGAGGGCTAAGAAGAGGCAGGACCCCAGAGTACCCACCGCGGGGCAGGGGCAGCCGAGCGCAGGGTCCGGGGCGGGGCGGCGGCTGCGGGCCCGGCGCGGAGAACCCGCCTCCGCTACGGGCCCCGCCCCGCCTAATTTACATGCACCCGCCCCCGAGCGGCCATTGGCGGGCGGTGGAGGGAGGCCGGGCCTGAGTGGCTGCGGCCGCGGGGCGGCGGGGGCGGGGCGGGGGCGGGGCGGGGCGCGGAGAGCCAGGCCGGGGATGCTGCCGCCGCCGCCGCCGCGGGACGGGTTCGGGTCCAGGTGCGGCGAGGCGGGAGCGGGGACCTGGGCGGCCCGGGGCCAGGCGGCTGCCCGCCATGTCCAGAAAGAAGACCCCCAAGAGCAAGGGGGCTGGCACTCCCGCCGCCTCCGCGCTGCCCGCGGCCAACGGGCCCCGGGCGGCACCCCCCGGGACAGGGCGCGCGGGCCCCCAGGGGCCGTCCGGAGGCCCCCCGCAGCCCGGCCGGCCCTCGCTGGGCGGCGCCGGCGACTTCTACGACGTCGCCTTCAAGGTGAGCCGGCACCCCGCCCCCACCCGGAGCGCAGCAGGTGGCGGCGGCCGCAGCCCCGAGCCTCCGTCCGCGCTGCTGTCCGGCGCGGACTCCCGGCCGCTGACCGGCCCGGCTCCCCGCCCCGCCGCCTGCCGCTGTTGGGGTGGGATGCGCCTCGGGAAGGGGGCTGCAGTTGGGGGGCCAGGGCAGGGCGAGACCGAGGCTGAGGCTTGTGAGTGGGGGCGGGGGCGGCAGGTGGGACCTTCTTGAGGTTTGGGGGGCCCTTGGAAGCCCGCCGGGCTGAGACCAGAGACCCTGATCCTCTGCCCGCCAGGCACTTGGCCGGGCCCTTCCCACGTCAGGATCCGACCTTCGTCTGTCGCGTTCCCAGTCTTGCTGGGATCGGAAGTAGCCTCGGGTATCCCGAGTGCCACAGATTTCTCAAGGGGTCCCAGCTGCCCCGCAGCCTGACCCTCAGCGGTCCTCATCAGTTCTCATATCCAGGCCTGGTGGGGCTTGGGAGCGCCTGGAATAGACTGGTGTATCCAGACTGGCTCAGGAGAAGGGGCAGAACCTTTTAGAGGTGGACGGGCGGTGTCCAGGGCAGCGGAGACTGTGGCGTCCCTCGCTCCTGCCCCCACACCTCCCTGCTTCCTGCCTGCCCAGGTGATGCTGGTGGGGGACTCAGGTGTGGGGAAGACGTGTCTGTTGGTGCGCTTCAAGGACCGTGCGTTCCTGGCTGGGACCTTCATCTCCACTGTGGGCATTGACTTCCGGGTGAGTGAGGCTGACCCCCACAGGTTCCCCCACCACTCCCCGGGCAGTTGGCTCACCCCTGTCCCATGGTGGCACCAAGCGGGGCCTTAGCTGCCTGCCTCCGTGCCCTGTTTGAAACAGCCCCAGCGAGCAGGCGTTCAGATGCCGCCGACACCCCCACGTCTGTGCTAAGGTGCTGGGCACTGCTTCCGCCCAGAGATGCAATTTTTCCTCTCACCTTTTAATTAGACCCAGTTTTCAGAAGGTGGGGGTGGGTGGGGGTGAGGACTGGGGGAGGGGTTCCTCCAGCCCCGGGAGCTGCACCTCAGGGTGGGAAGGGGAGGTGTGAGTCGGTTCTGGAGCAGGTGATGAGGGAAGCAGGCTGTTCGCATCACACTTCTGTCCTGGGGGCCAGGAAGGCTGGGTGTCCCCCAGCCTGGCAGATGGTGGTGACTGGTTCCCCGGAGACCCAGAAGCAGTGACAACAGTGGCCAAGGGAGGGGCAGAGTCAGCAGGAGCTGGGTCACTCCAGCCTGGACCCAAGTGAGCGTCCTCCGCGGAGCAGGCAGAATCCTGGGTTCTGGTCCCTCTGGGGGTGGTTGCCCTGGGTGGGGGTCCTAGAGCCTACGGCACCCACTGTGCCAGGCAGGGTGCCCAGTTGTAACTGGTTTGTCGCCAGGCTGGTGGGCAGTGCTTGCCCCTGCTCACCCCACTGTGGACAGAGAACTGGAGGCTCAGGGCTCAGTAAGGGGCTTGGGCAGGTGCTACAAAGTGCAGAATGCAGGGGCCAAGGGCAGGGCCAAGAGTGGCAGTGGGCATGGGGGCAGCAGGGGTTGGAGGAGCTGTGCTGGGCACTCGGTGAGTAGGGGAGAATGGTGTGGATCGAGTCCATCAGGCTGGACTGTGTAGCCACCTGGACAATGGGGGAGTAGTAGAGCCTGGCCGGTGAGGGGATGTGAGACCAGGGGTGCTCCAGCAGCTGCCCGGGACTGGCACTCAGGGGGCTCCTCTCTTCCAGAACAAAGTTCTGGATGTGGACGGCATGAAGGTGAAGCTGCAGGTGAGGGATGTGCTGGTGGGGCGGGGTGGGACATGGGGGCGCTGGGCAGCCCTGACAGCCAGTCCATCTGCCCAGCAGATCTGGGACACAGCGGGCCAGGAGCGCTTTCGCAGCGTCACACATGCCTACTACCGTGATGCCCACGGTGAGCTGGGCGTGCGGGGCCGGGGGTGGAGGCACCGATGAGGGGACCGGGGGATGTGGGTGTCCGGGTCTCCTCACCGAGTCTCTCCCCAGCCCTTCTGCTGCTCTATGACGTCACCAACAAGGCCTCCTTCGACAACATCCAGGTCAGCCTCCTGTCGGTGGGGCGGGAGGGCCTGGGCGACCTTGGCTCCCCAAGCCCAGCCCAGGCACCTGCCTTGGCACATGTGCTGCTGAGGTCCCATCTGTGGGTGCCCAGCCCACTGCCTGCTGTTGTCCCTCTGCCCCCAGGCCTGGCTGGCGGAGATTCAGGAGTACGCCCAGCACAACGCAGTCATCATGCTTCTGGGGAACAAGGTAGGTGGCCGGAACTGTGGGTGGGGGGCACACCCAGGCTGGCTCTGACCTGGCTGTGACCCGCCAGGTGGACTCTGTTCAGGAGCACGTGGTCAGGAGGGAGGATGGGGAGAAGCTGGCCAAGGTGAGTCGGGAGCAAGGGGTGGTGGGAGGCCCCTTCCAGCGCGGGGCGCGGGCTGCCCCCTCCCGCCGTCCTGGCTGGCAGTCGCCCCTTGCAGGAGTACGGGCTGCCCTTCATGGAGACCAGCGCCAAGTCGGGCCTCAACGTGGACCTGGCCTTTATGGCCATCGCCAAGTAAGTCAGGGAGCCCCAGAGCAAGGGCCGGAGGCCTCTCCGAGGGGGCAGAGCTCCAAGGCCATCTCTGTCCACAGGGAGCTGAAGCAGCGCTCCACGAAGACCCCCAACGAGCCCCGCTTCCGGCTGCATGACTACGTCAAGAGGGAGGGCAGGGGGACGCTGTGCTGCAGACCCTGAGTCCCTACCCAGGCCGCTGCTGCCTCGTGGGGCCTAGAGCCACCCCCCACTACACAGTGCCTGACCCCATCAGAAATGTGCAGGGGCACAGGGCCTCACCTCATCTCACGCGTTCGTGCCCAAGCCCCTGGCTCCCAGCCTGCCAAGAGCCACCACACTCTTCAGAGTGGCAGCAGAGTCCCACACCACTTAGTCCTGGCAAATAAAGGTGGTGCCTGTCTGGAAAACTTCTAGAGACTGTTTGACAGAGAGCACCATGCATCGTGGATGTGTGTGTATGGGGGGGGGGGGCTGTTGCACTAAGGTCAGTCAGTTATACTCAAGAGCTTCAGCTTGCCCACTTAGTTCAAGGGGAGTCCTGGCTCTGCTTCCCACTTGTGGGGCAGCGTCTGAGTACTCGTGATAATGATCTGGCGAGACATCAACATCTCCCCTCTTGTCTACAATGGATTTTGTCCATCATCATAACCTGGGCAGCCTGTTCCTGTTGACTCAATCTTGTATTTCTGGAAGCAGTAATAGAAAATAAAGCACAGCGGGTAGGGCGTTTGCCTTGCATGGGGTCAACACAGATTCGATTCCCAGCATCCCATACGGTCCCCTGAGCACGGCCAGATTAATTCCTGAGTGCAGAGCCAAGGGTAACCCCTGTGCATCGCCGGGTGTGACCCAAACAGCAAAAATATAATAAAAGCACAAGACCATGTCAGCAGCAGCACAGCTATTCCCAGACCCTGCGACCAGTCCCTCAATCCCAGTCATGGGTTTAGTGAGCTGAGGCATCAGGGATCCCTTGCTGTACTTCTGGAGATCCCAGAGCACAGAGGTGATCCTTGAATGTGCTATGAATTTTACTTTGTAGTTCCAATATTTTAGGTGATATATATATATGTATATATATATATACATATATATATGTATATATATATATATTGCTTTTTGGGTCACACCCAGCGATGCTCAGGGGTTACTCCTGGCAGTGCTTGGGGGACCATATGGGATTCTGGGAATCGAACCTGGGTCGGCCACATGCAAAGCAAATGCCCTCCCCGCTGTGCTATGGCTCCAGCCCTTTAGGTGTCATATTTTTATGCGTTATCTGGTGTTTTTTAACCTTCTCCCACGGGAATTGTCTTATTATATGGTACAGGGTTATACAAAATGTAGTATTCCAATCACATTTTAAAGACTTTAGTGGGCAGACTGGCTAACTGGTCTCCAAGTAACTTAACAGTTTGTGTAACGTCAGCTAATTCATCCTGTATCTCACAGTCAATTCGTCTGAGCAGTCCACAGATTTTGAGCATCTTCACGCCATTTATTTCTGTTTACTTTCCTACGCATACAACTCTAATGAATTCAGTACAGAGAAGTCATTAACAGAGAAAAAATGAAGGTTGCCGGAGGAACATCAAGACATCAAAGCATACACTATTCTGTCCAGCCTGCAAACCACGTGGCAACAATCTCTGGGGAGGAATGCGAGGCTGAGCACGCAGGCTCTGTGGGTCATAACCCCTCACACCTGGGGTGATATGATAAGGGGGAAGCCAAGCTGGGTCTGAGATCTGTGGGAAGGGGGAAGCCGCTTCTTTGCACTGCCAGGAGTTAGAGTCAGGCTGAGGCAGCTGAGGGAAGAGATGTTAACCCTTCACAGATCAGTCGGACTCACAAGCCGCTGCTTGCCCACTTGGGAAAGTGGGGTCCAGGGTTCTGCCCACTTGCGGGTCGGCCTCCGAGGACTCATCCTATAACCTGGCTAGGCACCAATATCTCCCCCTTTTTATGAACAACCTGGGCTGCCTATCTCTGTTGGATCTTAACTTTGTGTTGCTTAAACTTAAGGACCAAGCACAGAACACCGGTTCCCACAGATCCTCCCAGCAGTTGCTGAATGCTGGCCAGAGACTTGAGAGAACTTAAACCATCAGAAATCCCTTGCCAGTTCTGAAGACCCCAGAGTAAGGAGGTGATCCTTAAATATACCATGTATCTTACTTTGTAAATCCAGCATTCTAGCAGTTGTTACATTTTTATGTATTAACAAACTTTTTTTTTCTTTTTTGGGTCACACCCGGCGATGATGCTCAGGGGTTACTCCTGGCTCATGCACTCAGGAATTGCTCCTGGCGGTGCTCGGGGGACCATATGGGATGTTGGGAATCGAACCTGTGTCGGCCATGTTGGCTGCGTGCAAGGCAAACGCCCTACCCGCTGTGCTATTGCTCCAGCCCCAACAGACGTTTTTTAACCTTATCCCATGGAACTTCTGTCTCAACATACAGAACAAGAGTTATACAAAATGAAGTAGCATTCCAATCACATTTTAACAAGTTTCACTTGTCAGCAGAGACTAGCTAACTGGTCTCCAAGCACAGTAATAGTTGGAGTAATATCAGCCAATTTGGCCTGCAGTTCAGAGAATATGCCTTTGAGCAGTCCATAATTTCTCAGAATTCTCGTGCCACTCCTGGACGAATTCTGCAGTCTGTGTCCCTTGCCACACCTGCCACAACCACCGTCTCTGTCACTGCGATGATCCCCAGGACACTAGCGATGAGCAGGCCCAGGAATCTCTTGGTCCGTCGGGAGAGGCGGATGAGCAGTTGACCAAGCACTCAGGTTGTCGGATTCTCCCCCCAGGGTCGATGGAGAGTCACCGGCACCTAGACACCATTTGGGCCCTAAGGAAACAAAAGCTTTCTCCCTGTACGACTCTCATAAATGGGTTAATAGAAGAAAGCGTAGAACACTGTCTGCAGGAAATAACTCCTTCATGTTTATCCCAATTAATTTTTCCTTTTAAGATCACATAAGGAAGAGGCACGCAAGCTCAGACAGGGCAGGTTAGCTTTCTGTTGAAATACGCCTCAGTAGTGCTGTTCTTACTTTGGTGGGCCTGCCAAGATGCAAGTTCATATAGAGCAGACCCAATTTTCCAAAGATGAACTTGTTTTGCAGATCCTGGCTGGAGTGGTGCTGGGGGGGCAAATTCTCCATTCTCCCAATAGTGTCATGTGATACAGCACCCATATATTGATCACCTTCAAGTTGCCGTATCAGGCTTCCTTTTCATTCCTCTTTTGTCCATCTGAATAGCATAACTTTTAGGGCTCCGATCTATAATTACAACAGAATCATCGATATAAATGTTTGCAACCGATCCTCTACAATTTTTTAAGAAGTTTAGATTGAGAATTTCAATTTCTCTGTAGGCTCAACATTCTGATAAGAAACTTAAACTTAGTCTAACAGGTTCCAAAAACACCTAAACTTTTTATTTTGCTTTTTCGGTCACATCCAGCGATCACAGGGGTTACTCCTGGTTCATGCACTCAGGTATCACTCCTAGCAGGGCTCAGGGGACCATAAGGGATGCTGGGAATCGAACCTGGGTCGGACGCGTGCAAGGTAAACGCCCTACCCACTGTGCTATTGCTCCAGCCCCAACACCTAAACTTTTTAAACTGCGGGGTTGCATATCACTCTGACCTCTCTCAATGATGCTGCTTGCCCAGGTTTAAGGATTTCTACTTCTGATTTTAACCTGGCTCTAGCAGTTGAGTCCTCCACACAGACACACAGAAAGATAACAGACTGACTACAAATACACATGTACATGTGCACACATATTTACTTGATCGATTGTTCTGACCCATCAAGAATGGCAGGGAGAAAACTGATGGACTGAGAAAGGGAAGGGGTAGTCCTGAGGGCAAAATTAGCCGTCGGCCAATTGGGAACCTTGCCCCCATTTCCCAGCCTGACCAGCCTGTTTCCTGCTTGTTAAAAGTGGGTCAAGAAAGCGCTTTTGTTAATATGCAGGCAAAGTAAACTATGACAACGTTGTTGTAGGCCTCAGAAGTTTCCTGTGTGCTAGGGTTGTGCAATACTTCTTCACGGCTAGTTGGCATCGCTGCTTGCTGGGTGTTCAGGAGGCATCACGCCAAGAACGTTTTTTTCTGTCCAGATTCTGATCCTTGATTCGAAGTCTTTCCATTCTGTTTTGTAGCTGTCTCATCTGTCGCCTCTTGTTGTGGTTCATGGAGAAGTTTGAGTCTCTTGGTAGGTCACCAGAAATGTTCCTTATCTGTGGAAATAAAAGCAAAACCTCAACCCTATCTTTCTTTCTTTTTTTGCTTTTTGGGTCATAGCCAGCAATGCTCCGGGGTTACTCCTGGTGGTACTTGGGGGACCATATGGGATGCTGGGGATTGAACCCGGTAGGCCACGTGCAAGGCAAACGCCCTACCCGCTGTGCTATCACTCTGGCCCCATTGGCCTCATCTTTCTATTCAGCCTTGTAGGCAATCACCAGAGACTAGGTCCTTAGAAAGGATTTTACATTTTTGAATTATTTTTTTCAGGGCTATTTCTAATTGTATTGGAGCTTGTTTTTCCGGAGAACTTATTTCCTCCGGGTTTTTTTGCTGTCTGAGGAATCAGTAAAAACTCCCCCTTTTGGTTTAAGTAGCATTTCCTTCCAAGTACAATCAGCCCCCTTGATGACTGCTTGTTCTGTACTGTTGTAAGGAATTCCAGTGATACGTGTGACTGAGTGGGCTGGCGCACATACTTTTGCCTACCAAAGGCTGAGACCACAGTCACACCCATCTGCCATATTTGATGAGGGGCATTCAACTAGGATTTGTTCCAGTGGGCATATGCGGCGCATTAATGGCCTGGCAGGTAGGGTAAAGGTAAAGGCCCTCCCGTTGATCGTCGATTTGCTCGAGCGGGCCCAGTAACATCTCCATTGGAGACTTTGTTGTTACTGTGTTTGGCATAGTAGGGTACTGTCGAATAATTCCTTTAGCCTGATCCCAAGTAAGGGCATATTTTTCTTTCAGTGCTTAAGCATTTTGATGATGTATAGCACGAAAGCTTTTGGTAGTGAGGACCAAAGCCACTAATTTATCAGCCTGGTCACTGTCCTGCGGTTGTGGTCGTCCTGGGAGCCCCATGTGGGCATGATGTGAGTGACATACAACGGTCACTTTCCTTCACGGAGGATCTTCTGCAAAGACTTGAATAAAGACTTGAGCTCTGAGTTGCGTAAAGGCAGAGCCACTGTCAATATCTGATTAGCAGTCCAGGCTGCACACTGAGAGTCTGTTACAGAGTTTTGTAATAGGGAGATAATCGCAAACAATTCATGTCTCTGCACTGACTTATACGGGCTAGTAGTTTTCTTGTTAGTACTTCAGTCAGTGTATGCGGCCATGCCATCTTTACTGGCATCTGTGGAAAATGTAGCAGCTGAGTCTGTTGGTTCAGCTTTTATAATACTAGGCCAAATCCAATTGGTAAATTAAAAAAACTGAAATATCTTGTGCTTCAGGAAACTATTATGAATTTTTCCCAGATAATTAGAACAAGCAATTTGCCAATCATCACCTAATTCCCACAACGTCTTAATTTGTTCATTAGTTAAAGGAACTATAATTTCCTCTGGGCCATGTCCAGTTATCTGTCTGGCTTTTTCTTCCCTTAGTGATTATTTGGGCAATATATGAGCAAGGATTTTGCAGCCTTATTGGGTAAAACCTCCATTCAATAATGTTTCCCATCCCGTACCAAGATTCTAGTAAGAGAATGTACAGCGTGGAGAAGAAGCAAACAGAGGGCTTTGGAATAATCGACTGGGCTTGATTAATAATATCCTCAATGACTTTCAATTCATGTCCTGCTTCTTGGCTTAGCTGTCGCAGATTGTTGGGGGGCGGGGGGGGGGGAGTGGCATCCTCCAAAGTTTGAAATAGGTTTTGTAAAGTCTATGTGGGGATCCCCAATGAGGGCCACAGCCAGTTAATATTGCCTAACAATTTTTGAGTCATTCAAAGTTTTCAAATTGTCTCTGCGAATTTGCACTTTCTGGGGTGTGATTTTATTTTCCCAAATAATCTGACCTAAAAACTCCCAAGAGACCTGCAGTTGAATTTTATCCTCTGCAAGTTTTAAGCCCCAAGATTCTAGTTTTTTCTAGTTCTTGGATCAATCTTTAAAAACTGCAAATCAACATTAGCGTATCTCTGCCTCATTAAGTCTAACAGTTGATTAACAAAATATTGACACATGGTTGAGCAACTCATCATTCCTTGGGGAAAGACTGCCCATTCATATCTTTTAGTGGGCAATTCCTTATTCAGGAAATGTACAGTGAAAGCAAATTTTTGTCTCTATCCCTTAAGGAGATGGTGTCAATAGTCTTTTAAGTCTATGATATTCCACTGTTTGGGTATCAGGGCTAAATTTGGCAACCCAGGCTATAAGGTCCCAAAGGCTCCATGCATTCATTAACTTTGTTAAATCCGTCAGCATTCCCCATTTTCCTTTCTTTTTCTTGAGAACAAACACCAGTGAACTCCAAGGGCTGGAACTGAGGACAGTGTGTCCTAAATCCAACTAATTCTAAATCTAACTAATTCCTGTAAGGCTTCAAGTTTTTGCTTCAAGGGCCACTACTCAATCCAGACCGGTTCAAGCTGTTTCCAAACCACCGGGAGAGCTGTACGGCTTTCGGCTTCACAAGCAGCAGCCCCAACTGAAAATGTGATTCCTGTTCATCCTTTTAACCTCCCTCAAATGTACCAGTTTCAGCATTACAGCCACGGATAGCTGGGAGTGGCATAAGCTGACCATCAGGCTGCCCCGCAGGGTTCACTCTCCGAGAGGGAGGCTCTGCCTCCCACATCATGAGGTGTAATTCCGGGGTAATTATAAACCTGCGGGGAAGCAAAGTCTGCCCCTTTGTTTTGGTAAGAGGAGGTAGAGGGGGCAAGAGAGAGTAGGAAGGAGGGTCAGGGATCACCATCATCTTAGAGTGAAGTTCTGTGCACTGTAAAATGTTTGGTGACTCTATCTAATTCTCTGTGCGTCAAATCCATATCCTGCTGAGTTTTCTGTAATTCCTTAGCAATGGAGTTGTCAGCGACCGACTTATCAAAACTGTCCTCATCTGACTGAGCTTCCTCTGAGTTATTCTGGTAGAAAATTGGGGGTAGGGGAGGCACTGCTGAGCCGGCAGGCTGTAGAGCCCGAGACCCAAACTGAACGGAAGGTCCCTCTACACTGCCCGGAAGGTCCCTCTACACTACCCACCTTGACTGCAGGAGCATATAGCTCCGTTGCAGAAGCGGGAGGACTGGAAGGGAAAATAGGAGCCTCTTCCAACTCAGTGTTGGGCTGGAGAAGTACCAGGGCGGTGGTAACTGCGCCATTCACACCCCACTCATCTGCAGGGATCAAGTGCCCTTTCTAATGTGCACGACCCAACTCTTTTCCTACTTTTTTCCATAACTTTGGATCAAATTGATCTCTGCTCCTAGGCTCAAACCAGTAACAATACTTGTGGACCCTCTCAAGAAGGCACCGCATGACCAGTTCCTTCAATGGCAGACCAGCTGCCCTTGTCAGATAATTTAGGACATCAAGATACCCGTCCTCCTGCGACACCGAATTGCCCGTAGTGGTTAGATGACAGCTCTGGCTTCCGGGAAAATATGCAGGTCTGGTGCAACATTAGCTTTCCTGGTTCCCCTCCGACCCTGTACTTACTTTCGGTTGCCAGATGCTGCTTGAACGATCAATCAGTTGATCGGGGGCACTGAGGCCAGTCAAGGGAGAGGAATGCAAACGTATGAGGACTACAGCTCCCTAGACAGGGAGCCAAGGGCAGCTTCTGCAGCCTCTGTGCTTTCCTATAGTAAGGAGAATTAAACAAAGCAGAAAAAAATATCAACAAAGGAATGTTGGGGCACACACTGTCCTGCAATGCCAGGAAGCAAATGGCTACAGTCCCTGGGGAAGATACAAGGTCCAGGGCATAGGCTCACTCCATAGGTCATGACCTCCTCACACCTGGGGTCTGGGAGAAGCAGCACTTGTTTTCTTGTGCTGCCAGTTCATGCATGACCAAGGCAGCTGTAGGAAGACCTGGTACCCTTTTCCAGACCAGACTCACAAGCTTCAGCTTCCCGACTGCCAGGCAGTGTCCGAGGACTCCTCCTAATCTGGCTAGGCACCAACAGGGTGAGCTATTTGTGTGGGGGGGGGAGGCAGAACAGTTACTCCAAGCTCTGCACTCAGTGCTGGCCTTTCCGCACTATGAACCTTTCTTCTGGTGGGGGCTACGTCCGGCAATACTGCTGGGAACACTGTGCTGGGGGTCCCTCAGGCCTGAGCACTAGGACACCCCCAACAACAGCCATCCCCCCCCCGCCCCGTGGATGTTTTCATGTGACTTGTGACAGATGACCCAGAAAACAGAAGCCAAGAAATAAAACTTGTATGCAGTGGGTAAGCCATGACCATGGCAAACTTTTATTACTTTTTGTTTGTAACAGTATTGTTGTTTTCGGTAAATGGGCAATGCTGCAGCCCAAGCCCTCTGCAACCCGGGCTGGTGGATGAAGACTCCCAACCCCGTTGCCCCCATGGAAAGAACTCAATGACCCACTGGAACACCCAGAAATATAGCCACAACTTTAACCAGACTATGGCAGCACCCATTATCAACACCCCCCCACACCCCAGTCAAATACAAACCAGTTTTGGAATTCCAGGTTCATTTGCAACAAATGGCATTTTTTTAAATGGGGGGGGCACACCCAGTGGAACTAAGGGGCCATGTGGTCCAGAGATGGAAGCCAAGAGCCTTCAAGCCATCAGTACTCCTCTCAGGGCAAAGAGAAGGTATTTTTAACAAGTCTAGGCTCTGGCAGCCCCAGGCTCCTGGGACTGTTTAATAGCTCCTAAGTGTTGCATAAAACAAGTCTTTTCTTCCCCCAGTTCCTAGCCTTTGTACCTGTGCAGCCTCTGGGGTCTGGCCAGGCCAATAAGGATCAGAGGCTTTTACTTTCCCTACTAGCTTGGAGCTTTGAAGTTTTTCTTCCCCCTTTACAGCTGGTGACTAGGTCACCCTTCTGAACTAGCAAGCCTTGGAAGTCCCCGAAGGTAACTGCATTGGTTTGGGGGAAATGGGACCTTAACCTCCTTAAAACAAGGCCTGGGGACCAGAGATCACACAGTGAGTAGGCATGCACTCCCAGGTAAGACCCAAAAAGCAAAGCAAATCTACAGGTGTTTCCTGGAGGCGACCGGGCTGGAGCTATAGGTGTGTCCACACTGCAGCACTGGCTCATGGGACTCCCAAAGGCCATGGTCCTGGTCAGCTGGCCACCTCTCAGCACGGTCCAGGGGCAAGCTGCTTGCTTTGCAAGTTAAAACCAGTATAGCAGGGAGCAAAGTCAGAGGTAGTCCAGAATCCCTGGGTGAGCCAACACCACCCCTACCACCACCAAGAAAAACGGGTAATTTCCAGGGCACATCTGAAACCCTACATCCCTGGAGTGTCCCGCTGAGGCCTTCCTAACACGTAACCCGCCAGGGCCAGAACAGCCAGAGGCCCTGCAGCCACTGTACTTCCCGGGCCAATTCTGACACCAGGCATCTCAAAGCACGATCTTTCTTCTTTTGGATTTTGGGCCACAGCTGACGGTGCTTAGGGACCACTTCTGCCTGGCTCGGGGTACCATACAGGGTGCTAGTGTGTGTAGTGGAACCCGTGTCAGTGGCGTGGATGGCACGTGCCATAGGCACTCTCCTATCACTCAAGCCCCATTCTTCCTCTCTTCATGATCAAGATTAGCTGCAAAATGATGTAACCAACAGGCCCATTTCCGGACTACAACGGGCACTTCCATTCCGTGGCCTTACACCAACCAGTTCTGCAGAACGTGTCCCAAAGGGTTAGCTATCCCACCCAGTTCCCATCTTCCCAACTTGCTACCCAGTGATGGCACCTCTTTTGGGAACGGGGTTGTGGTTGGCAAGCAGGCCACTGCTCAGCTCAGAGGGTACCTTTGCACTTGGATAGTGGTGCCAGCTACCAAAGCCAGGCCTTCAGCCGGCAAAACATGTGCCCTGGTCCTGTGGGCTGGCTTACCACCTCCCTTCTTGAGGTCAGGGTATAAAATAGGTTGGGGCCTGAGCTATCGTACAGGGGGGAGGGTGTTTCTCTTTGCACGTGGCCGACCTGGGTTCGATCCCCAGCATCCCCCCCAAGCACCGCCAGGAGTAATTCTTGAATGCAGAGCCAGGAGCATCACCAGGTGTGGCCCAAAAAGTCAAAAAATAGGTCTTGGACGAATCTTTTTTTTCCTCTTCAGCTTCCAACTACTGTCTCACCAGCAAGGCCCGGCCGGCACTGATGTTAATTTCGGTCCAAGGTCTCCAGCCTGGTCACTGACAGCCTGTAAATCAGACAGCATTTCACTGTAGCTTGAAACATTCACCCATGGCCCGCAAAAAGCCCCTTCACCCCGCCCTCCCAGGAGAGCGCACCTAAGCCTCAGTTTTGCAAAATAATCAGACTGCACGTGCAGTTTTCATACGAGGTGTCAGAAGTTCAAGCAATTCATCACAGGCTTGGCTACGGAGGGAGAGCGGGCCGCGCCCGGCCTTACCTGCAGATCGGCCAGATTCGGGCCGCGTGCAACGCTGAGGACCACTGGGAGCTGAAGCCCAGGGTGGCCCTTGGCAACCTGGCTAGCCCGCGGGATCAGGCGACCCTTCTGAGGCACACAGCCCGCTCGACAATTCTCTAGCAGCGCTGCACACGAACACACACCGAACCCCAGCAAGATCGCGAAAAGAGCGTTGGGAAGCAAGTTCAAGCCTTTATAGAAAGTGCTCTCCTCTCTGATTGGGCAGCGCCGCCAGAAGTACCGCCCCTGCCTGCCGCTGATACGCTCCGCTCCGGTCAGGGGCCAGAAGCTCTGCCCTCTGCGAGGCCATTGAGCCTCAGCGTGAGCGACCGGTTCGCCAGCCAACCAGACTCCGATCTGCAACATAGAGCGATTCCGAAGGTCCCAATCCCGCGCCGCGACGTCATGGCGGCCGGAAGTCGTAGTTTCCGGAGAGCGGCTCGGGGAGAGGCCGCGCGGAGCCCGGCTCGCGGCGAACTACAAGTCCCGGCGGGCGTCGCGCGTGGGCGCTTCCGGCTCGCGCGTCCCGGCCCTTGGGCGGCCGGCGGCCGAGGGTCCCGATGGAGCGGGAGGGTGGCGCCGCTGCTCCCCGCGGCCGCGGGCGGGTGAGTGTCCGCGCGTCGGGGCCGGGCGCGCTCTGGCCTTCTCCCCTCGCCGCGCCCCTGCGAGTGGGGCGGGCGCCGGGCTGAGCGGGGTCGGTCCGTAACTCGCCGGTGTTCTCTGCTGCGCCCTGCGGGGTGCCCGGCGCCCGCCCGCGTCCCACCCCCCAGGTACCAGAACCCCCGCCCCCCGGCCTGTCCCGACCCCCGAAAACGTCTCCGGACGCTCCTAGATGTCTGCTAGGAGCAAAGTCGCCCCGGTACCGTCCCCTGGAGCGGAGGGAGGGGCCGGCGAGCTCCCGGGAAGTGACCCGGTGCTTGCAAAAGAGGAACGGGGCGCAGAGAAAAGGGGCCTTGGGGGCTTGCCTGGCGCGGGGGTGCCCGTGTGTGCACACCTGTATCGGGGTGTCGCTGTGTGTGCGTGTGTATGTAGGGGCCCAGTGTGTGGATTCGGGTGTCAGTTCGTGTATGTGCCAGTGTGTATGTGCCGGTGTGTTCACCCGCGTGTGTGTGGGGGGTGATGTGTATAGGAGTGTCTGTGCAGTGTGTGTGTTGGGGGACCAGTGTGTATTAGGGTGCCCGTATGTGTGTGAGTGTGTTTTGGGGTGCCAGTGTGTGTGAGTACATGCGTTTGTTGGGTGCCAGCGTTCTTGTGGGGCACCAGTGTGGTGTGGGAGTTAGCAGCCCAACTGGGAGGTCGCTGAAGGAGCACAGTCGCCAGTTGGCCAGGGGCCCCAAGTGAGCACTGGCCACAGGGTCAGGCTGAGGGCTGTGGGGGGCAGCAGAGGAGGGGGCAGGGCCTGGGGACCCTGCTGGGAAGAAGGGTCTCTGTCAGAACCCCCTGCTCCTGGGGGCCCCGCCCCTGGCTGCCACCCAGCCTGTGCCTTCCTCTTCCTCATTCCCAGGCTCAGGCCTCTGCCTCCGCGGCCCTGCCACAGACCCCTCCCGGCACCACCTCAGGCTGGGATGGTGCTTGCTGTGGGGGGCACACTGGCTATATTCCGGGGTCACGGCTCAGAGGTGGGAGAGGGGAGAGGAACCCATTCTCCCTGACAAGTGAGGGTTAAGCAGGAGGGGCTTGAACCAGAGAAGCTGCACCTGGGCTGGATGGGGACATCCCAGCCGCGCAGGGATGGAGCTCTGGGGATCCTGTTTAGGACGGAAAAGTCCTTGTGTGTGTGTCTGTCTTTGCTATGGCAACCAGGGCCTGTTTTCATGGAACTGGGAGGTGGCTGGACGGTGCCTGGGGCTGGCCTGAGGGGTGTTGGGGTGGCCAGGAGCTCTGCCTGGGGCATTCCCGGCAGCCGCTAACCCACAGCCTGATGGGGTGCTGGCGAGACGTCCGGGGACCTAGCCAGGCTGCAGAATGGCAGGCAGCCCTTAGGCTGGGTCACCGCGCTCTGTGTGTGTGTGTGTGTGTGTGTGTGTGTGTGTGTGTGTGAAAGAGAGAGAGAGAGAGAGAGAGAGAGAGACCGCACTGTGTATTTGTGTCACTGCACTGTGTGTAACTACACTATGTGTCTGTGTGTGTCACTGCACTGTGGGTGTCACTGCACTGTGTGTGTGACTGCACTTTGTGTCTCCGTCTGTGAATCACTGTACTGTGTGTGTCACTGTGCTGTGTGTGTCTTTGTGTGCACCGCACTGTCTCTATGTCTGTGTGTCACTGCACTGTGTGTCTATGTATCACTGCCACTGCACTCTGTGTGTGTGTCTGTGTGTGACAGTACTGTGTGTCACTGCACGTATGTGGGGGGTCTGTGTGTGTTCTGTGTGTCACGGCACTGTGTGTGTGTGTGTGTCCACCAGCCTGAGAGCTCTGTCCACACCTGTGGGGGAGGGGTTGCAGAGCTCCGTGGTGGGGCCCTGGGAAGGTTCTATCTGTCTCCCCCATCCTGTGCCCCCCTTCAGCTCTCCTCTGCTCCTCCTTGAAATCACCTGCACAAGCTTGTGTGGGGGGGAAAGGGTCGTGGCCCCTCCAGGACACACCCTCGGGTGCTGGGCCCAGACTTGGGTTCTGGGACTTGTGCCCAGGACGCAGGGGAGACAGTATTGCGACACACAGCTGGCGTGTAGGCCCAGCCTCTTGCTCAATCCCGGGCACTTAGTCTGCAAGTTCCCGGCAGGTCGCGGTGTACAGATGGGGGCGCTGGGCCCCAGCTGGATCCTGGGGCACCCCCAGCTGCTGCCTGCTGCCACCCCGCTGTTGTTCCCCACTCGCCCCCCCCCCCCACGCCCGCTGTTCCACAGTACCCAACTGTTACGGCTGTCGAGTCCAGGTCATCTCGGGGTGCCCTCATGCTCCCTTTCCCGCTGCTCAGACGCCCAAGTGCCCGCACCCCGGGCGGGAGGCAGCTGGAGAGAGCTCTGAGACTTCAGCCACACAGGTTGTGAGGCATGTGAACTGGCACCGAGGGTCTGAGGGAGAAGGTGCTGGAACTGCGCCCCAAGCCTCTTACCACCCAGTGGAGACAGAAAGCAGTTCCTGGGCCCCTCCCGGAGCAGGAGTCACACTTCCTGGGGTTCTGACCGCAGAGCAGGCGGCCGGGGGTCCTATCTGCTCCCGCCCACTGCCCCTTGCACAGGCGCACCCACCCCCCAGTGCCTCTGCAGAGCCCCTTTGGTGTGTGCGCACTGCGCTGGGGGTCGTACTGCTGGGGACACTGCCCAAGCAGCCCAGTAATGACCGTGTCCTGCAGGGTCGCTGAGGGTCTCCAGAGCTTGAGGCCAGGGTGGCCCGCCAGGACCCCTCTCTGGGCCCTGCTCAGACACTGCCCCCGCGGCAAGTGCCGCAAACCGTTCAGTGGAGCTTGGGGGGGACCCTCGCCCGCCCGCCTGTCCAGCCTCCCGCAGCAGCACCAGGATGGAAACTACCTTTGGGCCGGCCTTCTCCACGGTCACCACCATCAGCAAAGGTGAGTCTGGGTCCCCTGTGCTGGGGTGGTGCGAGAGAAGAGCCGCCCAGAGAGGGTGGGCTTCGCGCGTGACCTGCCCCTCTTGGCAGCCGACGGCGGCACCACATACAAGCAGCACCGGCGCACCCCGTCCTCCTCTAGCACGTTGACCTTCCCACCACGGGACGAGGACGACGGCATGGTAGGTGTGCCCGCAGCCGAGGGTTTTCTGTCACTTGGGCCATGCGGCAAGCGCCCACTCAGCCTCTGCCAGCTCTGCCCGGGTGCCCCCATAAGTCAGCTTCAGGTGCTCGCGGAGCCCACTCGGCCTGACTCCCAGCACTGCCCATGAGCCGGACTCATGGCCTTCACCAGCATCGGCCCAGGGCCCCCGCGGAGACTTCTGCAGGACGCCCTCTGGAGGGGCGGGTTTGGGATACTGCTGGGTGCGGGTGGCCAGGCCCTCAGGCTGCAGCCACCTTCCGTCCCCTCCATGTCCTGCTCGGGCCAGCCGCGCTCCCTTACGGGAAGCAGGAAGCCGGGAGTGTGTCCTGGGCAGTTGAATAGCAGGAAGTCCTCCATCGGCCGAGAGGGCCGGGCGGGGGGCGGCGGGCTGCAGGGCTGGGCCGCGGGGCTGAGTGCGGCCGCTCGCTGCAGCCCCCCATCAGCACCCCGCGCCGCTCCGACTCGGCCATCTCTGTCCGCTCTCTGCACTCGGAGTCCAGCATGTCCCTGCGCTCCACTTTTTCACTGCCCGAGGAGGAGGAGGAGCCGGTAGGTGCCGGAGCCGGTAGGTGCCCGCGCCGGGGCGGCACCCGGGCCTGTTCTCTGTCCCCCGTCCTCACTCTGGGACTGGTGGGGAGGGCTGGGAGCCCCAGGGGGCCCAAGGGAGACCTCTGGGCGAGCCCCCGCCCTCGGCAGCTCTGCTTGCCCCTAGGAGCCGCTGGTGTTCGCCGAGCAGCCCTCGGTGAAGCTGTGCTGCCAGCTGTGCTGTGGTGTGTTCAAGGACCCCGTGATCACCACATGCGGGGTAAGGCCTTCAACCCCGTGGGTGGGCACGGCGGGTGGGTGGGGCGGTGTGCAGCACCCCAAGTCTGCCCTTGTCCCCACAGCACACGTTCTGTCGGAGATGTGCCTTGAAGTCAGGTAAGTAGGTCCCCACCCGGGGGGGCGCGACTGAGTACCCAGGCTGGAGGCCCCTGAGACCTGCCCTGTCCTCTCTCTGCCTCTGGCCTTGGTGGCGGGCCCCCGCCCTTCCGAGTCCCCCTTGCCCTCAGCCTGCAGCCCGCCTGGCGGGTACCTGGGGATCAGCCAGACCCCCGGCAGGCTCCGCACACCACAGGTGGCCAGCCAAGCCTGGACTGCACCACTTGCCTCCCACAGAGAAGTGCCCCGTGGACAACGCCAAGCTGACCGTGGTGGTGAACAACATCGCAGTGGCTGAGCAGATTGGGGAGCTCTTCATCCACTGCAGGCACGGGTGCCGCAGCGTTGGCAGTGGCAAGCCCCCTGTCTTCGAAGTGGACCCCCGGGGCTGCCCCTTCACCATCAAGCTCAGTGCCCGGAAGTGAGTGTCCTACTGCCTGTGCCTTCCCCCCCCCCCCCCCCGCAGCACGCTGGGCGCTTAAGGCCCTGCCCCTACTCTGCCCCCAGGGACCATGAGGGCAGCTGTGACTACCGGCCCGTGCGGTGCCCCAACAACCCCAGCTGCCCGCCCCTGCTCAAAATGAACCTGGAGGCCCACCTCAAGGAGTGCGAGCACATCAAGTGCCCCCACTCCAAGTATGGGTGAGTGGGCCCGGGAGGGGGGCGGCATCCTGGGCACCCCCCGGCCTCCGCGGCCGTGCAGCAGCTGTCCTGCCCCGCAGGTGCACGTTCATCGGGAACCAGGACACGTACGAGACGCATCTAGAGACGTGCCGCTTCGAGGGCCTGAAGGAGTTCCTGCAGCAGACGGACGACCGCTTCCACGAGCTGCATGTGGCGCTGGCGCAGAAGGACCAGGAGATCGCCTTCCTGCGCTCCATGCTGGGCAAGCTCTCCGAGAAGATCGACCAGCTGGAGAAGAACCTGGAGCTCAAGTTCGGTCAGTGCCGGGGGCCGGGGGCGCGGGGGCCGGCAGCACCCCGCCTGTGGGCGCCTGACGCCTTCTCCCTGGCGCAGACGTGCTGGATGAGAACCAGAGCAAGCTCAGCGAGGACCTCATGGAGTTCCGGAGGGACGCGTCCATGCTGAACGTGAGTGGGTGGGGCCACGGAAAGGGGCGGGGCCGCACCAGGGACGCCCCGCCCACGCCCTCGCTCTGCACTTGACCTCGCAGGATGAGCTGTCCCACATCAACGCGAGGCTGAACATGGGCATCCTGGGCTGTGAGTACGGGCCCCGGGCCGCTCCCCTCATCCCCCGGCTCCCCGAGGCTCCTCCCCAGCTCCCGCCCTCTCTCCGCAGCCTACGACCCTCAGCAGATCTTCAAATGCAAGGGCACTTTCGTGGGCCACCAGGGGCCCGTGTGGTGTCTCTGCGTCTACTCCATGGGGGACCTGCTCTTCAGCGGCTCCTCTGACAAGACCATCAAGGTGGGGGCTCTGCACACGGCCTGCCGGGGAGGGAGGAAGGCTTGCCAGTGCCCCGTGGGTGCCCCCCTGACCCCGCTCGGTCTCTGCAGGTATGGGACACCTGCACCACCTACAAGTGCCAGAAGACACTAGAGGGCCACGACGGCATCGTGCTGGCACTCTGCATCCAGGGGTGAGTGAGGCCGGGCCTCCCTCCATCTCTGGAGGCCTGAGGGGGGGGCAGGCAGCAGGCAGTGGCAGTGAGAGCGCATCACCTGGCAGGCTGAGAGCTGAGGTCCTTCCTCCTGCTGGAGGCCACTGCCCACCCCATCAGATGAAGGCCAGGCGGGCACCAGGGAGGGGCCAGAGCTTGGAAACTGAGTCCGGGCCAGAAATCAGCAGCAGTGCTCAGTGGCCAGTGTGGCTTCGGGCTGGCCAGGCACAAGGCTCCGGCTTCGCTCCCCCAGGTGCAAGCTGTACAGCGGCTCCGCGGACTGCACCATCATCGTGAGTATGCGGGGCCGTGGGGGGCTCCCAGCACCAGGCGGGGGGCTCCAGACCTGCACTGAGTGGCTGGCCTCCACAGGTGTGGGACATCCAGAACCTGCAGAAGGTGAACACCATCCGGGCACACGACAACCCCGTGTGCACGCTGGTCTCGGCCCACAACATGCTCTTCAGCGGCTCCCTGAAGGCCATCAAGGTTAGGCCGGCTGTGGGTGTCCCCGGGGCCCCAGGGCCCGCACTGCCCGCGCTTACTAGACCATCCCCACAGGTCTGGGACATTGTGGGCACCGAGCTGAAGCTGAAGAAGGAGCTGACCGGCCTCAACCACTGGGTGCGGGCCCTGGTGGCCGCCCAGAGCTACCTGTACAGCGGCTCCTACCAGACAATCAAGGTACCACTTCCCCGGGAAGCTGTGCCCAGGGCGCCCCCGCCAAGGGGCCTGCTCAGTGTGCCACGCTGCCTGTCCCTGCAGATCTGGGACATCCGCACCCTGGACTGCATCCACGTCCTGCAGACGTCTGGCGGCAGCGTGTACTCCATCGCGGTGACCAATCATCACATCGTGTGTGGCACCTACGAGAACCTCATCCACGTGAGGCCGGGCCCGCAGGGCTGGGGTGCGGGCGCCCTCATGGGCTCCTCCGTCCCGTCTCTGAGCAGCCAGTGTCTGCCTGCAGGTGTGGGACATCGAGTCCAAGGAGCAGGTGAGGACCCTGACGGGCCACGTGGGCACCGTGTACGCCCTGGCGGTCATCTCCACCCCTGACCAGACCAAAGTCTTCAGTGCATCCTATGACCGGTCTCTCAGGGTATGTCCCTGCCCGTGGGGGGTGGGCGGTGCGGCCAGGCCAACCCTCACACACCTCGTGCCTTTGCCCAGGTGTGGAGCATGGACAACATGATCTGCACGCAGACTTTGCTGCGGCACCAGGGCAGCGTGACAGCGCTGGCTGTGTCACGAGGCCGTCTCTTTTCGGGAGCGGTGGACAGCACTGTGAAGGTCAGTGCCGGAGTGGGCGTGAGGGCCACCCAGAGCACTGCTGCGGGGGTGGGGGGGACAAGGGGCATAGGTGCCAGCCCAGGCAGGGGTGCTGGCACCAGGAACAGTGCTCTTCTTCTGCAGGTCTGGACTTGCTGATCAGGACGCCGGCAGCCTTGGCTCCTGGAGCCCACCCGCTCCTGCCCGCAGCATGGCCACACAGGGGCCCAGGCCTGCCGGCGAGCTTCCTGCTTGGCCTGCGCCGTTGCTGCAGGGAAGTTGCCCAGGCCCCTGTGTCGGTGCCAGGTACGACGCTGGCCCGACCCACACTCCATCCCCACCCCAGGTGGACCACGGGCCTTTATACTCCTTTTCTACTGTTTTTAGACTGTATATAGATTTGGTTACTCTTGATTGGAATAAACTGCACAGACTGTGGCCACGAGTGGGCTGAGCTCAGGGTCGGGGAGAGGCTGTGCGAGCTTGGGGCAGGGGAGAGGCTATGTGAACTGGGGCAGGGGAGAGGCTTTCTGAGCGAGGGGCGGGGGCTGGGGGGTCCCATCCTCCAAAACCAGGACATCAGCCACCCTCACACCCTCTCAAACCCCAGTCCCCAACAAGTGAGCCAGGAAGCTCAGTTTTCTGCTGTTTATTCATAGCCCACAGCTGTGCCCGGGACGGGGGGCACGTCGCTTGCTCAGAGTGCCAGGCGTGGAGCTGGCAGGGCCCGCGCACCCAGAGGCCCCCGGCCTGTGCCCTCTCCCCTCCCACATCACAATAGCTGCTTTCAGGTGTTCTTGGTTTGTTTTTGTTAAGAAAGGTCAGAGTTGCTCCCAACACACATGGATCAGCAAACACAACAGGCCAGGCAGCACTGGGGTGGCGGGCGGGAAGGACCACACGACAGCCTGGACACGAGCGGAAGCTCCTGGGGAACTTGAGGGCAGGCGGGCCAGCAGGCAATGGTGCAGGGCCAGGGAGGACCCCGGGAGCGAGGAGTGTGTGCCAGCACTGCCCAAAGCTGGGGTGCAGCCCTCGGCACCCTGTCAGGAGAGCGCCCGCCACCACTGCCTCCCAGCTCGGGGGCCTTAGCCTGTGGGGTCAAGGCACGTCCCTCGAGTTCTCCAGATGCATGGACACCAGGAGGGAGCAGAGGGGCCGAGGCAGACAAACTACATGCCCGGGACTGGTCGCTCCTGCTGGAGGGGGCGTGGGTGGACAGCCAGCCAGCCTGGGCCTCCCGGGCTCGTTCCCGGCTGGACTCCAGCGCCCTTCCCGTTGGTAAATGGTTTTCTATAGAGTCAATAAATTTCTTTCTTTAAATATATATTTGTTAAAGTTATACCTTTTGTTTTTCTGGGGAAACCTGCCTCGGCTGATTCCCAATAAATTAATACTCTTGATAGCTTATATTCTGGAGGGTATGGTGGGGTGGGGGGTCCTGGCCCCGGCCCCTTGTGCTGCACTGGAGCGGCTGGCAGCGGTTCCCACTGGGCAGTTCTGTGCTGGGCTTAGGCCTGTGTTCTGCCACAGAGGGGGGCGGCCGGCGGCTGTGCCCCTGGGCGCCGCCAGGGGCGGGCGCAGCTCGCACAGGGACGCTCGCAGGCGCGGGCCCGGCCTCCCGCGCGTTGTGCTTATGCCAGCGGGGCCCGCCCGGCCTGCTGGGCCGCGCCGCGCCCGGTGCCCGTCCTGAGGTAAGGGTCAGCGCGCGGGCCGGGGCGCGGGCCGGGGCGGGGCGCCGCTCACTCCAGCATGGCGTCCAGCTGGTCCGCCAGGTCGTCAAACATGCTGCCGATGTCGTCCAGGATGCTGCTCGTGCTCTTCTCCTCGGGGGCCGCGGGGCTGCGGGGGTGGCGCGTGAGCGGCCGGGCCCGGCTGCTCCGGGACCCCTCCCTGAGCTCTCGGCCGCACCGGGACCCCCGCCCCCGCCCCCTCCCGGAGCGCTCGTCTGCGCCCGGCCCCCGCCCCCGGTGCTCGGACGCCCCGGGGCCCGCCCGCGCCTACCGCGGGCCCTGCGCGTCCTCCTGCCGGATCTTCGCCTCCACGGCCTGCAGCGCCGCCGCCAGGCACGCGCTCGTCTCCTCCAGCTTCTGGCGCGCGCTGTCCCCGGGAGAGGCGCCGTCGGGGGCGGCGGGGGGCGCGGCGGCCGCGGCGGCGCGCGGCGGCTTGGCGGGCACGTGCAGCGCGGGCGCGCCCGGGGACGGGGGCTTGGCGGGGCTGGCGCTCAGCGAGGGCGGGGTGCTGGCCGCCTTGGCGAGCGCGGCGGGCGGCTGGCGGGCCGGCGAGGGCGCGGGCGACGGGCTGGCGCTGCCCGACGGCAGCCCCGCGGGGGCCTTGGCCGGCTTGGGCGCGGTGGGCGGCGGCGGCGGCTTGGGCGACACGGGCGGCGGCGTGCCGTGGGCGCGCTTCACCTCTGCGGAGAGGGCGAGGCTGGCACCTGGACCGAGGCCGGCACCGGGCGCGGGAAACCCGGCTGCCGCCAGAGGGCGCGCGCCCCCACGCAAACCCGCCCGGAGCCGGGAGTCCTCGCCCTCGCCTACACCCCCGGGCGGGGGCTGCGGCAGCCGCTGGCCCTTCCCGGAGCCCCCCGCCTCCGTCCCGCGCCGGGCCAGCAGGCACGTGACAGGATCTGGGGCGAGCCCAGCCTCCGCGCCCCTCGATCCCCCTGACCGCGAGAGCGCGGAAGTTCCCGAGCACCCACCTGGGCTGCCAGGGCCAGGCAGTGGCACCTTCTTGGAGGCGGGCGCGGGCGAACCCTGGCCTTTGGGCACCTGGTGAGCCAGGACGGGCTTGGGAGAGACGGGAGGCTTGGCAGGCTTCCGGCCGTCGCCCTCCGGCGGGGGCAGCGGGGGCAACGGCAGCAGGTCGGCAGGAGGAGGCTCCGCCGGCGGCGGCGGCGGGGGCAGGTCTGGGGGCGCCACCTGCTCGGAACCCAGCCTGCGGCGCAGGGTGCCCGCGCCGTCCTGGTACACGGACAGCGGCGGGGACGGCTCCGGGCCTGCCTCGCGTTCCTTGGCCTTGGGCCTGCGCTTGACCGTGTCAGACTCGGTCAGGATGAACTTGACGTTCTCCTGCTGGCTCTGCTTGGCCCGGATGCGCCTCTTGAGAGTGGCGCTGGCCTCCACCCTGGCCAAGGGTGGGCCCTCACCGCCTGCCTCACCTTTGGCTGGACCGCGAGGCCGCTGCCGACTGGCACCATCGTCCCCAAAGTGCCCAGGATCGGTGGGGGCTGCCGGCTCCCCGGAGCCCCGGCGGGCAGTAGCTAGGAGTCCGGTGACTGGCCCGCTGAGTGTGCGGCGCCGGCTGACCACCTCGCCATCTGGCCCAATGGCCTCCTTGTGCTTTACTGAGGCCAGTACAGTGGCCACACGACCCGGATCGGGGCTGGCTGGCCGCGGTGTAGGGTGGCCTTCTGGTGGCCTCCGGGCCGCGCGGACCCCACCCCCGATGGAGGAGAGCTCCAGCATGGCCGCGATGCTCTTCACACTGCCCGCGCTGCCTGTTTCCACGCTGCCCGCCAGATCACTAGCCCTCCGGCGCTGTGCCCGCACCCCCAGCCGGCCATCATCTGGCCCGGCCCCCTCAGCCTCAGCATCCGGCGCCGGTTCATCGGACAGGTCTGCACTGACCATGGCCGAGCTAGAGCGCTTGGGTGGGGGTGGCGGGGGTCCCTTCTTCCGGGGTCGCACTGCAAAGGACTGGCTCCGGTTGACGTTCTTGTCGGTGGCCGCGGGTGCCCGCACAGAGTGGCTGCGGCCCACGCGCCGCTGGACAGTGGCGTAGGGCCCAGCGGCATTGGGCACCAGCAGCTCGTCCCGCTCAGGCTCGCTGTCAGATGCTGCGTAGCGGTTCAGGCTGTGGGCGCGCTTCTTGGGCCGCCCTTGCTCTGTGTCGGTGTCTGGGGGCAGGCACAGCGTGGGCACGGGCGCGGGCGGAGGTGGCCCCGCCTCACCCTCCACGGGCTGAGGCAGCACGTAGGCAAAGCCCCGGTGAGTGGGTGACTGCGGCAGCGAGCGGGGAGACATGGGCCGCTCAGAGGGGGGCAGCAGCTGGGGGGTGGGCTTCACCTTCGCAGTAGCTGGCGCTGGAGTGTGAGCTGCCCTCAGCGCCTGGGGGGAGCCTGGCTGCCCCTTTGTGGGTGTCTGGGGGGGCGTAAAGTGGCTGGCAGCAGGCGGGAGGACCTGCCGTGGCTTGCCGGGCACTGGGGGCACGCTGGCCCTCTTCATGCTGTGGCCATGGCGGCTGGGCCGAGCCTCCTTGGGTGGGGTGCTGGGGGCTGGCACCTCATCCAGCAGGTACTCCTGGCTCCGGGACAGGGGGCTGCCAGGCCCCGGCGGTCCGTCGCCCAGCAGCTCCTGGGAGCTGCTCATATGCCGTGCCCGCCCCCCCAGGCTGGGCTCCGGGCGCCCCGCAGCCCTGGGGGTTGGCGGCAGGTGGTTGGGGGCGGCAGCGGCCGCGCCCTCAGCAGGGCCGGTTAGGGCCGCCTGCAGCTCGCCGCTGAGTTCGCTGTCCTGAAAGGTGGTCATCTTCGGAGACTGACAGTCCACAGGAGCAGGCTCAGGCGGCGGCGGCGACTCAATGGCCATCACTTCAAGGGACTGGGGTGCCTTCCGGCGCAGGGGCCCCCCCTCATACTTGGCGTACTCTGCCTTCTGCAGCTCTGCTAGTTTCCGCACTGCCAGCATCAGCTTCTTCTGGTGTCCTGTGGGGGACGCGTCATCAGGAGTAAAGTTGATCCGGCCAGCGGTAGCTGGCGGGGCGTGGCCGGCAGTGGGACAGGGCCAGGCGCAGGGCGGGACAGGTAGTGGGGGCGTGGCCATGGGCAAGGGGGCTGGCAGTGGGGCGGGGCCAGACGCGGGGGGTGCGGCAGACAGTGGGCGTGGCCAGAAGTGGGGCGGAGTCAGGCACAGGGTGGGGGCGGGGCCAGGCGGGGGCGGTACCAGAAGTGGCCTCACCCAGCTTGGTGATGCCAATTTCCTGCAGGTCTTCCCAGGTGATGTCCGTGATGAAATCAATGTTCTCATAGCCGTTCTCCACCAGCACCTTGTAGTACTGGGCCAGGCCGATCATCGACAGCCACACGGCCAGGTTAGCCTGGGGCAGGGACATGGAGGGCAGCCCCAGCTGGCAGCCACAGCCTGCCCTCCACAGGGGCACTGGCCAGCCCGGCACAGACACACAGAAGGAGACGAATGGACGGGCGGGCAGTCAGCTTGGGAGACAGCGCAGCCTTGGCAGGGGCCAGGCACACACATGTACACACTGGCACACACATGTACAAACACACGTGCCACACTCACAGCGACGCTACCCTCAGGACCCCACTGATAGAAGGGATGACCACACCACCTCCCCCATCCCAGCCACCCTGGGAACAGTGTCCATGGGGACACAGCCATGGACACAGTGTCCATGATGGACGCAGACACACGGTGCTGCCAGCCAGACACGTGACAGGCACAGCCGCACCACAGCCAAGCACGGGCACTGCCAACCCTCCATGCCACACTCACATTGCAGCCTGTTTCCCGTGTCAGCAGGCACCTCACACATACATGCAGGCAGCTGCTACACAAGCCTCACACACACACGTGGCCCTCTGCACACGCCTCTCGCACGCACACGGGCAGCCTGTGTCTGCACCACTTGGGTCTGCTCTCCCAGCTGCACAACACATGTGCAGCCCCACAGGGTACACTTGGTCCTAGAGGGCCAGCCCAGCCACGCAGGTGAAGGTGTGTGCCCCAAACTATACCCGGTGCAGTGTCACACAAAGGGGGTCTGTCCTCTCCTGGCAACCCCACAGCCCCCGCCCCATCCCGGAGGCCAGTCCCGGTGCCTAGTTGGACAGTCTGTCCAGGCAGCTTGCTGAGCCCGGCGGTGGGCGTGGAGGAGAGCCTGTGTGCCCGCCTGCCAGCCGCCGGCCCACGGGCACCCCCAGGGTGCAGGGGGCCTTACGGGTTTGTGCTCGGGCAGCCAGTCGGGCACGCTGAGGCCGCCGATCTCGGCTGTGATCTTCTTCCGGTGACCTGGCTTGGTGACCCCAATGGCGGTGAGGTCCTAAGCGGAGAGGCCAGTCAACAGGCAGCTGGGCCAGGCTCCGGCCACAGCAGGTGTCGGGCCTGTGGTGCGCTCACCTCAGGGGTCATGCGGCTGATGGTAGGCAGGTCGTAGCCCGCGCCCACGAAGTTGGGGGCGTAGAGCTGCAGCTGGAAAGTGGCGAGCCACTGGCTGACGGCCTCGGCGCTCTGGAAGACACAAGGCACCGGCTGCAGGCTCGCCGCCCCGCGCCCCTGCACGCAGTGCCGCCTCCTGCTCGCCTCGCCATCCGCGGTCCTGTCCTCCGCGGTCCACGTCCCGCCGCCGCCGCTGCCGCCGCCGCCAGCACCATCCGCCCTGCAGCCTCGGCCCTCGTCTCTCCACCGTGAGGGTCCAGCTTGCTCCAGTGCCAGTCCTCCCTGACTGTCCCCCCTGCCTGCTCTGGGGGCGCCCTGGGAGGGGCGAAGCCCTGGCTCCCCGCAGGGGGCCTGCCCAGAGCTGTGCACTCATCCAGCGCTCGCCCCACTGGCATGCTTGCACGCAGGAACGCACACATGGACACCCACCCCGCACGCATACACGCACGCACGCACGGACACCCACCCTGCATGCACGCACACATGCACGGATGCTCACCCCGCACACATGCACAGCTCTGCTCATCTTTGCTCGTCCCACACAGTCTTTCCACTGGCCGTGCCCGCACACACTCAATACACTGCGACGACCACCACAGGCCCGTGACACGCTTCCTCCCAGACACGCACAGCCCACAGCATAGACAATGCCTACACATGCATGCCCTGCACACGCCACACAGACCGACACACACAGACAGAGGACGGGGTCTGGCAGGCCACGGCCCTGGCTGCGCTGTCCAGCCCGCTGCCAGCCCGGGGCCTGTACCTTGCCCTCTGACGAAGGCTCCAGCTTCTTGGGTGACTGTTCTGCATAGACCTGCCCAGCACGGGTCCCTGCAGGTTGCGATCGGGCGGCACCTGGGGGGCCGAGGGCACGGTGGGTGGGTGGAGGGGCACCCCCACCCCCACACAACAGGGGACTGCAGCTTCCCTCTTACCTGCGGAGCCCTCCGGAGGCTTGACAGGGCTGTCCCCGGGACTGGACTCGGAGACGGACTTCTGGGAGAGCACAGTGGCCAGGAGCTGTGACCATACGGACTGGCTGGCAGTGCGTTCCTGGCCTAGCCCACTCACTGCCCCCGCCAGGTCCACCTTATCCCACCTACCTTGACCCCTTCAGCACCCGCGTGCAGGGCGTGGCCCCCGGTGCTTCGGCCCCCGGCCCCGCCACTCACGCTGCCACTGCGGTCCCCGCCTGCCGGTGTGAGGGGGCAACGTCGGGGAGCTGGCCAGGTGCTGCCTTGGGGAGGCACGGCTGCCCCCACCCCCGGGACGCCCCACCTACCTGCAAAAGGTTTCCTCAGCACCCAGATCTCCTCTGGAGGTGCAGAGGGCCCCGACGAGCTGCCTCCCTGGGGTGGACTGGGCTCAGCCCCTGCTCGGGAACCTGCGTGCCCAGCAGCCTCCCTGAGTCTCAGCCCATCAGGGCCGGAGTGGAACCCACAGCTCTGGAGAGCACCTTGCTGCCCTAGGGAGATGCCCCACCCCCCACCTCCAGATAGTCAGTGGGTGCAGCAGGAGTGGGTACTGTCAAGGTGTCTCAGATCCCCATGCCCCAGTTCTGAAGCTCCTCGGGGCTGTCCGGTGCCCGATGCACCAGCTGTATGGGCACGTGGGTGCCCTTCTGGTGCATAGCACTTTCCCTGCCTTGGACATTTGCACACCTGGTTCCCCCCTACTTCTCAGATCCTTCCATGAATCCCCTGTCCAAAAGGGAAAGAGGGTCCCCACACACATCCTCTGGCATCAGCTGCACCCCACCGTCTCACCCCCAACCGCAGGAAAGCAGGTACAAGAACCTTGGCACAGAAGTTGAATTCAAGGTGTGGGGCAGTTTGGAATCTTCCAAGTGAGGGCTGCGGCTGTTCCCCCGAGTCCCACCCTACCCATGGGATGTGCAAGTCTGGAGGGGTCCTTGCCTGCTCGCTTCAGCAGGGCCTCGCCCAGGGAGGCTGGGAAGTAGCCCACGCGGTCGTTGCCTGTCCTGTTATCATGGATACAGCCCTTCCATCGCCCATCCGGGTGTTGCTCGAGGACCTGCCAGGGAGGACAGGAGTGTGCTGAGAAAGATGCCCCACTGCCCAGCTCCAGGGGGTTGTGCACCCTGGGGCACCCTTACTGTGATTATATCCCCGGCCTTCACGTTGAGGCTGGTCAGGTCGTAGTTGTTGCAATAATCCTTGGTCGCCCGCACCTGCAGAGCCGCCGAGGCCTCTGGGGACACACAGGAAGAACCCCAGTCGCATAGTGCGGCCCATTTGGCCCGGCCCACCTACGTCCGGCAGGCCCACCACACCTCTCAGGAGCTGCTTTATCTCCTTGCTGGCCTGCGAGGCTGTGAACTGATGCACGATGTCCAACGCAGTCTGGCTGTAGGTGTTCCTCACATGGGCGTTGATGCCATTCTGCAGAGCAGAGGCTGAGGCTGTCAGGACCACCCCCGGCCCCGCCCCACACAAGGCCCCGCCCACCGACTCCACTGGCTCAGCCCACCCACAACCCCGAGCTTCTGCTGACCCCGCCCACAAAGGCCCCGCCCCACACTCTCGCTGGCCCCGCCTGCCCACAGGCCCCGCCTCCACCGGTGCCGCTCACCTCCAGCAGCAGCCGCACGACCTCGGTCTTGCCGCACAGTGCTGCCTCGTGCAGAGCCGTGCCCGCCTTGGTCTGGCGGTTGATGTCAATGCCCGCTTGGAGGAGGAGTCTGCAGGGGGCGGCGGCAGGGCCTTCCAGCCAGAGCCCTCCGGCCAGCTGGCCCCTGCCAGGCCCAAGCCCTGGGGGCCACAGGGCCCTCCCTGCCTCCCTGCCCTGGATTCTGACGGCGCTTGGCAGGCGCAGGGGCAGGTCATCCTCTGGTCTCACCCGGGAGCGGGCACCGCTGTGCCGCGCTAGTTCCAGATGGGGAAACTGAGGCTTGGAGGTGGTCCATTTCTCCTCAGGGTCACCCCGCCAAGTCGCAGGGCCCCTGCAGCGCCCCCTCGGTGGTCAGGGCCCCCAGAAGTCTGACCACCTCCCAGCCACCTCCCTGAGGCTGCCGGTCCCGCCCCGACCAGGCCCGCCTCGCGCACCTGATGATGTCTATGTGGCCATTCTTGGCCGCCAGGTGCAGGGGACTGGTGCCATTGGGGTCTGTGGCATCTCCGGGCCGAGGCTCAAGCAAGGCTGCACACATGTTACTGCTCAGGAGTAGCTGTACCACCTGAGGGAGGGGCAAGGTTCGCGGGGGTGGGTCTTGGGGGGGGCAGAGCAGCGAGCCCAGCCCAGCCCACAGGAGAGACTTACCCCGACGCGGCCGAACTCACAGGCCAGGTCGAGCGGAGTCTTGCCTGAGTTGTCCACCATGCAGGGGTTGGACTGATGCTGCAGCAGCATCTCGGACTGTGGGCAGGGGCCGGGCGCCAAGGTCAGCAGGCACAGAGCCAGCACCACGCCCAGCCACCCCCACGTGCCTGTCCTCACCACATCGTAGTGCCCGTGCTGGGCCGCCAGGTGCAGGGGGATATGGCCCTCATCCGAGGGGACGTTCACGGCTGAGCCCGCCTTCAGCACCAGCTTCATGGGCTCCTTCCGGCCCTGCCAGGCCGCATAGTGTAGGGGCCGCATGCCTGCGGGGGGAATGGGTCAGGAGCCAGCCCTGGTGGTGACCCCACCTGCTCCAGGATACCCAGATACCCAAAGACGCCTGAAACTTCACAGGAGGGGGTCCCCTCTGCTGCCTCCCCCGGCTGGGCCCTGCAGCCTTGCCTTTATTGTCCTTGATGTCCACGGCGGCCTGGGCCTCTAGCAGCAGGGCAATCAGCTCTGTGTTGCCATTCAGGGCCGCATGGTGTAGAGCAGAGAAGCTGCAGGAAAACCAGCAGGGGAGGGGAGGGCCAGACCTCCCCCCTGAGCTGGGGTCCGCCACAGCCTGACCTCCCCCTGCGCTGACTCACCCGTCTGGGTCCTGGAAGTTGACGTTGATCTTCTTGGTGGAACCCAGGAGCTCTGGGGGGAGGGAAGGCGTCGGGATGAGGGGACCCGGCCTACGCTATGTGCTCCCTGTGGTCCCCAGCTTCTGGCTCCCCCTCCCATCGGAAGGGTCCCTGTGCCTTTGGGGTCGCAGGCCGGGCTCCGGCCAGCCTGTCCCTGCTGGGCTGAGTCCAGGCCACACTCACACATGCAGGACACTCCCTAGACAGCAGCCCAACACCTGCCCGTGGGAAGAGCGAGCGGCCAGTCTGAGGACAACCCAGATGGGGCCGGGGTAGCCCAGGCAGACTGGAACACCAGGAAACGGGACCTCTTTGAGGCAGAAGCTGCGTTTCCAGAGGCAGCCCTGCCGCCTGGCCCAGCAAGTATGATACATGAGGTGGGTCCTTCTGTGGGGTCGCCTGGACAGGACCACTGCATGTGTCCGGCTCGAGGCCTGAGGTCAGGCGACCCACCGTCCCTTCAGGGCCTCCAGCAGCTGTCTGCCAGTGGAGAGAGCCCGCCGACCCTCTCCTTGTGGGCACCGGGCCAGGCAGACTTGGCCAAGCCCCTGCCAGCCCGGGCCCGGTTATATAACCCGTTTGTGGGTCAGCCGCTCCGTGAGGGAGGGGCTGCGGGACAGAAGCCCCTTTGTGCAGGCCCAGGACCTGGGTGGGGGCAGGGGCTGGAGGACGGCCCCGGGAGGGTGTCGAGACCTGCAGGGGTGATGCAAGCACAGCCCCTATGTGGCGAGCTGGGGTGGCAGTGGCGGGGAAAAACGAGGGTCCCACACAAGCCGCAAGGCCTGCAGGGTCTGATGGGCAGAATTCAAACCCTCCTGGGGCTCCTCGGCTACCCGAGCCTCAGCCTTGCGCCAGGAGAACAAGGGGCGGGCGGCTCGCCCGGGAAGCGGAGCATCACGGGGACTGGTGGTTACTAACATTAGCTGACAGGAGCCCCGCCCCCACCCTCTGCAGCAGGGGGCTTCCTTACATGCTCTCCGCCCCCCACACGGGCTCAGGGTGCCCATCCTCTGCTGCCTCTGGCGCCCTCAGATGCCCCTGTCCCTTCCCTTTTCTCAGCTGCCCCAGGCCAGTGCCCATGCCGTGGCCTCTGAACACACTGCCCCCTGCCCCTCAGATCGCCCCCCTGCTTTCTCACCAGCTACAGCGGGGGCACAAGCCCTGTATCCTCTTCCTGCAGATCCTTTGGTGCCTGAGCCCCACCACCCCCTGCCTCAGGGCCTTTGCATGCTCTGCGGGGAGTGGGGACCTCACCCCCAGTGACCCCTGTACTTTGTTCCTGTTGCCTCGAGCCCAATGTCATGTGTTCAATGAGGGGCCCGCTAATATAAAAATACCCCCATACTCCATCATAGATCTGCAAAAGCTCAGGGCTCCATGAACTGTACCCTCAGTGCACAGGAAGTGGCATCAGCTAATTGCTCACCCCGCCCTCAGGCTGAGGTGGGTCTCGACCCTGGTGCTGCCAGCCGGGTCCTTGGTGTTTGCACCCAGCACCCCACATTGTCACTCACTGCAAATCTCCTGGACACAACTTTGTGCTGGAAGGGCACGGGGTCACTCCACACTTGATGTCCCCCCAGCAGCTCTGCAGCACTCCCTCTTTGTAGCTCTTCTCCCCAAGGTACCTCAGGCAGGCCCCTCAGCCAGGGCCCCTGCCCCCTGCCCCCTGCCCGGCACTGCAGGCCTTGGAGCCACTAGGAATAGATGCCCAGAGCGTAGCAGGAACAAGTGAGAGGGTCTCCGCAAAGGGGACACCCTGCTGATGCCCCCCCCCAGAAAACTGCTCCAAGCAGAGAGAGCCTCAGGGGGCCAGTGCGTGCCCCTTGGGAAGCTTCTGGAACAGCAGCTGGGCTGCGAGGCAAGTGTCCTGGATAGGAGTATTCAGGAGGGGCTGCGGGGAGGAGAGGGGCAAATGGGGTTTCAGGGAGCCCCCCAGCCCGGCCTCTCTTCCCTCACGGGGGAAACAGTCCATGTCCTGCTCTCATGCTGTCACCTGGCCCCTCTCAGCCACTGCCCTCTCAGCGGCCAGAGCCCCGAGGATCCCCCTCCCCTGATGCCCTGGCAGTCATTCTCAGGCCACCCCCTCACCACACTGTCCCTGCCCCTCCAGCAGCCAGGCCACCCCTGCGCCCTATGCGACAGGCAATTGGGGGCCACAAGCCTGCGGGGAATCAGGGTGGGTTCAGGCTAGAAGGCAGGCAGCTTCCCAGGGAGCACTCTTCTCCCTCAAGGACAGATGCTGTAGGGGTGAGTGGGGCGAGACCCGTGCTGGCAGAGGCTGGGGCGGCTGCCGGGAAACCCCACACCCAAAGGCCACCAGGACACCCCAGGAGTGGGGGGGGCCTTGGGGATGGGGATAGCGCTGGACGCCCCACCAGGGCCCAAACTCCAGCTGTACTTCGCTGAATCAAAATACATCTTACTCCAAAGCAGGCCAGCGTTGCCATGACAACCGAGCGAATCCATGGAGGGATTTCTCCGTCTGATTTATTGCACCCGCCCCTGTGAGTCAGCTCGGAGCCGGCGCACCAGGCCAGGTGCTCTTCCCGCCCAGACAGCGACCCTCGGGGCGCGGCACGAGACCAGGTGGAGACCCAAGTACCGGGAAAGGTCCCCGACCCCTGTGAGCGCCGGCGGGGAAGGGGAGGAGCCCCCGACCTGCGGCCCCACTGTTCAGGCCAGCGCGTCTGAGGATTGGGTCACTGCACTTCCCAAGAGCGCTGTGGGTCCCCAGACCCCGCGGGTGGCCGTCACTGCGCGCGGGAGCGCGGCCACTAGGGGGCGCCTCGCCTCCCTGCATCCCGCGTCCCGCCACCTGCTTCCCGGGCGCTGTCCAGGCCGCCTCTGCCTAGAAGCCCTCCATTTCGGGCATCCTTCCCCTGCAGCGCGGCCGCAGCTGGCCCAGACGGCGTGCGGGTCCAGCGACGGGCCGCAGGGCAGCCGAAGCCCGCGCGCACCCCCGCCCCCGGGCGCAGGGGCGCTGCGGGCCGACCGCAGGGGAAGCCGGGGGGCCGAGTCCACGCTCACAGGCCCCCTCGCATCCCACCCCGGAGGGAGGGGAGCGGCGGGGAGGCGGCGCCCAGACCCCGCGGGCCGCGGCGCCGCGCCGGCCCGCGCGCACAGGTGCCCCGACACGGCCGCAGCGCGCAGCCGCACTTGGCCGTCCTCACGCCCATCCATCCATCCCGGCGCCCCCCGGGGAGGCCCGGCAGAGGGGGCCGCGAGGGGGCCCCGGGCGCGCGCACCGCCCACCGCCCAGCACCCGCCGGCCCGGGCGCCCCAGCCCCCGTCTCTCGGGGAAGCCCGCCAGCGAGGCTCCCCGGCCGCTGACCGCCGGGCCCGCAGCCCTCGCGTGCCCCCAGCCCCGGGCCGCACCTGTCGGGGGCTCCGCCCGCGCGGGCCGGCGACCTTGGGCTGGGCCGGCGCGGCAGTCAGCGGCCCGGGCCGGCCACGCCTGGGCAGCCACACCCCCAGCGTGGTCCTGCCCCCCCTTCCCCGCGGAGCGTCTATCAACACGCGCGGGAGGGCGGCGGACGGGGCCGTCAGCTGGGGGTCGCCCTGGCCGCCCACTGGCCCCGTGCGCCGCGGCCGCGGCGGCGAGGGCGGGGTGCGGCGGCCTCGCCCTTCAAAGGCCCCGGCCCGGACTTCCCGCGGTCAGCCCGCCGCGGCGGGGGGCGGCACGGAGGGATGCGGGCGCCGGGGGCTGGGGGCGCCCGGCCGGCCGTGCCCGCAGCACGGGCAGCGAGGGCGCGGGCGGCGGGTCCGGGCGCCGCTGGCCCCGCCCCGCCCCCGGGGACCCGCCCGCCTCCCCCTCCCTGCCCGGCGCCGCAGGGGTGCGGGGCCGGGCGCGGGAGCTGCCCGGGGCGCGCCGCGGCCCCCGCCGCCCCCCGCCGCCCCGCACTCACTGGCCTTCCCGGGCCGCGGCCTCTGCAGCAGCCGCTGCGCGGTGCCTACGTCCTCCGCCTTCACCGCCTGCACCAGCTCCTGCTCCTTCCCCATGGCGCGGCGATGAGGCTGCGCCCGAGCGCCCCGTGCGCGCGGTCAGCGGCGGCGGCCCCGCGGCCCCGGCCGCATCCTCCGCGCCCGCCGCCCCGCGCGGTGCTCGGGCTCGGCTCGGCTCGGGCGCCCGGCGCCGAGGGGGCGGGGAGCGCGTCACGGGCGGGGGGCGGCCCGGGGGCGGGGGCGCGGCACCTGGCGCCGCCTCCCGGACGCCTGGGTCCCCTCCGGCCGCGCTGACCTCGTCCGCCCGCGCGCGCACCCCGCGCCGAGGCGCCCCCTCCCCACGTGCGGCCGCTGCGGCCCCGCGCGTCGCGCAGGGCGGGGACCCGCCGCGGGGGCCGGACCCGGACCCCGACGTCCGCGCGGGGCCGAGCCCGGGAGCGGCTTCCAGAGGCTGCAGGCCCGCGGGGGAGGGGCTGGCGGGCGCGGGCCCGGCGCGAGACCCGCGCCCCGCGGCCCCCCGCACGCTCGCAGGCATCTCTGGCCCGGGGTTCCGTGGGAGGTGTGAGGGCTGCGAACAGGGATCTCCCACTAATGAATTCGGTGTCAGGGAACCCGCAACCCGCGCCCCCCCGCCCCCCACCTTCCTCCTCTGCCGCCTGGCGCTCTCCCGCGGGCAGCCTCGGGCTGAACCCCAAACCGCCGACCCAAGCCGGCCCCCCCGCCTTTGCCCACCGCGTTCAGCTTCCCCACCCCCCAGGACGAGTGAGGTGCAACCCCAGAGAGGGGTTCAGCCCTGCACCAGCCCCCTGCACCGAGGCGGGTGACACCCCGCAGGCCCCAGCCAGACTGGATAGCCCTGCTCTATGCGCTGCCCTCTGCTCCCCCATCCCAAGCCAGGCTCACCTAGAGGGGGTGAGAGGGTCAGGGGAGGGTTTCCTCACTGCAGGGGCGCAGACCAGCACCCCCTGGAGGGTCACAGGATGGCCGACCCCTCTGTGGCCCTGGGCCAGCCAGTAGGTCTAGGAGGAAACTTGCAGGATGACCCTAGGGTCTGGGGAAGTTTCCAGACTTCACTCCTGCTCCTGGGGGCTGACACGCCCAGAGTGGGACCTGGGTCCACACCAGCTGCTCAACAGACAAGCTTGGACTTGCTCACTGGGACCCAGCTGACAGGTGAGGCCACTGAGGCTCAGTGTGGTGAAAGGACACCCTGAGGTCCCAGAGTTCAGGCTGAGCCGGAGCCCGGGGTCTGTGCTGGCTGGTCCCTTCTGCTTCCTGCTAAGTCCTCTAGGACTGTCACTTTATTTTTTTTATTCGGGGGCCACACCCAACTGTGCTCAGGGCTATTCCTGTCTCTGTGCTCAGCATCACTCCTGGTGGGGCTTTGGGGCCCATGAACCTGGGTCAGCCATGTGCAGAAGCATCCTTGGGCCTGGGGAAGCGCTGCAGGTCACATGTAGGCTGTTAAATGAGATAAAGCGCTGTGTTCTGCCTTTCATCTTGACAGACTCCACGGCCAGGAGAGTTCAGGGACGAAGTCTGGGGACTAAGGCCTCCTGCCTGCTGCAGCTCCTGTGCCAGACCCCAGACAGTCACCTCCGGGAGCGGGGAGGGCCCTGGGAGTGGGCTGAAGCTACCAGGCAGGGAAGTTCAAGGGTTGCTCCTGACTGGGTGGGGATGGTGACCACAGGAGCACTCTGGGCCGAGTGTTGGATCCTTGACTGACTCAGTGACCTTGGGCAAGGCCCTGATCTTGGCTGTGAGCTGAGAGGTGCTCCCGCCTGGCTGGGGACATGCAGCCCGCGGCTCTGGCCACGATGAGGATGCAGAGGCTTGGGCCTCGGGCAGCCCTTCAGGAAGTCACGCCTGGCCCCCAAGGAGGCCACTGAGCTAGCAGAATCGTGGGGTTCCATTGAAGTCGCTGGTGGCTGTGCAACCCCACTGCTGAGGCCGTTCCTCCTCCTCCTCCTCTTCCTCCTCCTCCTCCTCGTCCTCCTCATCCTCCTCTTCCTCCTCCTCTTCCTCTTCCTCCTTCTTTTTAAGATTTTATCATTAAATCACTGTGAGATGGATCTTTACGAAGCTGTTCGTTCAGTGTTCCAACGCCCATCCCTCCACCAGTGCACGTTTCCCAGCTGGCCCCGGCCTCTGCCCTCCTGCTCTGCCTGGCCAGGCACTCCACAGGTCTCCCAGCCCCTCAGGTGTGAAAGGGGCTGACAAGAGACCCACCCAGGGGACTGCCGTAGCTGCAGCCTCACTCGGCTGCTTGGCTCTGTGCAGTATGTCACTGGGACCCTGCCCCTGCCTGTCACGCCATGGGGACACATACAGCCAGCGCCTGGGGCGATGTAGAAGGCAGAGGACTCAGGTCTGGCCCTTGGTACCTGGGTCCCATCAGCCAAGTCTTCTCAGCAGTCAGTGGAGAGCTGTTGCACTGTGCAGGCCAACAGCACAGAATTTGGAGGCTCCTTTGAAATTAAACACAGGGTCCGACAAGGCTGGCAGGTCCACCCTAGAATAATCTAGAACAATGAGAAGATACCTCGAGGGGCCGGAAGTTGGGAAGGCATTTGTCTCACATGTGACCAAGCTGGGTTCAATCCCTGACACAGCGTATGGCCCCCCAGGAGTGATCTCTGAGGACAGAGCCAGAATGATAGGACAGCAAGGAGGGCGCTGGCCTTGTATGTGGCCAACCCAGGGTTCAATCCCCAGTATCCCATATAGTCCCCTGAGCCTGCCAAGCGTGATCCCTGAACACAGAGGCAGGAGTAAGCCCTGAGCATTGCAATGTGACTCCAAAACAAAAAAGGGAAAGGGGCTGGAATGATAGCACAGCGGGTAGGGCGTTTGCCTTGCACGCAGCCAACATGACTGACACAGGTTCGATTCCCAGCACCCCATATGGTCCCCTGAGCACTGCCAGGAGCAATTCCTGAGTGCATGAGCCAGGAGTAACCCCTGAGCATCGCCGGGTGTGACCCAAAAAGCAAAAAGCAAAAAAAAAAAAAAAAAGAGAAAGATATCTATTGGGAGGGCACACCCGGCAGTGCTCAGGGCTTACTCCTGTCCTGTGCTCAGGGATCACTCCTAGTGGTGCTCTACGGGATGCTAAGGCCTGAAACTGTGTTGGCTGTGTGCATTGTCCTACCCATTGTCCTATCGCTCTGACCCCAGGAAAAGATTTGTTTTTGTTTGGGGGCCACACCTAGCAGTGCTCAGGGCTTATACCTGACTTTATACTCAGGATCACTCCTGGCAGGACTCAGGGCTGTATAGAGTAACGGGGAATAGACCTGAGTTGACTGAGTGAAAGGCAGATGCCCTTCCTGCTATACTATGACACCCGAAAGATTATTTTTGTTTGTTTTGGGGGGTCACACCTGGTGATACTCAGGGCTTCTTACTCCTGGTTCTGCACTCAGGAATCACTTCTGATGGTGCTCAGGAAACTGTATGGGATGCTGGGGGTCAAACCCAGGTCAGCCGTATCTAAGCAAACGTCCTGCTTGCTGCACAATCTCTCCTGCCCCGGGAAAACATTTTTTCTTTTTGGGTCACACTCAGCAATGCTCAGGGGTTACTCCTGGCTCTGTACTCAGGGATTAGTCCTGGAGATGCATGTGGTACCATATGGGATGCTGGGCTTCAAACCTAGGTAATTGCCCGCCCTGCTGTACTATCTCTCCAGCCGTTGGAAAGACACTCATGTCTGGGCAGGAGGCCACAGCAGCAGTAGAGTAAACTGCCCGCAGAGTCAGCTCACCAGAGTCTACCTAGCTCAGAATTCTGCTCGGCCATAAATGGAGCACCCTCATGCTGATACCTGTGACCTCAGACATGAACAGAGAGGACCCGCAGGCCGTGGGATTCCACGTCTATGAGCAATCCTGAACTGAAGGCAGAGGTCAGGCAGGCGCCTCTCAGGACTGGGCTAAGATGCAAACTTTGTATGCAGAAGTTTCAGTTCCAATCCTCAGTAAAGGTCCCCAAGCACTGCAGGAGCAACCCCCTACCCCAGCACTCAGCTGGAGTAGCCCAGGTGTGACCCCCAAGTCGAAGAGAAACCAGAAACAGACTGTCCTTGCGGTTGACCAGAGCTGGGGGTCTGGAGAGCAACATGGCAACGCTCCAGGTGCAGGGGCCTTCTGCGTGCTCTCAGGAGTCAGACTCAGGGTTTCTCTCTTTTTTTTTTAGCTACACCTGATTGTGCTCAGGAATCACTCCTGGTGGGGCTTGGGGGGCCAGGTGTGGTGCACCCTGGGATTGAAGCACCCTTGTACTATCACCACCCTCTGTACTATCTGGCACCTCTTGTGACCTTTTGAGGTCTATACTAGAAGGAATTTGCAACCCAGTAGGGTCACCCCTGGACCAGTGAGACAGGCAGAGACCAGAGTTGTCTCCAGAGGGCGCCAGCCCAGCGGGAAAGAGAGAAGGAGCTTTGAGGCGCTTTGCCAGGGCAGCATTGACATTTTCAGTGCCCAGCAGTCCCTGAGTTGGAGCCGGGATTTAGCTGGGCCAGGAGGGGCGTATGGCTCTGTAGGGGGATAGAAGAGGGATGGCAGGAAGGAGAGAGGAGGGGAAGGTGCAGAAGGTGCTGGGTCTCAGGCCTGAGTGGACGGTGGTGCTCCTGGCCAGGCTCAAGGGGCCAGAGGAAGGAAGGGGGTGTGGCTGTGTTTGCAGGACAAGGGGGGAGGGACGTGGGACGGTGGATTCCAAGGACTTTTTTCCGGGTCAGGGTGGACCGCAGAGGGGACATTAGGGACACCGCTGGGAGGGTCACAGGGGTCAGATCTGGTTGCCATTAGCAGAGGAAGATGAGTGGCTTTTGTTTGTGAGCTACACAGCGATGCTCAGGGACCGTCGGCACGTCCAGGAATTCGCGTGCCCCAGGCCCCGCGGGCGTTTCGGTGTAAGTGAATTCCGGGTGATGTTTCAAACGAACTCCCAGTAACGTTTTCAAATTTTTTAATGTTTTTGCGCCGCACCATGTCTGCTTCCGGGCTCCGTGCTCAGGGCTCACTCCCCGCGGGGCTCGGGGCAGGTGCCGGGCCGGGGAGGGGGCGCGGCGGCGGGACGGGCCATCGATGACTCTGCGCTCGGCACGCTCGAACCGCTCCCGCTCGGCTCGTCGTCCTGCCGGGGCGGCGCGCGCCGCGTGAGGTACGGAGGCGGCGGCGCGGGCGCGGGCGTGGCGGCAGGCGGGCGGGCGGGCGCGCCGCGCGGCGCCGGGCGGGCGAACGGGACCCGGGGGCTCGGGGGGCGCTGCAGGGCGCCCCCCGCCCCGCCGCGTGCGCAGCCGCAGTGCCCGGCGGTGCCGGCCGGGCCGCCCCGAGCCCTGCGCTTGCGCGGCCCGCCCCTGCGGCAGCGCGGCGCGCGCGTGATCGCCCCCTGCCGGCCGCGGGCAGGGTGGCATCCGGCGGGGCCACGCCGCCCAGCGCGGGCCGGGCGCCCCCGAGCTGACCGCCGCCGTGTCCCCGCAGCCCTCCGAGCCGCGATCCCCTTCTCGGCCGGGTGCGACAACGCTGCCGACCCGGGCACCGCGGTCCCGTGCGGCGGAGCGAGCTGCCGCTCGCCAGATGCCCTGACCCTTGGCCCCTGCGCGTGAGCTCCCGGGCCGCAGCATGAACGCGTCCCCAGGCACGGTGGGCAGCGACCCGGTGATCCTGGCCACGGCGGGCTATGACCACACGGTGCGTTTCTGGCAGGCGCACAGCGGGATCTGCACGCGCACCGTGCAGCACCAGGACTCCGTATCCTGGGGACGCGACTGGGGGGGCGGGGGGCAGGGGGGCCGCCCCAGTCCCCGCAGCGCCCTCCCGCACCCTCCTGGCACCCTCCTTAACACACACAGCAGGTGAATGCACTGGAGATCACGCCGGACCGCAGCATGATCGCAGCGGCAGGTACGTCCACCCCACCCCGCGCCCAAGGGGCCACCCCGCCGCCCCCCACGCAGTGCTCAGTGCCCCCTGCTGTGCCCTAGGCTACCAGCACATCCGTATGTACGACCTCAACTCCAATAATCCCAACCCCATCATCAGCTACGATGGAGTCAACAAGAATATTGCATCTGTGGGCTTCCACGAGGACGGCCGCTGGATGTACACGGGCGGGGAGGACTGTACCGCCCGCATCTGGGACCTCAGGTGGGGCCAGCTGGCTCGGGACTCCCGCCCCTTTGGGGTGACCACGGCTTCTGGCCACAGGGGACAGTGCCCTGGAGCCCGTGTCTTTTGCCCCAGGTCCCGGAACCTGCAGTGTCAGCGCATCTTCCAGGTGAACGCGCCCATTAACTGTGTGTGTCTGCACCCCAACCAGGTGAGGGGGGTGTGCGCCCCACTCCGTCCTCCCTGGGGCAGGGGCCGGTCCTGCCTCACGTCTCTCGCACCCCAGGCTGAACTAATTGTGGGCGACCAGAGTGGCGCCATCCACATCTGGGACTTGAAGACAGACCACAACGAACAGTTGATCCCTGAGCCCGAGGTGTCCATCACGTCCGCCCACATTGACCCTGACGCCAGCTACATGGCGGCTGTCAACAGCAGCGTGAGTGGGGGCAGTGCCCTGCCCTCGCGGCCTCTCCCTCTCCTGTCAGTGTCCTGCCTCTTTCTGGTCCATGCGCTCCTGTCTGTCCTCAGAACCCCTTCAGCCCTTGCAGCCTTTCCCTTGCTCTGAGCAGTGGGTCGTCCCCACCTCACCCCTTGCTTCCCTGGGCCAGCATCACCCCCTTCCGGGGGGGGTCCCTCACTCCCGGCATGGGGGTGTTCCTGGGGGGCAGCCCTGAGCGCCTTGGTCCCTGTGGCCCTCCCTGGCCCGGGTCAGAGCGAGGCTCGCTGCCCCCAGGGAAACTGCTATGTGTGGAACCTGACGGGGGGCATTGGGGACGAGGTGACGCAGCTCATCCCAAAGACCAAGATCCCTGCACACAGCCGCTACGCCCTGCAGTGCCGCTTCAGCCCCGACTCCACGTAGGCTTGTCCGGGGACGGGGGCAGCGGCGGGGAGCCCAGGACGGGCTCGGGTGGGAGTGACGCCTGCTGACCCTGCCCAGCCTCCTCGCCACCTGCTCAGCGGACCAGACGTGCAAGGTCTGGAGAACGTCTAACTTCTCGCTGATGACGGAGCTGAGCATCCGGAGCGGCAACCCCGGGGAGTCGTCACGGGGCTGGATGTGGGGCTGCGCCTTCTCGGGGGACTCCCAGTACATCGTCACCGGTGAGTCCTGCCCCGGTCGGGTCCAGCCTGTCCCCCTGGCTGGGATGGGGAGCCCTGGGCCCGCCCTGAGCTGCCGCCCCTCTCGTAGGCTCATCTGACAACCTGGCCCGACTCTGGTGTGTGGAGACAGGGGAGATCAAGAGAGAGTATGGCGGCCACCAGAAAGCCGTCGTGTGCCTGGCCTTCAACGACAGCGTGCTGGGCTAGCCCGGCCCCCGCCCGTGTGCACAGGCCACAGAGCGCCTTGACTGCGGTGGGGTTTATTGGGCCGCCCGGCTCAGTCCGGGAGGTAATAAAAGCACACGGAGACGCAGACGCTGTTCGGGAAGCAGATGTCGATGCAGAGATAGACCAGCCGCAGCTCCTGGGGCCCTGGGGAGGGGGCTGTGTTACCCCGCGGGCTTCCAGCTCCTGCTCCTGCCCTGCTGCCTTCCCAACTCACCCTCTGCTCGCCGGGCCCAGTAAACGGGGGTGTCAGCGCAGAGGTGCCGCACAGCCGCCCCAGCCTGGGCAGGGTCCACACGGCGGTTCCCCAGCACCTCCAGCAGCTCCCGGGTGTGGCGGGGGGCCTGGGTGCCGCGGGGGCCCTGGGCCTACAGAGCAGGCGCAGGTGGGCGCGCGGCCAGCCCTGCCCAGCTGCTCTGAGCCACTTGGCCTGGAAGACAGAGCAGCCTGTCCCCTGAAACCAGAGCCCGCCCGCGACACACAGGCCCCTTTGTGTGGGCGCTGCTTACCCCCGAGGTGTTGAGCAGCAGCTGCAGGGTCGCACGGTCCCACGGCTCCATGCGGCGCAGGAAGCAGGCCGGGTGCTCGGCTGGGCGGTAGCACACGCAGCCCTGGGGAGGCAGGTGGGTAAGGCAGGGCCAGCCCTCGCCCCCTGCCCCCCAGCCCACTCACACTGCGCCCGTCCAGCAGCACGGCCCAGCTGCGGTTGCTCTGCGCTGGGGTCCCCCTGATGGTTGCGGTGTGGCGGGTGACATCCACCTGGGCAGTTTGGTTGGCTGGGGGACCCGGGGGGTGCAGCGGGCTCGCATGGGGCACCTGTAGCAGTGGCTGAGAGCGAAGGCCGAGTCAGCGGAGTGGGGGGTGACATCCTGCCCCCCGGCCCTGCTGCAGGCTAGGAACACCCCTCCCCCACCCACCCTGCTCCCCAGTACAATCTGGTTCTATGGGACGCCTCCCCTCCCTGTGCTGCCACAGTGCTCACCTTGGGGTGCCCATGCTCGAAGCCAAGCAGTCCCCCGGCCACAGCCCCTGCGGCGGCCAGCGGCGGCAGCAGCAGCAGCAGCAGCAGACCATAGCCTCGGCCTGTCCAGCCCCTGGGACCATGCCGGCTCTCCCCCTGGGGGAGTGCCTGTGGGGCCAGAGGCAGGGGCGGGCTCACATCCCCGGCCCCCGAGAGGGTCCCCGGCACTGGAAGGCAGCTCCCCCGCTCCATGCTTCGGCCAGGTCACAATGCACGATTGTCTGCACCCCTCACCAGGAGGCAGCCAAGGGGGCGCACTACCTCCTCCCAGCCACCTGATCCCTAAGGGAGAGCGCAGCGCTGTCCCCAGGCCCCTGTGCCAGCAGGTGCGGGGCCTGCGGGGGGTGGGACCTGCAGGGATGGGACCTGCCCAGGCTTGCTCTGGGCACAGGACCTTCGAGGCACATTCCGTGAACGCCCCTTAGAGGGTTCTGCACCTCTGCTCCCCCAGGGGCACCCCAGGTCCGCCAGGACTCCTGGAAGGCCACTGTCCTGCCTGCTGTGGGTCCCCCGCAGTTGTACCCCACATCCCAGCTCCAGAACAAGCCCTGGAGCAGACCTGTTGGGCACTCCCACCCCATCCACGCGCTGCAGAGAGGAGACAGCCAGAACCACAGGGTCTGAAGTTTAATGTGCATTTGAGTTCACACAGTGCAAAGGGCAGGCGGACAGCAAGCTGCAGGACCCTCGCCCAGCCCATGGGCCGCTGCCTGTGGGTCCCACAGGCCAGCCCCCACCCCGCCCCCACCCCACTTCCCAGAGCCGTGCAGCTACTTGGCATGCCCTAATCTGGAGGCCAGCTGGACACTGTGGCCCCGGGACACCCATGATTGCTCTGTGGACTCAGGAGAGCGGGGAATGACCCAGATGCAGAGCCACCAGGGCAGGCCACGGCGCCAGGAGAGGCAGCGAAGGAACTGCTCCCCAGTCTGCCTGGAGTGCAGTGGGTCAGCTGGGCATCGAGCCCAAGGCCTCCAGCCAAGAACCCTGGGCATGTAGGTGGTGCCTGCCAAGCCTTCCATGGTCCACCAACAAGGAGCTGGGGCCAAGATAGGTGGCGCAAGAGCTGCTGGCATCTAAGTCCCCACCCCCACGGGACACTGAGGTCAGGAAGAGCAGTGGCCCTGGAAAAGCACTTCCTGTTCTCAGGGCTGCCTGGCCTCAGCCAGAGCACAGCTATTGACCGGGCTTCGTCAGCTCCACCAACACACCAAACTTCTAAGAGCTGGAGAGCTTTTTGGTACTCACACTGCCCCGAGCTCCTTGGAGGGCAGCTGGAACTGGGCAGGAGCTTAGAAGCCCTCCTAGCCATGTGCTGCCCTGGAGCTGGGTGCAGGTCTCCTAGGGTCACTGCACATGATGGCTGAGGCTGACACCCAAAGCAATACTGCTGAGAGGCCCGCATCTCTCCACCCAGCGGCCTGCACCATGGGGCAAAGAACTGGCCCTCCTCCTCTCAGGCCCCTGGGGATTGCTCCCCGGCTGGAGCTGTCAATCATGAGGGAATCCCCTGGACCCACCTCAGATGCACCAGCAGGCCCCAAAGGTTCCCAGAACCCTTGCCTTGGCAGCCAGAGCCCAGGACCTCACGCTTAAAAGTGCATCTTAGGGCAGGGTTTGTGGCAGAGCGCGTGAGAGCCCCTGGGTCTGGGCCCCAGCCGTGAAAAAAAGGAGGGAGGGGGAAGATAAGCTAGAAAAAGTGCATCTTAAAACATCTGTAAACAAGCCTGTGCCCAGTCGCTTCCCAGGCTGGGCCTTGGGGACCGCCCGGCCCAGCGGACACTCTCGGCCCACCTATTAATCTGGGGAACCAAGTCTCAATTTTTTTTTATTCCGGAGATTAAAGACACTCTAGCTTTAACCTTGGAGGGCGGGCAAAAGGTCGGCGATGCTGTCCACGTAGAAGTCGGGTACCATCTTCCTCTCGGCCACGCAGTCACTTTCCTGGTGGTCCTTCACGTCCCCCAGAGAGGAGACCCCGGTGAGGGTCAGGATGGTCTTCAGGCCGCACGTGACGCCCAGCAGGATGTCCGTGTCCAGGCGATCGCCCACCATGACGGTGCGCGCGGGGTCGATGCCGTACTCCTGGGACACGCAGTCGAAGATGAAGCGGCTGGGCTTGCCGATGATGTCCGCCTGGCGCTGCGCTGCCATCTCCACGGCACGGACCAAGCAGCCGGTACCTGCGGGCCGAGAGGGGGGCCGGGCCGGGTCAGAGGGCGGAGGGCAGAGGTCCGAGCGCCGCCGCCCGCCGCCCGCCGCCCGGGCGCACGGACCTGCGATGAAGCCGCCGTTCTCCAGCGGGAGCCGGTTGTCCAGGTTGGTGCCCACCAGCAGGCAGTCGGGCTGCTGCAGGTAGCGCACGGCCTTGGTGAGCTTCATGTAGCTGAAGTGCGGGTCGAAGCCCACCACCACGGCGCGGACGCCCGGCTCGAGCGGCGCGGCCAGCCAGGCGGCGGGGCTGTCGCCCTGCAGCGGCTCGGGGCCCACGCCCAGGCAGGCGATGCCCACGGCCTCCAGCTCGGCCGCCAGCGCCGCGCTGCCCAGCACGTAGGCCCGGGGCGCGGGCGCGCCCGCCAGGCGCTGGCGCAGGTAGAGCGCCGTGCAGTAGGCCGTGCCGAAGACCTCGGGGCGGGCGCCGGGCCCCGCCGGGCCCCCGAAACCCAGGCGCCGCAGCTTCTCGGCGTAGGCCGCGCGGGTCTTGCTGCTGTTGTTGGTGATGAAGCCCAGGCGCTTGCCGCGGGCCCGCAGAGCCGTCAGGGCCTCGGGCGCGCCCGGCACGGCCGTCTCGCCGCGCCACAGCACGCCGTCGCAGTCGAACAGCAGCGTGTCCACGTCGGCCAGCAGGGCGCGGGCCCGCTCGGCGCTCAGGCGCACGCAGCGGGCGTCCTCGTCGCCCGCCTCGGTCGCCGCCATTGCCGCGCCGCCGCCGCCGCCGCCGCCACCGGCCGCCGCCACCCGCCGCTCCTCGTAGCCGCCCGCCGCGGCGCCGGCCCCGCCCCCGGCGCGCTCATTGGCCCGGCGCCTCGCGCACACCGCCCATTGGACGTGGGCGGCGGAGGCTCCGCACCAACCGCCTTGAGTCGGCGCCGGACCTCGAGTGGCTATTGGCTGCGGGATACTGAGCGCCCCTCTGATTGGCTGGTGTGCAGCCACTCGGGACTCGGGGAAGCGCGCTCACCGCGGAAATGCTTCGCAGGGCCTGGGAAGCCGGCGTAACGCGAGCGGCGAGGCGCTTCTCCCATTGGAGGCGCAAGGTCAGCCTAGGTGACGGAGGCCCTGAATCCTGTGACCGGGGAGGGCCGGCTTCTGATTGGCCGGCTCATCTCCAGGCGTGCCTCGTCGGGATCCTTCCCCCTTCTCCGGAAGGGCCGGAGTTACTGCAGTGGCTCGTTCTTCCGGCCTTGGGTCGTGCTGTGACCCTTCCTGGTCCTTTCCAGCGAGCTGGCATCCTCGTGCCAAGGCCTTGGCCGGAAGCATGGTCTGGGACCGGCTCAGCGACTGCGCTCGGTCCCTACCCCGAGGAGGTCTTGGTGCTAACGTGTATTGCGGCACCCCGCCGAATATACTTGGAGTTTTCAACCTAGAGCAAACCAAAACCCGATTAACCCCGTCCTATGGCCGACCCGAGTTCGATTCCTCCGCCCCTCTCGGAGAGCCCGGCAAGCTACCGAGAGTATTCGATATGCCAGACACAGTAACAACAAAGTCTCCAATGGAGACGTTACTGGGCCCGCTCGAGCAAATCGACGATCAACGGGAGGGCCTTTACCTTTACCTTTACCTTATTCGTGCCCCTCGCAGATTCCGCTCTCACCGCCCCAACCCTGCTCACCTTTTGTGCTGAGCTCCTCGCTGTTCAGACCATCCAGTAAAAGGTTGGACAGCGCGTCCCTGTGCTACGGTTCAGCACATCTGGAAGGTTCATACTCTTCACTGATCTTGGCCTTTAATTACACCGGGAAGTACGTGTTTATCTCTTCTGTGAATAGAGTCTGGTCGTTTCTGCTGTAACATGCCTGGGGCCTTCCTAAGGGAAACTTTCCCCCAAGGCTAAGGCTGGAACACAGAGTTCTCATGCCGAAGGCCTGGTTTTGATCCCCAGCACCACAAAGTTCCCTGAGCACAGATGGAAGGGATCTCTGAGTCCTGGGTGTGGCCCAGAGGGAGCAGGGAGAGTCCCTGGAGCCCTCAGTCTGGGCACCCTCAGGTTGACTGACTCTGGGATGCTCCCGAAGCCCACCAGCCTCCTAGGTCTCCACAGCCTCTTCTGCTCCTCTCCTCCTCTCAGAGGTCATCCCAGGCCTTTTCTGGGTGGTAGGCAGAGGGACTTCCTGAGACGCACTGGCATCTCTTGGCTGGAACCCCTGTTGTGGTGAGCCAGTCCCTGCGCACAGCGGCTGCCGTGCTCTGATCTGTGCCACACAGTCAGCTCCTGCCCACCTGGGACTGTGTCCCTCGAAGGCGCTCAGCTTCCTGTACCTGGGCACTTCTCTGGAGCCCCACCAGGCTGACTCACCTGTCACTGGCGTCCTGAGCTGGAGGCCATGCCTGGGAGCATACAGTCCCCTAGCCCCTCTGAGCCAGCTTCCATGCCCCTCTTCAAGCCTGTCCTCTCTTGAACAGTATCTCCATACTTGTCTCTATGTATCTTTGCTTGCTTGTTTTTTCGCTTCTGCAGAAGCCTGTGTTCTCTTCTGAACATGTACCTCCTTTCTTTCTCTCCCCTGTCTTTCTAAACAAGTTTTATTCAATAAAAACTATATTGTTTCACAAAAGAAAAAGAAGTAATTGAGATTTGGTTGGTTCAAGAGAAACTTCTACCTCTCTCTACCTAGACAAATTTGGGAGAGGAAAGTGCTCAAAGGATGGGGGTACAGAGGGCTAAACCAGGCTGCCAGCATGCAGGCCCTCTGCCTTGCCCCCTTGGTTGGATCTACATGGAAAGGTCCCCTTGCCCGAGCTGACGGCCTCAGAAACCCAGAAAGAAACAGCAAGTCTCTGCCCAGCCTGGGACCAGCTCTTGCTTTAAAACCTCCCTGCCCTGTGCTGTCTCGTAGCTCAGACTGGCACCTGCACCCACTTTATTCTTTGGAATCCCTCTCGAGTATTTGGGCTTCCCATATATATGCAATTAAATTGGTTCTCGCATGCAAATCAGCCATGTGAGGGGCTGGAGTGATAGCACAGCGGGTAGGGTGTTTGCCTTGCACGCGGCAGACCTGGGTTCGATTCCCAGCATCCCATATGGTTCCCTGAACACCACCAGGAGTGATTCCTGAGTGCATGAGCCAGGAGGAACCCCTGTGCATCGCCAGGTGTGACCCAAAAAGAAAAAAAAAATCAGCCATGTGAGACTATGATTAACTATTAGATTGGAGGACAAAAACTTGAAGGGGCCAGAGTGATAGTACAGCAGGTAAGACATTTGCCTCACATGCACCCATATGGGCTTGGTCCCTGACACCCCATATAATCCCCCAAGCCCTGTCAGGAGTCATCCATGAACTCAGAGCCAGGAGTCTTCCCTGAGCACTGCTGAGTGTGGCCCCAAATAAAAACAGACCAAAACTTGAAGGGAAGGCAAACAGTGCTTGAGGGGCCCAAGGATGACAGCTCAGCACCAAGGGCTGCCTAGCAGGTCGCAGTCACACGCACGTTTCCAGTAGCACAGGCCTCTGGGGCTCCCCAACTGACAGCAAAGGGTACAAGTCTATTGTGTGTGCAGAGCCCAGCCAGTCACCCACAGTGAGCAGCAGGAACGAGCGTGAGCAGTCTCCTCACAACACCATAGATAAATAATAAAGGGAAGAGCGTATACAATTTTTTACTGGGTCCCCAACAACCTCAGATCATTACGTTCTATGAAAGAAGCCACACCCAAAGGTCACATCGTATCTGATCCCATTAACCTGCAATGTCCAGAACAGACAAAGCAGAGACAGAAACATTAGTGCCTTCCAGGAAAGAGCTGGAGGAGGGGAGAAGAAAGCGATGGAAAGCGATGCCAATGAAGTCCCGCTTCCTTCACCAGTAATGTGGGAGTTCTGGAATGGGTGCACACTGAATATAACAAACACCACTACCGGCGCAATTTAGGTGCATATGTAACAACAAAGTCTCCAATGGAGACGTTACTGGGCCCGCTCGAGCAAATCGAAATATACAGAAGGCTAGAAGGCTACATATATATATATATATTTGGTATTCTAAGTTATTTATTATTAGTGAAACACCATGAGGTACAGTTGTAGACTTACAAGTTGTTGTGCTTGGGTTTCATAGAGAGGCTATATTGTCTGCCAGAGGCAGGCGGTGTGGTGGGGTGAGGGTGGTGGAAAATGTACACTGGTGGAGGGATGGGTGCATGATCATTGTATGACTAACAATCATGAAAGCTTTGTAACTACATCTCACAGTGATTCATTAAAAACTTTTTTTTAATTTAAAAAAAAGCTGATTTGGTTTCGTTTGGGGGGGTTGGGAGATGGGGCACACTTCACAGTGTCCAGGGCTTACTCTGGCGGTGCTCTGCAAGTCATATGAGGCGCTGGGCAAGGGGGCTGAGGGTGGGGGAGGCAGCTGCCTACGAGGCAGGAGAGCACCTTCTCCACTCCATCTCCAAGAATGAAGGATTTTAGAAGGGCGGGGAGATAGTACAGCGGGTCGGGCGCCTGCTCTGCACGTGGGTTTGATCCCCGGCATCCCATCAGGTCCCTGGTGTGGGCAGAGGCAGGAGTAAGCCCCGGGCACAGCCGGGTGTGGCCCCAGAACAAAACCAAGGCGCTCGAGAGGCTACGCGCAGTCGCTCAGCCAGGCCTGGCCCTCGCCGCGAGCCCGACCGCGAGCAGGCGCCCGCGCCGTCCGCGCCGCCCCGCCCCGCCCCGCCGGGCTCGCGTTCTCCGGCGGCCGGCGCGGCCCGTTGTTATGACGACACGGTCGTAAATCCGCCATCTTCCTGCGGCGCGTTGCGACATGGAGGGCGCGATGGCAGTGCGGGTGCCGGCCGCGCATACGGCAGAGGCTCGGGCCGGGGCCGGGCGGGACGCGGGTGAGGGCGGGGTCGCGGCGGCGGCCGCCTTGGCGCCCGGCGGCTTCCTGGGCCTTCCGGCCCCCTTCGGCGAGGAAGGTAACGGGGTCGGCGGCCGGGCGGGGCTCTGGCTTCGGGCGGCCTCCACGGGCCTCCGCCCGCCGCGCTCTCGCGGTGCCGGCCGGCCTGTCAGCGTGGGCAGTGCCCGGCGCGGGGCCCCCGGACCCGCCTGACAGCGCGGCGTGTCGCTGCGGGCCCGGGGCGGGGCCTGGGGCGGGGGTCTCGGGGCGGGGCCGGGTGTGGGGGGTTTTGGGGCGTCTCGGGGTGGGGCTTGGTGAGGAGGGTCTCGGGGGCGGGGCCTGGTGAGGAGGGTCTAGGGCGGGGACTGGTGGGGCGGGGACTGTGCGCTGGAGGATCTGGGGGCGGGGCCTGGTATGGGGGTCTGGGGTGGAGCCTGGCGTGGGGGTTCTCGGGGCGGGGCCTGGTGTGGAGGGTCTGGGGGCAGGGCCTGGTGTGGAGGGTTGGGGGACGGGGCCTGGTTTGTAGGGTTCTCGGGGCGGGGCCTGGTGTGGAGGGTTGGGGGGCGGGGCCTGGTTTGTAGGGTTCTAGGGGCGGGGCCTGGTGTGGAGGGTTCTCGGGGCGGGGCCTGGTGTGGAGGGTCTGGGGACAGGGCCTGGTGTGGAGGGTTAGGGGGCGGGGCCTGGTGTGTAGGGTTCTCGGGGCGGGGCCTGGTGTGGAGGGTTTGGGGGCGGGGCCTGGTGTGGCAGGGTCTTGGGGGCGGGGCCTGGTGTGGAGGGTTGGGGGCGGGGCCTGGTTTGTAGGGTTCTCGGGGCGGGGCCTGGTGTGGAGGGTCTGGGGGCAGGGCCTGGTGTGGAGGGTTAGGGGGCGGGGCCTGGTTTGTAGGGTTCTCGGGGCGGGGCCTGGTGTGGAGGGTTTTGGGGCGGGGCCTGGTGTGGCAGGGTCTTGGGGGCGGGGCCTGGTGTGGAGGGTTGGGGGCAGGGCCTGGTGTGGAGGGTTTGGGGGCGGGGCCTGGTGTGGCAGGGTCTTGGGGCCGGGGCCTGGGCTATGGCTGATTTTCGGCTTTGGGGCCAGGCCTTGGGCCCCCGTTGGGGATAGTGGGTTGGGGGTGGCAGCGACCCGTGCTCTCCACCTGTTGGGCCCAGGGCCTGGCGCCATGCACCTCCTCTCGGAGCCTCTAGGACCAAGTTACCACCCCAGCACCCGCGTGCTCCTGACCTTCCTTATGTTGTGGAACCACAGGGTTGCGGGTCAGAGATGGTGCCACCTCACTGTGTCCTGAGGACAGGGATGTGCATTGGGTCTCTGGTGGGTGTGGAGGGGCCTTGGGGCAGGGCCTCAGCTGTGGAGGGCTCCAAGGGCGCTGGTCTCCACCCTCAGAGTTTGTCTCCCAAGGCCTCGCTAGGAGTGTTGGGGTGGTGGTCTTTGCCCCCAGGGTTTTCATGCTTTGTCCGGGGTGAGGCTCTGAAGGCTGGGAATCTTGGTTGCTGCGTTGGTGGCATAGGTGTGCCCTCCTCAGGACCTGGGCGCCCTGCTGGGACAAGCCTTGGTGCATGGGATGGACTGGGGCTGGTGACTGTGATGTGGTCTGCGTCATCCAGAGGGCACCACCTAGCAGGGCAACTCTGTGGGCAGTTTTGGGCAGGCGTAGACCTCTCGCCTTGGCGGCTCCTGACCCGTCTCTGGAGTGGTACCCTTATGGGGGTCATGTCACCTGCCTGTGAGCCATGGGCCCCACATTGGCCCTTCAGGTTCATGCCAGACACCGCCAGGTGACCTTGAATCTTGAGTTTTTCTGGAATGGGGGCAGTCATCTGCATTCTGCCAGGACACTGGGGCTGGGAAGGCCTGCACTGATGCCCACCCTGTGGTTGGCTCTAGACCCGACCACTGTGTCTCTGTGTCCCCTCTCTGCTCTGCACCCACCGTTTGACGGGAAGACAGACTCGGAAAGTGAGGCGCGCGACACAGATCCCTGAGTCCCAGCCCTCTGCTGTCCACAGACTGACTTGGCCAGGCGTGTCCCTTTGCTGACCGCTCCCCACCCCTCGTTTTGGTATCAGGAGCTTTGAGCTGCCGGCTTCGTGTATGGCCTGTATGGCCACCCCGTCCCTGTTTCCCTGGGTACCCCTTGTTCAGAGCGCATGGATGGGGCTCTTCGTTCCCAAGCGGGGGGAGGGGGGCTGATCACAAGCCTGTTGCAGATGAGGACGACGTGCACCGCTGTGGCCGCTGCCAGGCCGAGTTCACGGCATTGGAGGAGTTTGTGCAGCACAAGCTTCAGAAGGGCTGTCAGCGGGCCCCCCAGGAGGCCCTGCCGGCTGGCCAGGAGGTGAGCCCCCTCCCCCCGCCGCAGCCCCGGGTTTGCTTACGCACACATGCACATGGACGGTCACGCATGTGTGCACACCGGCATGCGTGGAAGCAGCTCCTGGAGCCGGTGCTCCATCCTCAGGGGGGCAAGCTGGGGCAGGCCTGTGGGTGGTGCAGGCTGGCTGGCCTAGCTGGAACTTGGGGGGTTTACTGGCTCTGGTCCCTTAGCTCACGGTGCTTTACGTCTGCCTGTGGACACAGCATCATCTCTGTCAGGGAGGGGACAAGGCGCAGGGGCCCTGTGCCCCTAGTGCTTGTTGCCAGCTGAGCAGCCGGTAGGGTGCTGCCTCTTTAGGCTTTCCGGGAAGACTTAGACCCCCTTAGAGTCGGGGGTCCTCTGGACCTGGGCTGAACGTCTTTCTTCTAACTGGGGAGACACAAGCTCCCCCCCACTCCCCCACCCCCCAGCGCTCTGTCACGGCGCTCTGGAGCCCCACAGACAAGCTCCTTTCCTCTCGGTAGGTGCCGGCAGCGGCAGGGCCAGACGCGCCCATCACCGTGGCCCACATTGTGGTGGAGGCTCCTGACATCGTGGGTGAGCAGGCACAGGCCCCGTCCCTGCAGGCTGATGGCAGGGGGACAGGCTGAACCGGGCTGCAGAGGGGAGTGCGTAACCCTCTGCACAGCTCGCGCCGTCTGCTCGGCCTCATCAGCTCAGAGGTCAGGTGGGTGGGGTCAGAGGCCCCGGGCCCTGCCTGTCCTGCTTCTCAGCTTTATGAGCGGGCAGCGCCTGGGAAGCCTCTGCAGCGGCTCTTTAAGTCAACTTGGCGTCCGTGGGAGCGGGCAGGGGCCGCGTCGGCCTCACTGATTCACGGGGTGTGGGAGGGGTGCCCACTGGCTGTGGGGCATGAGTAGGGCACCAGGGCGGAGTGGGCAGCGGGAAGGCAGTGGTCGCTGCCAGGGGCCCTGGGGCTCGCCCTCTGCAGGTGCGTAAGTAGGTGGCTGGACAGGAAGCAAGTTCTGGGTACAGGTAGAACTTGACCTGAAACACCCTTGGATCCAGCTGGGACAGGAAGATGTGTGGAGGCGAAGGGACAGCTGTCCTTGCCCCTGACATTCCTGAGAACGTGGTGATCCCTGGCCCTGTGGGAGGAAGTTGAGTGCGGAATGCGCTGTGTGCTGGCCTGCAGCAGGGTTGGAAGAGGCATCAAACAGGAAGCAGGTGTCCTGGGCTTGACCCCACAGGCCCCCACATCCCTCCCCGCACTTGGCAGCCTGGGTGCTTGGGGGCACCTCCCTAGGCTCCCCTGGCTTCTCCTGCACCCCAGGGAGCCCCTCTCTGTAGAAGTCCCAGGTGCTTAGAGGGGTGGTGGCCCTGCCCTGCTGTGCCTTGCCCGATGAAGCCCCAGACAGCAGGAGGGCGGGAGGTACCTGCTGGGTTCCGAGGGCCACACCTCTGTCACTTGGGGACGGCGCTAGCCATGCAGGAGCCCTGTGTCCTGTGCTGGAGGGCAGGGCTTTGGTTTTGGCCGCACCTGGCAGTGTTCAGGGTTGATTCCCACTCTGAGCTCAGGGATCACTACCAGCGGGTTCAGGGGACCCTGTGCTCCCATCCACTTCCTGCAGGGTGAGCACCCTCCCAGCTGTGCTCTGGCAGCTCTGGAGACAGGCTCTAAAAGCACTTCCTGTCACTCAGTTCACAGCTTAACTTGCACATTGTCACATTGTCACATTGTTGCACTGCCACATCAGTGCCTCTCCCTCCCCCACTGGGAGGCTGTCTCCCAGTGGCTGACTCCAGCATGTGGGCCTGATGGTAGCCAGGGCCAGTGCGGAGCGGGAGAAGGACCGGATGTTCCCGGGTCCACTGCCCCAGGGCCTGCGGCTCCCCACAGTGATCCGGAGCCAGAGTGTGGAGCAGTGCCACACACGGGGTCAGGAGCTGCATGAGGCTGGGGCCAGTGTCAGGCACCTTGTCTCTGCAGGTGGCGGGCACATCCGAGAGGTCATTGTGGGGGCCGAGGCGGAGCCGGGGGATGGCGAGCTGGTGGAGGCCGCAGGCAGCTCTGGCCAGCAGAGCCCAGGGCTCGCTCGGAGCTGCGAGCCTGCGCCCGTGCGGTTGCTGGTGAACGAGGATGGCCGCTACGTTTGCACGCTCTGCCACAAGACCTTCAAGACGGTGAGGCACGGGCTGGGCAGGGGCGGGGATGCTGCCTCACCCTCCCTCCCTGCCGGCCCCTGAGCTTGCCCACCCCCACCCCCCCCCCCGCCACAGGGCAGCATCCTCAAGGCGCACATGACCACCCACAGCAGCCGTAAGGACCACGAGTGCAAGCTATGCGGGGCCTGCTTCCGCACCAAGGGCTCCCTCATCCGCCACCACCGGCGGCACACAGGTGAGCGCCCGCCCCGCCCCCACCCCACAGCCCGGCTGCGCCAGCACTGACTCCAGCCCCCCACAGATGAGCGCCCCTATAAGTGTGCCAAGTGCGGGAAGAGCTTCCGGGAGTCTGGCGCGCTGACGCGGCACCTCAAGTCCCTCACGCCCTGCACAGAGAAGATCCGCTTTGGCCTGACCAAGGACGGGGTCGGTGGGAAAGAGGAGGCACCTGCAGGTCCGTCCCTGGGGCCTGACCCACCCAGGCCACCCTGCTGCTGGCCTGGTGGTGCCCTTCACAATTGTCTCTGCCTTTAAGGGCCCGGCACCTCCCCCATGGGGACTGTTCCAGCATCATCCGTGACTGGCGAGTCCATGGACACATCACCCGTGATTCACCTGGTGACGGATGCCAAGGGCACGGTCATCCACGAAGTCCACGTCCAGATGCAGGAGCTGCCCCTGGGCATGAAAGGCCTCAGTCCGGAGGTGGGGACAGGCAGGCTTCCGCTCTGGCACCTGGTCTGCGAGGCTGGGTGGGATTCCAGAGCAAAGACAATGGGTGTGTGGTGGCCCCCGAGACCTGGGCAACCTGGGCAGCTGGCCTCCCGTGCAGCCCCCAGGCGCTGAGGAGCTTGGCTGTGCCAGCGAGGGTGGCCGTGAGAACCTGCTGCGTCAGGCCATGCAGAACTCGGGCATCGTCCTTGAGCGGGGTGCCTCAGAGCCCCTGCCCCCAGCAGGATCCCACCCGCAGCCGCTGGGCACCCCAGAACTGCCGCTGCTGGGCGTGGAGCAGGTGGATACGGTACGTAGACAGGCTCCTGGGGTCCTGGGCCCAGGCTGGTGTCACACTCTGGCCTGACCCCCAAGCTCCTTGTGAGCCCGCCGCGGGGATGGTTGTCTGCTGTGGTGGCTTCCGTCCCCTTGCGCCACCTGCCTGGGCATGGCCTGGGCATAGCCTGTGGTTGTGGCCGAACCTGTTACTGGCCTTCCAGCAGGTGGCCAGCGAAGCCTCAACGGTGCCCAGGACCCACCCGTGCCCGCAGTGCAGCGAGACCTTCCCATCGGCAGCCACCCTGGAAGCCCACAAGAGGGGCCACGCAGGTGGGCAGAACGGGGGTCCTCCCGGTGGGTGGGCGAGGGGGCGGGGGCCGCGGTGGCCAGGCCCTCATGCCCGGGCGCCGCAGGGGCGAGGCAGTTCCCCTGCGCGCAGTGCGGCAAGGCCTTCCCCAAGGCCTACCTGCTCAAGAAACACCAGGAGGTGCACGTGCGCGAGCGCCGCTTCCGCTGCGGGGATTGCGGGAAGCTCTACAAGACCATCGCGCACGTCCGCGGCCACCGGCGCGTGCACTCGGACGAGCGGCCGTACCCCTGCCCCGAGTGCGGCAAGCGCTACAAGACCAAGGTGGGCCCCGCCGGCCGTGCTCTCCTCCACGCCCCCACACCCCCGCGCCCCACCCAGCCGCCGCGGAGGCAGCTGAGCCGCGTGTCTCTCGCAGAACGCGCAGCAGGTGCACTTCCGCACGCACCTGGAGGAGAAGCCGCACGTGTGCCCGTTCTGCAGCCGTGGCTTCCGGGAGAAAGGCTCGCTGGTGCGCCACGTGCGCCACCACACTGGCGAGAAGCCCTTCAAGTGCTACAAGTGCGGCCGCGGCTTTGCCGAGCACGGCACACTGAACCGGCACCTGCGCACCAAAGGTCCGCGCCCACCCACTGGCCGGGGAGCTGGGCTGGGGGCGGGCACGCGCTCAGAGGCTCGCGCTCATGGGCACGTGCCGCAGGGGGCTGCCTGCTGGAGGTGGAGGAGCTGCTGGTGGCCGAGGAGGGCCCCGCTGCTGCCGTGCTGTCCGAGGACCCGCACACCGTGCTGGTAGAGTTCTCCTCCGTGGTGGCTGACACGCAGGAGTACATCATTGAGGTGGGCACGGGCCAGGCGAGGGTGTCGGGGGTGCAGCACGGGCAGTCAGGCTGACTGCAGTGTCCACAGGCCGCTTCGGACGACGTGGAGACCAGTGAGGCGGCAGAGCTCATTGAGGGCGCCGCGCCGGAGGTGGACAGCCACATCATGAAGGTGGTGAGGCAGCTCGTGCACCAGGCAGGTGCCGGCCACCAGATCATCGTGCAGAATGTGACCATGGACCAGGAGGCGGGGCTGGGCCCGGAGGCGGGCGCTGCAGACACCATCACCATCGCCACTCCCGAGAGCCTTACGGAGCAGGTCGCCATGACCCTGGCCTCAGCCATCAGCGAGGGTACCGTGCTCACAGCCCGAGCCGGCTCGAATGGTGCCGAGCAGGCCACCGTGACCATGGTGTCCTCGGAGGACATTGAGATTCTGGAACACGCAGGCGAGCTGGTCATCGCCTCCCCTGAGGGCCAGCTCGAGGTGCAGACGGTCATTGTCTAGAGGACACGAGGAGGTGGTGGCGGGGCTGGTGGGAGCGGGGCAGGACCCCAAGTGTCTGGCCTACGCCCGCCGGACCTGGCCCAGAGGACATGGCCAGAGATTTGGGGCCTTGGTGGGACATGGGGAGGGTGAGGATACAGCGGGCAGGCCCTGGGCCCCTCCCTGGCATCGCCGACTTGACCACAGAAACGGGTTGGGTGCTTCACAATAAAACATGAAAACCCGTAGCGTGTGATGTCGGCAGGGGCAGCCTTGGACTGGCACCACCGTGCGGGGCAGCACCAGCCTCGCCTCAACCTCCCATCAGGGCTTCTGGCAGCCCCCTGCTGTGCCCCCAGTACGGAAGGGGGAAGCTCCAGCTGCTCTTGGGCTGGCTCTTCCCAAGCAGCTGGAGACTGGCGGGGCCTCGGCTCGTCTTTCCGGCTGGGGCTGCTTCGTTCCCGCGGGCGGCTCCAGGAGGGAGAGCCCAGTGACCTCGTTTGTGGGGGCGGAGCCAGGGCAGACCTGGACCATGGCGGGGTTGTCCCTTTCCCCAGACCTGACTCCGTTCTTGGGGGCTGAGCAGGGGTTTCTGATGTGCTTGCGGATGAGAGCAGGCTCGGGGGGACCCTCGCTGCCTTTCATCCTAGTCCCAGACTCCTGGGAGCGGGGGAGCCGGGAGTGCCCTGTTGGACTCGGTTGAGGGGCGGGACCTGTGCTTCCCGGCCCCTCCCTGAACAGGGCCTCAAATAGCTGGTGGCAGTGCCAGGCTGCTGCCAGTGGGGCAGCCGGTGCCTTGGTGCCTTTCGGGAACTCAGTCCGGCCTTCAGACCCCTGCTGTGACCGGAACTCAGCCACGCCCCACCCACATCCCAGGTGAGGGGCAGGGGCTGGCTGGCTGGGGGTTGGCTGGGCCTTGGGTTCCTGTGTTTGGGCCCCGGTTTCCCCATCATCGAGTTGGAGAACATCCAGCAGGAGACAGAACATTGGAGGCGGAAATGCCTTGGGGGGCAGATTCGCATCAGAAAGGGGGTGGGGTGGGGTGGGGTGGGGGTGTGGGTCAGACTCACCTGTGGTCTGCCCCTCCCAGCCTGCTCTCCTCGCTATGGGTGGGCCCCACGTGCTACTGGCAGCTCTCTGGGCACTGGGGGCCACTGGGGCCAGCACACTGCGCATCGGAGCCTTCAACATCCAAAGCTTTGGCGACAGCAAAGTGTCGGACCCCGCGTGCGGCGACATCATTGCACAGGTAACTAGGGACTGAGGGCAGGATCGCAGCTGGGCTGGGGGGCAGGGGACGAATGCGCCTGCTTGAGCCCTGCATCTGCTGCCCCCTCACCTTCCCAGATCCTAGCTGGCTACGACATCGCGCTGGTGCAGGAGGTGCGGGACCCGGACCTGAGCGCAGTGTCCCAGCTCATGAAGCAGATTAACAGGTGTGGCGCCGGGCACGGAGTCAGGACCCCCGCGGGAGCCCAGGGCGTGGCGCGGGGCATTGACGGCGGGCTGCCCCGTGTCTTTGCAGTGTGTCCACACACGAGTACAGCTTTGTCAACAGTGAGCCCCTTGGTCGGGACCACTACAAGGAGATGTACCTGTTCGTCTACAGGTGAGGGGCGGGCCGGGCGGGCGTGCAGCAGGTGGTGGGCCCCACACGCCCACACCCAGCGCCTCCCCCGCAGGAAGGACGCAGTGTCCGTCTCGGACACATACCAGTATCCGGACCCGGAGGACGCCTTCAGCCGAGAACCTTTTGTGGTCAAGTTCGCGGTCCCTGGCTCGGGTGACGCGCCGCCCCCACCCCGCCCCGCCTTGTACCCCGCCCCTACCCAGCACCCCTCCCCTGACGCCCCGCCTCATGCCCCACCCCTCCCGCAGCCGCCCGAGAGCTGGTCCTAGTCCCACTGCACGCAGCGCCTCACCGGGCAGTGGCGGAGATCGATGCTCTGTATGACGTATACCTGGACGTGATTGACAAGTGGGGCACCGATGTAAGCCCCGGCGCCCCGCGGCCCCGCCCCGCCCCGCGCCCCCACCCCACGTCCCCAACCGGGCTCCTTGGCCGCCCGCAGGACATGCTCTTCTTGGGCGACTTCAACGCCGACTGCAGCTACGTGCGGGTGCAGGACTGGGCAGGCATTCGCCTGCGGAGCAGCGAGGTCTTTAAGTGGCTCATCCCGGATAGCGCCGACACCACGGTGGGCAACTCGGACTGCGCCTACGACCGCATCGTGGTCTGTGGTGCCCACCTGCGCAGGAGCCTGAAGCCACAGTCTGCGCGGGTGCATGACTTCCAGGAGGCGTTTGGCCTGGACCAGGCCCGGGTGAGTGCAGCGTGGGCCCACTGTCCACGGCCACTCCGTAACGGGGATGCTGCCGGGGCTTCTACCTGGCATTCTTTCCCAGCCCGCCTTCCCAGAAGAGCCCCGGGTGGTCCTGGCAGATGGGACAGTGGGCAGCACCATGGATGACTATGGCCTCCCAGCAGGCCCCTGAGGCTGCCCTGTCGCCCTGCAGGCTCTCGCCATCAGCGATCATTTTCCTGTGGAGGTGACCCTCAAGTCCCACTGACAGCCTGATGACATGCCCTGGGCCAATGCCTGCACACTGGCCATAAGGACGGGCCCACAAGCAACTCAGGGTGGCAAGCCGCCCCCATTAAGGTGGCAGGGGCAGCTGGGCCTGGACAAGTGGCCATGAACACTTTGGGGTCACTGGGGCCTTGTCCCCCATGCGTAGACCGGACTCTGATACCCACATCCGGGGCTGTGAGGGATGTGAGGTGGCTTTGCCCAATAAACGAGCAGGCTAAGCCAGGACCAGGCGGTGCCAGGCCTCCATGTCCTTGCTTAGCCGCAGCCAGCCTTTCTCGGACCACTGGGCATGGCCTCCTGCAGGCCAAGTGGGCTCCTGGGCAAAAGGCAGATGCTGCTGGCAGTGGGCCCACGACAACAGGGACCCTTCGCAGCAGCGTCAGGGTTCTGCGCCAGCCCCAGCCACAAGCACTGGGCTCCCAGGGGTCACAGCAGATGTGTGGAGAAAAGTGTGCGTGGACCCTGGGGCACCCCTGAAGGCCCATTCCCTCGCCCCGCACCACGTGCCTCCAGCTCAGGGACAGGTGGTGCTGAGGGGTTTGAGTGGCAGCTGGTGTCCAGCAATCAGGCAACCCCGTGGCGGGAAGGCGGAATCCCAAGGACTTTATTCGTGACTGTCCTGAGGGAGGGCCCGGCACCGGCCCAGGGTCCGCAGGTATAAGGCACTGTTGTGGCAGAGCAGTCCCACGGCCCAGCCTCAGCCGCGTTTCTGCTTGAGCTTCTCCAGGTACTTCTGTAGGGACTTCTGGATGGAGTCCCTGGATACGAAATTCACAAAGTTCTGCACATCGGCCTCGCGCTGCTTCACCAGCCGGTCAGCTGTGGGCTTGCGCATCATGTTCTTGGTCAGCTGCCGGGCGTGCTCTGGGGAGGAGGGGTCTGGTATGAGCCTGCAGCATGGCCCTGGCGGCTGCCCATCCCAAGGGGACACGGAATAAGCACCACATGGAGGAAAATAAGAGCGGATACCCCCCCCCATTCTCTTAAAGCCTATGCAGACAAGACAGGGGCGCCTGAGAGGGCACGGCCTGGTTCTCTTTGGACACCGAGAGAAACCCAACAGCAGCAAGCAGGCATGAGGCGGCCCCCGTGTGTCCCCTCTGCAGTTTCTCTACCCACTCAGGCACACTGTCCCATGCCACACGCTCTTTCTCTTCAGCTATCATACACCTGTCCCCATAGCTGATGAGCTAAAAAGAAGACTTGTAGTTTGTTTTTGTGCCACATCCAAAGGTGCTCAGGGCTTACTCCTGGCTCTGTGCTCAGGGATCACTCCTGGTAGGGCTCAGGGGATATATGAGGTGCCAGGAATCAAATCCGGGTCAACCACATGCAAGGCCTTACCTACTGTACTGTCTCTCCAGCCCCCAACATTGTTTTGTTTGTTTAGTTTTTTCTTTTTGAGTCACACCTGGCGATGCTCAGGGGTTACTCCTGGCTCTGCACTCAGGAATGACTCCTGGCGGTGCTCAGGGGGCCATATGGGATGCTGGGAATCGAAAGCGGGTCAGCCGCGTGCAAGGCAAACGCCCTATTGTACTATCGCTCCAGCCCACAACATTGTATTTTTTGGTTTTGGGTAACACCTGGCAATGCTCAGGGATAGGGCATCATATTGTGGTGCCAATGATCAAAGTCAGGTGGCTGCATGCCAGGCAAGTGCCGTACATGCTATACTAGCCCCAGCCCCTAACATTTTAATTAAAGTGTTGGGACACACCCAGCAGTGGTCAGGGTTACTACTGGCTCTGCTCAGGGGTCATGCCTGCAGTGCCCGGGATCAAATCCTGGTTGGCTGCGTGACAGGCAAGTGATTTATCCCAGCTCAGCGTTTACACTTTAAATCAATAAAAAGCCACCACCAGAAGGGTAGCGTTTTGTGACAGTGTGAGTGACAGAATTCAGGAGAAATAGTGCCACACTTTGTGGCAAGCAGGTGTGCCGAGCAGGGCTGTGAAGGGGGTGGCACAGTGGAGGCAGCCACGGAAACAGCCAGAGAGCGCCAGGCAGGCAGGGTTGAGGTAAAGCCGGCCAGAGCTGCAGGGCTGGGATGGCAGGACCGCCTCACCTGGAATGGCCAGCCACCGGGCCATGACTTGGAGCGCTGTGCTCTGCACCTGGTCCATTGCCACCACCTGGTCCACGATGCCCACCTTCAGGGCCTCTGCCGGTGGGAAGAGCGTGCCGAGCTGCAGGGCGCTCTCAGCTGCGCGGTGCCCAATTGTGTTCACCAAGGTGTCCTTGAACCTGCGGCAACACCCAACTGCTGAGGGTCCAAGTGGGCAGTTCTGAGCCTAAGCAGGGCATGGGCGCAGCTCCCAGCCTCACCAGAAGGGGGCGACGATGCCCAGCAGGGTCTCGTTCAGCCCGACGACGCATTTGGGGTTGTCAGCTAGGACCCGGTAGTCGCAGCTGAGGGCCATCAGGCAGCCTCCAGCCGGGCTGGCTCCCTGCAGGGGAAGGGAGACACTGGCTCTGGGGGCGCCACAACACAGTCTGGGGGTTGGGCAGAGGGACTCGTGGTCAGAATGACCCCTCCAGAGGCCGCGGGCCCCAACCTACCCCTACCCGGCCTCACTCACCCCAACTTGCTCAGGTCAGCCCAAGGGACACTCACAAAATGTGGCCCGACCAGGCCCTGGGTCCCACCCGTTCTAGCCCGTCATCTGGTGACGGCATCCAGGCCCGGGAGCACTCACATTGATGGCAGCCATGACCACCAGGTTGGACAGGTAGAGTCGCAGCCACAGCTCTTGCACGGCCTTCCAGTACTCTGCGTAGTGCGCAGGGGTTCGCCCGCACATCTCAGTCAAGTCCAAGCCGGCAGAGAAGATCCCAGGGCAGTCCTGGGGGAGTGTGGCCCTTAGGTCACGCTCAAGCTGGCCGGACGCTGTCCCCAGCCCAGACCTAGGGTGCTCAGGGACTGGCCAGACCGACCTCCTGGGGACCAAACCTGGGTGGGCTGGGAGACTCTGCAGCCCAGCCTGGCGCCCGCAGTGGGCTGAGGTTCAAGTCAGCCTCCACACCTCAGCCGGGTCCCTCCTGGCCGGCTAGCCTGTGGTGCTCTCAGCCTGCTGTGGCTTTCTGGCCTCAGCTGACAGCCCAGGGAGCCACTGAATTTGGAGTCCCCTGTGCAAAGCCTGTACTCAGCCTCCCAGCCGCCTCCCCACCCAGAGGCTGAACCTGAACTCAGAACAGTCCTACTTTGCGAGTCCAGAGTGCTGGGGGAGCAGGGGCCCCATCCATGAGAGCATCCAGACAGGAGAACCCACCGAGGTGAGGACCAGGCCCCGGAAGGTCTTGTCATTCTCCAGCTTCTCCACACTGATGACCAGCTCCGTCAGCAGCTCAAGGCTGAGGCTGTTCACTGGGGGGTTCTTCAGCTTCAGCACTGCAACCCCTGCTCAGACGAAGCCAGGCAGCCAGTCACACCCAGCACTGGGAGGCACCCCTGACAGTGTCTGGGCCCAAAGCGAGGACACCCAAGTGTCCGGTTTTGGCTGTCCTTGAGGGGGAGTAGAGTATTCTGGTCCTTAGCGCCTCCAGCCCCCACTCTAGCCCCTGAGCGCAACCACCGAGGCACAGCACTGAGGAGGGGGAGGCTGCTCCCCTTCTCTTCACTGTTCCTGGGTGGTTGCAGGGGTACACTCCTCCGCAGGGGTCTTTTCCTCTGGAGTCTCTGTCCTCAAAGGTGCAGGAACTGACCAAGTCTCGTACAAGGGCCCTGAACCTTGTCCCTGGATGCCAGGGCATGGGCAGTGGGACACCCCAGGTCCATGCCAGATCAGGACAGAGGCTAAAAACACCAGGGGCCAGGTGACTCCACACACTGGCAGTGAAGAATGTGTGTGCCAGCAGGTAGGAGGGAGGCAGCTCTCGTGGGCGCACCCAGGGCTACCAAGCCCCAAGAACCTCAGCACCCGCAGTTAGTGCAGGGGCAGCGGCGGGTGGCTCAGCGAGAGGTAATGACTAATGGCCAGAAAGGCCAGTTCTGAGCGGCCACAGCCCCACTCCCGGAAAGCGGCGCCTAGGAAACCCCGGGGCCTCTTCCCGAGCCTGGTGGGGCACAATCAGAGCCATTGGGGGAAAGGTAACGGGGCCGAAGGTGACCGTGAGTGGGCAGAAACTAATTTGGACTTGAATATCACGAGGTGCTGAGCCCTAGGCCAGCTCCTGAGGGAGCCCTGAGCAGCTGCGGCCAGCGCCAAGACAAGGAGCGGGCTCCATCCTAGCCCGGGCGCCAATCTACTTTCTGTTCCGTCGTGTTGATTTTGGACAACACCTGTAGAGCCGCGGGCTTATTCCTGGAAGGCGTGGGGCGTGCAGATCTACTTTCTGCTGCAACAGTTCTGCCCGCGGGAGCTTGGATACAAACATTCTATTTGTTTCTCTTTAAGTTTGTGGGTTACCCGGGCAAGCCCATCCCCGGAGCCATTTACTCCTGGCTCTGCACCCTGGAATGACTTCTGGCAGAGCTTGAGGGCACCAACGGGAACAAATGGGAGTGCGACGAGGCCAGCGCCCGCACGCCCTCTGCCTCCTGCCCCGAGCGGGCGCCAGGTTCCCGGGCGGCGGCGGCGTTCCAAGTCACAGGTCCGGCCGTTCCGCCAAGCCCAGGTCCGGAGCGGAACCGGCTCCGCGGCGGCTCCCGGCCGAGCCCCTCCGCCCGCGACCCCAGGGCCGCTCCCGAGTGCGGGCCGCCGCGTCACGCGCCACGACCGAAGTGCCAAACTTGCACGAGCGGCACAGAGCCGGCCCGCGGGCAGCGCCCCAGCCCCGCCCCGTCCGCACTCGGGGCCCCCCTACCTGCGCTCGGGTCCGGCTCCACCAGCACCCGCTGGCTCCCGAAGCGCCGCTCCGCGACGGCCGCGCCCCGCAGCCGGGCCCCTGCGAACGAAGGGCAGCGCGAGGTCCGTTAGGCCGGCCCAGCCCGGCTCCACCGCCCGCTCCCGCCGCCAGCCGCGCGCGGCCACGCACCCGAGCGGAGCAGCGCGCGCACCCAGCCGCCGAGCCCCGCCAGCAGCGCCATCTTGACTGGACGCGGCTGCGGGGGCAGAGGTCGACCCGGCGGCGGGGGCGGGCCCCGAGCAGCTAGCTCCGCCCCCGCCTCCGCCAGGATACAAAGGGCGGGGCCGCAGCGGTTAGCCCCGCCCCGATTCCCGCCTGAACCTACGGGGCGGGGCCCAAGCAGCTAGGCCCGCTCCCTACCTGGGGAACCCCCGTGTTGAGAACCTAAAGGGTTCGTGGCACCCAGCTAGGTCCTCTCCCACTCAGAGCAATGTGGGTGAAGACCACCAGGGTGGTTCCCAGACACCGCTCCTCCTTTGTGGCGGCCAGGGATCAAAGTTGGCAGCTGGATGTGGGGCAGCCTGGCTGGCACAGGGGCTGGCCCTGTGAGCACCAATTCTTTCTTGAACGCGTATATGTGTTTGCTACCCCTGGTGCTCACAGGACCACGAAATACAGCAGATAGAGCCCTGTCCCCTGCATGCACGTGCCGCCCTGCTGCCCAGCTAGAAGCCCCTAGCCCTGTTTGAGCATTTCCCATAGGAGCCCAATGGGGCCCACCAAGGCACCTGTTCACAGCCAGGCCCAACAGGAAGCTCTTAGAATAAAGGGAATAAGCTTCTGTCTGCCTGCCAGCTCAGGTGGTCTGACCAGGGCCTCTGTGGTGGAAACTAGAAGCATCTTCAGGGATGAACTGAGACATAGGTCTCAGATAGCTGCAGTGTTTTTAGTTTCTCACAAGTTTTTTTGGCTGGGGGATGGGGGGGCACCAAGAAAATGCTCTCCTCCCTCTGTCCGGGGATCACCAAGGTGGTGCTCAGGGGAAGAGTGGCTGGATGGAAGCCGGGTCAGCTACACGCATGGCAAGCACCTTAAGTCCTGCACTATCTCTCTGGCCCTGGATGCTCTGTGTGACCCAGGGACAGAAGCAGTGAACCGGGCACTATTTGCATTCTAATCCTAGGTTTATTCAATCAACACAATCCTTTCACAACAGAGTACACTTTATCTAAAATCCTACAAGTTACAGAACTCAAATTTTATGGTACTGACTGTACAATAACTTCCCGCCCCTCCCCCACCCCTCCCAAAGCAATAGCAATGTCCATGTTGCCAAGGTGACCCGCAAGCCCACCAAGAACAGCATCTGGGGACTCGCTGAGCCTCAGGACTGGCTCTCAACCTGCTCACCCGCTTCAGAGAAAGGCAGACATGAGGGGGTTTGAGGACACATGGAAACAACCATTTATGGCAACTAACTTGGGAGTGAAAGAGGGCTGGGAAGGAGGGCCAGCGCCAGTGGGCTGGGGGCTGTGCTGCATCACGGCCCTGCTGTCTCTAGTGGCTTTGCCACAAACTCAGAACTAGCAACATGGGAGCTTTCCGACCGGACAACGGGAGGGGATCTTCAGGCACCTCCAAACCAACGCTTCTGCAGAGAACTCTGGAGGACGCATCTCAATTGCTGGCTTGGACATCTGCCCCTGAGCGAGGGATTTCTTTCCACCGGGAAAGTGACAAACTGAGCTGGATGGGAATAAGTTACAGGGGACAGAGCTCCGGTGGCTCTGCTTATCGGGAGGAGTTGGAGCTGGACCGGCTCCGGTGGCGGCGGCGGCCAGGTGAGCGAGAGCGTCGGCGCACAGGGGACCTGCGCCGTGGGGAGCGAGACCTGTGAAGAGCAAAGAGCCCGTCAAACATCCCAGCACACACCCAGCGCGCCCCCAGAGGACCTCCACAGCTTGGGGCCTGGCGAGAGCCGCCTTCTCACCCCATACCACGTGGGACGGTTCCCTGAGGCTGCCCTCTTCCTCTCTTGGTTTTTGGGCCAACCTGTCAATGCTCAGGGGACTTATGGGATGTGGGATCAATCCCTGGCTGGCTGCATGCAAGTCAAGCGCCCGACCTACTCCTCTCTCCCGCCCGTCCCCTCTCGAGGCTGCAGGAAACACAGCTCACATCACTGCAAAGGAAGGCCAGCACGCTTCTGCCAGGGAACCCATCCCTTTTTTCTTCTCAGCGGGGGCAATCCCTGTCTGGCACAAAGCCAGTTTACTCTCTTAATACATGCACCGGGTGCCAGTGTGACCTCCACGATCCCAGCATCATCAACAGAGAAGGGAACCGGCAGGGCGAGGAAGCAGTGGAGCTGGGACACGGCGCCAGGCAGGGCCCTGCTCCTCCCTCCCGGAGGCCAGTGCCTTCTCAACGCCTCAGGCTAACCCAGCCCCAAAGCACCCTCACCCACTGTGTCTGGGAAAACTGACCTACGAGGGCCCAACAGTCCCGAGAATCCAGACACCCACCGTCTCCTCATGCGTGGGGGGGAGCGGCGCCACATTGGGGGGGGCGGTAGCATTCTCCTGGGGGGGCTGAATCGTCTAGGGGGTGGTCGAGGCCAGGGGGCCAGTACAGCAGTGGCAGTGATCTCTTGGCCATCAATTTGTCCTGTGGAAAAGAATGAAATGTTATGGGGTCGGCGTGACAATACAGCAGGTAAGGCACTGGCCCTGCGCGGGGCTGATATGAGTTCAATTCCTGGCATCCACAGGGTCCCTTGCCCGCCAGGAGTGATCCCTCAGTGTAGAGGCAGGAGTAGCCCCAGAGCACTGCTGGGTGTGGCCAGAGAGAAGAATGAAATTTCAAACTTTCTCCGGAGTTGAGGCCGTCAGCCAGGTTCATGCCAGATGCTGGGCAGACAGAAGGCGAGACAGGCAAGCAACCCTAGGATAGCCCCCGTTCCCATGAACAGCGAGTCTCTGGAGAACCACATGGGTGCCAGCATTCATGCCAGCCCCTCAAGACAGTGTTGGAGGCCAGGGACAAGAGGAACAGCGATGGGACAGAGCCGCTCAGGACAGGAGGGGACACGGAAGGAGGCCCGGCTGCATGAGTCAAGAGCTAGACCCACCACAGGCTTTGGGATGAATCCAGCTTAATGATCGATATCAGGCAGCTGCCTCACGCCCAGCATGCCCCCAGAGGACCCAGTGGTGCCTCAAGAGCATTTACCCTCAAGAGCAGAAGGCTCTGAGCGGCTCGGCTCTTCTCTATGGGAACATCAAGGCACCACACAGGTATGACAGACACAGACCTGGACGCAGAGCCAGTTCCAGGGCAGCCTTTGACCCACTGCCAGCACAGCTGGGCCATCCATCTCTGTTACCGAGAATACACGATGGTGTCAAGCGTTGGGAGCCAGCCCGACGGGGCCCACAGGCTCACCAGAACCTCAATGAACTTGGGATGCCCACCCGTGGGCCCAAGTCTCCAGAATTCTTAACAGTGCCCTGACCACAAATGCTGCCCGGGCACAGGAACAACGCCCAGGACAAGGACGGACATGCCAAGCAGGACAGACCCATCCCTGGAGGTCTCAGTGGCCCAAGCACACGGAGGCTCCCAACAGCCAAGCTCTGAAAGCAGCTCTGAAGGTCCCAGGCTTCTGGGTCAGGCTAGGGGCAGCTTGGCTCAAGGCCCGACCGCGACACGAAGCTGGGCTGACTGGTGCCACACCCGATGGTGCTCAGGTGACTAGGTGAGGTGCTGGGGACCAAACCTGAGTCGGCAGGGTACAAGGCCTCGTCTGCTGCACTAGCTCTCTGCCCCCAGCCCCACTTGTCTTGGAGCAACAGGCCGGGTTGCGGTGGGCTGCTGGAAAGCGGCTCTGACCAACTCAGACGCTTCACACATGAGGGTCTGAACACAGATACGATTGGCGACTTCCCCAGGGAATGCTAAGCCTGCTGGGGTGACAAACCTGACACCACTCTCAACAGGATCCAGAAACCCCTTCCTGTGAAGCACCGTACTCATGAAATGGACATTTCCTCATTCAAAAATTTCTTCTTAGACTGCACAGTAGAAGGCCCTGGCATAGGTGTCTGGCTTTAATCCCTGGCACAGCAAAGTCCCCTCCAGCACTAAGGTGTGACCACAAAGAGGAAAACCTCATAAAACCACTCATCTGCTCCTTAAGCTTTCCAAGCCGAATGTTTCTTACGTTAATACATGTTCCCTGCAAAGCTGCATGTTCCGGAAAGACCTCCCAGCGCCAAGACGCGGCCCGCCCCTGCCGAGCTCTGGGGATGCCGGCCTTGCACTCACCGCCGTCCATGTGCTTCAGTGCCTTCTCAGCCTCATCTGGATTCTCGAACTCCACGTATGCGTAGCCTTTCGACAGATGGGGGTGCATCCTTTCCACAGGCATGTCAATCATTTTAATCTTCCCGTAAGTGGAAAATATCTCCATGATGTGGTCCTAAAGGGGAAGAGTCACTAAGGCCCACCCCCAAACCACCTGCCACGGCCTCTGAGGGTGCGTCTCCCAGGTCTCCCAACCAGGTTCCCCACAGCTCTCATCACAAGGCCTGCGAGGCCTCACCTTGGTCACGTTCCTGGTAAGTCTCCCAATGTGCACCTTGGTGGGTTTGGGAGAAGGGCTCCGCCTCTTCCTCTCCTTCTCATCTCTCTTGGGTGGCTTGGATCTGACGGGAAACAACCCCCCGCAACAGGAACAGTCAATTAGACCCAAAATTCTATTATTGGTTTTTTTTTATTATCACGTTTTGCTTTTTGGGTCACACCAAGCGATGGCTAGGGGACCATATGGGATGCTGGGGATCAAACCTGGGCCGGCCGCGTGCAAGGCAAACACCCTCCCTGCTGTCCTACGGCTCCGACCCCAACATTCAATATTTCAGACCACATGCCTTGCATGGGTGACACCTCCATGTATCATGCCACCTCGAAATCATTTCCATGTACCCAGAGGACGACCACAGTGCACTGTCAGCCCGACACGGCCTGACGTGGTGGACTTAACTTCCCGGGACGGAAGAGTGTGGGGCTGAGGGCAGCGGGGAGCTCACTTGGAGCGGGAACGCCGCCTGTTGTCATGTCGGCGCCGAGAAGGACTAGGAGAGCCCGAGGAGCTGCTGGAGCTGGAGCTGCGGGATGAGCTGGAGCTGCCCGAGCGACTGGACGCCGACGACGAGCTGGAGCCACTGCTGGAGCCGGTGCTGGTGCTGGAGCCCGAGCTGGATGTGGAGCTGGAGCGCGACCTGGTGGTGGCAGGGGGTC